TAGAAATGCCATTGAATGGATATTTGGTGTTATAAAATGCAGGTGGAGGATTCTTCAAATTCCCCCTGAATATAGCATCCACACCCAAACTCAAGTACCTGCTGCTCTCTGTGCCCTCCTACAATTTCATATGGTGTTATGATCCAGAAGAGTTCTTTGACCCTGAACTTGCTATGAACATAGGAGAGGATGGTGGTATTGGAAGCCTTGGTGATGGTCCAGCAGATGCTGCAGAGAGGAGAAGGGCTGATAATAGGTGTGACAACATTGCAGAGGAGATGTGGATTGACTATCAGCACCAGCTTACAATTAGGGGCCTTCTCTGAGCCTGAACATTCAGATTTCATGATGTACAAATATATGTTCTTACAATTGTTTCACACTCATGTAGAAAAATGACTTCCATTGTCAATAGAAAGCTAGTCATAGTCATGTACATTTTATTATGTACATATTTGTATGAAGGGGGGGGGGGACTTGAAAAGATATGCAGGGGGGGGGGGGGTACATTTGTATATTGTAAAAAAAAAACAAAGCAGACACCTATCTCTGCCCATCCCAGTACTTCATCAGCCAATGCTGCACCCAAATCTGCTTCAATGGCTCCTGATGCTTGAGGAAAATATTCACTTCATCTGGGGACATGCTGAGGAAGTAGTTGCCAATGTTGATCCGATTGTCTGTCAAGAGCTGTGGCATGTTGTTGATGTAGTCCATGGCAGTGTCAATGAGGGGATTGGTAATGGGTGGCAGGGGCAATGGGGCAGTGATTGCATGCATGAAGTTATTGAGCCTGGAGGTGATGGTGGCAATGAATGAACTGCAATCTTCTTCAGCACATGCTTTGGCTGATGGGGGCCAAGAGGCACTTCGATCTGCCTTCAGACATTGCAACAGACTCAGCTTTCCTTTTTCTGCGACTGATGCTGGTGATGGCTGATGATGACAATGACCTGGCTGACACATGCAACAAAAAACTTGATGGTGTGGAAGGGGGGATGAAGTTTGGATCTGTGGACTGTGTGTCCTCATGATGGTGAGCATTGAGAGTGTGTGTCAGTGTCAAGGAGGGAGAGGGAGGGAGGGGGGGTAGGAATAGTTCAAGTGGTGGGGGGTGCAGTAGAGGCAGGAGTATCAAAGGCAGAGGTCATGGTTGTAGAAGGCACAGTAGTGGCATGTGGCTGGTCAGATAAACTGACCTTGGCCATGCAAGGGGAGAAGGAGCTCTACACTGGCAAAGTGGGGGAACCTGGAATTGCAAAACAGCTTCATGTCTTTGTGCACCTGACTAGATGTTAGTGGATGATCTGACAAGAAAAAAAACTACATTACCTTTACATACTGATCCCACAGATCAGTGTTGTCCAGCAAGACCATCACACTGTGCTCATCATCATAAGCAAAGCCAGAGGCCACCAATTTAAGATCAGCAATGGCATAGTAGGATTTTTTAAGCTGGATAATTGTTACCAAGGCAAAAAAAAGAATGATACAACAACTTACCACCTTGAACTTCTGCTCACATGATTCAGCTGTCTTATTGCCATTATCCAGACCAAGTGGATAATTATGAGCCATGTGGGCTGCTGTGGCATTCCACGTAGCCTTCTTAAAGTTCCAATCGCCAGCCTGTGAAAGATGAGAGGCCAAGAAATCCAGTAACATGCCTTCCTCCTCTGTTGTCCATACTGCAGCTTTCTTGCAAGTCCTGGGGGGAGGCAGGGGGTTCTGCAGGTCTAGAGGATTGATTGTAAGGCCATGTGAGTGCAATGAGCAGGTTGATCCCACAGATGAGCCAGACATTCAATGATTGCAGTAACTGGGTGACAATGGTTGTGTACCTCAGGTGGATGCATATGATAGTTCACATCACATGACCCTCTTAACCGAAGCTGAAGTTGAAAACTTGGACTTTGCATTTGCAGGGTGAACAGCACCTTAAAGACTGGCCCTACTGCACAAATGTTACTGAAGTGCATGAATTTTTAGGTCTTTGCTTGTATTGCAGGATCTTTATCAAAGACTTTGCTAAACATGCACATCCTCTTATTGAGCTGACCAAGAAAGACATCCCCTTCAAATTCTGCAACAAACACAGAGAAGCCATGGAATATCTATGCCAGGCTATCATCTTGTCCCCCATGCTATGTACTATCAACTACAATTCCAAAAGGAAGGTCATTCTAGTGGTTGACACTTCAAATATTGCTGTAGGATATCTCCTCATGCAGGAGGGGGAAGATGAAAAATGTTACCCTGTGAGGTTCAGCTTGATAACTCTCAATGACCACAAGTACCACTACAGCCAAGCTAAACTTGAGCTCTTTGGTCTTTTCCATGCCTTACATGATGTCAGACTACACATCTTTGGTGTGTGGAATTTGGTTGTCAAGGTTGACACATGGTATATCAAGGGGATGATTAACAATCCCAATTTACAGCCCAATGCAACCATCAATCACTGGGTTGCCAGAATCCTTCTATTCAACTTCAAGCTCATACACATCCCAGCACACAAACATGCAGTGCCAGATGGACTGTCAAGGAGGCCCAAAGCAGAAGAAGATGAGGATGGGGAAGGGGACTACAAGGATTGGATAGATGAGTGCAGAGCTTTCACTGTCAAACTCTTGAATCATAGGGAGGCCCATTTCAAGTCTCAGCCTTACCCTTCAGAAATTCTGAGTACCCTGTCAGACTCACCCTCTGCCATACCACAGAGTCTAGGCATTTTCCTCTCTGAACAATCTTCACCACATAACTATGAAATGGAAATTCTGCGATCAGAGAAAGCAATCCAGAGAGAGGAGAGGTAAAAAGTGGTGATGGAGTTTTTGGAGATGAAGAAGATGCTAGAAGGATTGGAGGAAGGGGAATTGGAGAGCCTAGTACATCTTGCCATGCAGTATTTCATTAAAGGAGGAGAGCTGTGGAGAAAAGAGCCTCAAGGACATCACCAACTAGTAGTTTCCCCACACAAATGCCTTGGAATTCTTCATCAGGCTCATGACAAGCCAGGGTACAAGGGTATCTTCTCAACCTGCATGAATTTGCTGACTCATTTCTGGTGGCCTATGTTAGAGCAGGATGTCTGCTGGTATGTCATGTCATGTCATGAATGCCAAATCTGCCATTTGGATTGTGTACATATTCTGCCAGTTGTCACCATCCCAGAACCCCTATTCTACAAAGCATACATGGACACATTCTTAATGCTGAAGTCAAATGGGTTTTGCTACATCACCCAAGCTTGCTGTTCACTCACTAGCTATCCAGAGTGGGCTATGCTTCACATAGAAACTGGTAAATCCATTGGAAAATTCATCCTCAAACAGATCTTGTGCCACTGGGGTGCAGTCACAGAGATTGTTACAGATAATGGCAGACCCTACATCCTTGCCCTCAACTGGCTTTCCAAGACCTTTGGAATTTGCCACATACATATCTCCCCCTATGACTCACAAGCTAATGGAGTTGTTGAGCGACAGCATTTTGATGTGAGGGAGGCATTGGTGAAAAGTTGTGGAGGAGAGGTGTCAAAGTGGTCAGAAGTTGCTCCTGCAGTATTCTGGGCAGAGACGGTTACGATTCACAAGGCAACTGGGTCTTCTCCATTCTACATGGCTCACAGCATCGAACCTAGACTCCCTTTTGACCTTGCCAAGGCAACATTCTTAGCCCCTTTCGAGGCAGAATTTTTCTCAATGACAGAACTCATCACTCACTGTGCTCATCAACTTCAGAAAAATCCAGAAGACCTCACCTGCATTCACAATCTAGTGCTTAAATCTCACTTTGTCTCTGTCAAAGATTTTGTCACTTGCTTTGAACATACAATCAAAGACTTCAACTTTGAACCAGGGTCACTCATCCTTGTGTGGAATTCACATATCAAGCAAGAGCTTGATTGCAAGACCAAACCATGGTACTTAGGCCTGATCATCATCATCTGTTGCATCAAAGGAGGCTCATACATCCTGGCAGAATTGGATGGTGCTGTGTCCAAATTCTGTTTTGCCACCTTCTGTCTTTACCCCTATTTCCTGTGGAACACCTCTCATATAGAAGTCACACAGTTGCCTGGAATTTCCACACATGACTTAGATTGCCTGGAAGACAATTCACTACCAGACCCCACACTCACTGGTGTCCCTGTGGATGAGTCAGATGAGTAGCATATCTCTCTCTACCCTTTTTGTTTCTTTTCTGTTCTCTCTCCTTTTCTGTCTTTCTTTCCACTTATATATATCTGTCTTCGTCTCATATAAAGCAAAACCATCTCCGCTCACAAGAAAACAGTCATCTATTAAAAAAATAAAATAAAATAAAATAAAAATTCCATTCATCTCTCTCTCATCTCTTGTCTCTTGCCAATTTGTTCTCTTTTCCTGCTCCTTACTTAATGATAATTCTGTTCAAAATACCCAAAGACACATCTAGAACAATTCCACAGTCTGTTTACACTACTGTACACATACTTACATATCCTTGAGCTGATCCTTCACCCACTTCAGCTCCTCACATCACCCCTGAACTGCACTGATCTGCCGCTCTACTCATGTAGCCAACAGCCCCAGCATCTGATGGATCTGGGTCAGCTCTAACTCTTCGTCATCTGCCCTGTTCTCCAGAAGTCAAATGCACTCAGCAAGAGCCTCACACATAGTCATATCACCTGGGTTTGCAACCAGTGGAGTTTCTTTGACTGGGGGAACTTCGGACAGGTCCTGCACACTGACACCAGGTGCAGGTGGATTGTCGAATAATCTGGTCAGTCTACCAAAGAGTCTACCATCGCCAAGGTCTCCCAGATTGTCCATAGGTGGTGGAGTTGGCTCAGGGTGAGGTTGAGGTGCAGGGGTTGCTGATGGAAGGAAAAGAGGTGGTCAAGGTGTGGGAGGGGGAGGCATGTTTGAGGTTGAAGGGGGACTAGCACAAGATGTTGGGTGCCTGGGAGTCAGTTCAGAGTTTTGCCTAGGGGGTGGTTTGCAAGCAGGGATTCAAAGTTTCAGCCCAGTTGTTGCTGGAGTTTTGGTTGTCACTGTCACTGACTTGGTCCATTTGTGTGACAGCCCAGTAGCTGTCTCTCCACTACCAGCATTCTTGCACTGTGTTACGGTTCAGTGCCCTTGTTCTTCATGTCACAATCAGCTTGTACTCACCTTCCTACCCACTCTGAGTGACCAGCTGCACTTCTGTTTAGCCTGCCTGCATTGCTCACATGACTCCCCAGGTAGCCCTTTGCACTCTGCATCTACATTTGCACACTCCCTGCATGGAAGGTTGGCTTCAGGTGCCAGAGCACCAGTTTTTGATGGGTCTGGGTTAGGTGGGCAGTCACCTTCATCATTCTCCAGCTTGTCAACTTTGTCTGTGGCCTGCAGAGTTTTTCTGAACATTGGCCATTGCACTTGGAGTCTCCTGGAGGGTAGGGTGTACCTTTTCCTTACACTTCCCCTTGCCTGTACTATCTGTCTGTTGCCTCCCTTGTCCTCCAGTCCCCCTTGAAGACTCCCCTGCTCCAGTGTCACTGGGCACACAGCCTTGACCTTCACCAATTGCCATTGCTGCCTGTCTGTGCATGTGCATAGAAGGATCTCTTGTCAACCTCTCTGCCTTGAGCTGTGCCCTCAACTCTACCCTCTCCTGGTAGTCTTTGAAGATGTCATCGATATGGATCCATCTCTGCTCCACTGGGCACTGGAGGTCAGTGATGGCAATTGCACCTGGGACTAGAAGGTTTTGGCACATCACAGATTCCTCAGTGTAGTCACACATGCACTCATCACAAACCTTTGGTACAGAAATTCCATTGTCATTGATGTATCTCCACCATGAGCAAATGCTGGCCTGTAGAACTCCATCAAAGTGCAACACACTACCATGGAAGGTTTATGCACCCATGTCTTGTCCCAGTCCTCTACCCACACATAGATGGTCTCCAAACTCTCCTCTGGCTGTGGTGCTGCCTTGATCAGGTCCCAGACATGCCCTAGAGCTGCAGTGAGCACCATGGTTGCCTGGTCCCTCATGCTGAACACAGGGGGTACATCATTGACAGAGTAAGCTTGCATGGTGATTGGCAAAGGAAGTGAGAATCTAAGAGTGGGATGGTGGGGTAACAAGGATAAATCTGACAATGAGACAGTTTCTGGGCAAGCTTTTTTCCACAGGGCTGTTGCTGACATGTTATCCATGTGCAGTGTTTTTGCTCACAAGGCATGTGGCTGAACATGAGCCATCTTTGTTTACATCACCTGCCAGATCTCCACCACCCTTCTGTCACAACTCGATGACCTCTGACCAAGGACAGTCAGCATTCGAAGACCCTGGGAGGTGTAGGGAGTGGTATACTCCCTGAGGCCAAAATAGGGATGCCAACACCAAAATTCCACTGTTACCAAAGTCAACCCCTATCAGAGTTCCACATCTGTCATCTTCAGAATTATTGCATCAGCCTTGTGTGCTGCCTTGCCCATCAAACCTTCAGAGCTCCCCTGTCCATCAATAACACACACCAGTCATTGTCCCAGAATTCCATGTCAACATCAACCTGACATACATCTATCTGGAACTCTGCAGTCATGTTGCCTCATCCTTCACCTCACCATGTAGCTGGGATATCATGCAGATCATCAGTAATAAACTCTGGTTACCCCTCTCATTCCTTTCCCATGAATCTTTCTCCACAATGCAAGAACCCCTTTGCATCTACAGCCTCTATCCTTCACATACACTACTCTATGGTACACAGTATGCTTTTTCTGTTGAAAGATACCTGTCTTTCCCTTTTGTTTCTCTCAGTTACTGCTTTTCAGTTTGTTTTCACATGATTCTGTAGTGTGTTGACATCTGTCATGTCTCCCTTTATTTTTTGGAATTTTTACTTCACCTGCCCCACATTATCCTGATTAGTACCTTACTCTCCATGTACTATATAATTCTGCCTCAGTGATGGAAAAATACCACCCATCTTTTGGAGTCACTATCCAAGTCATTCATGTGTCTAAGTGTTCAAAGTGTCTGCTGCATCCTCTGTGTCTACTGTGTCATCTGCATTTCTAGCATCAATCTGTGTCTACTGTGTCTTTTTTGTCCCCCACATATCTGTGTCTCATCTTTGTGTCTCATGAGTCACTTGGAATTACTTCCTCATGCCAAGATCATCACTCAGAATTTCATAAACAAGTCTATTTGGACTCAATTCATCTACAACACTGCGGAATTAAATTCCACACCCTACATTCAACTTCCTGATCAACTCTACCATCAAATTCTATGTCTCCTTCCTACTCAGCACCCTTTGGGTTGAGCCTAGGGATTACCCTACAGCTTTCCCCCTAATCACATGCTACCTGGAGGTAGTGTCCCACACCATCAGGTCCATGCATCTATATCTGAGCAGGTTCAAACACCACCAGAGCAGCAGGCCACAGGTGATGGGAATATTTGGTATCTCAATGAAATTGGTGATGCAATTGCAAAGGTAATGGATTCCTGTTGATGAATGTCTAATCACTGACAATCATAGGACATAGCCAACCCTGTTTCTCAGGGTGGCATGATGTTCTATCCAGAGGATCTAGGAACTCAGTCCCATCAAGTTTAGCATGGTGACAAGATGGTTTTGGAGGTTTCAGACAACCTTCTGACAGCAAATGTTCAATCTTGTAGGATGATGTACTATGTTAATGAACTTGTAAAATGTACTGGTGGTTCTTGGTTCTTGCCAAAGAGGTGGGTTACCTCTGGTGGTGAAATGGTTGCAATAGGACATCCAGTCAATGATACACTGGTATGTCAATTATACTCTTGTTGCTCATGCCTTAAACTTACATTTCCTAGCATGGTTTTATTGTGAAAGAGGAGACGTTGACACAGTTGCCAGTTTCATCATTTGTGGAAAATTACCCATCTATTGTAGAGAAGAACTCCAGTGTTTCCCCTGCTTTTGCTTGTAAGTTGAATACTCCTGATATTTAGGAACATGTAATGCTGTATGGTCTAGCATGTTCTCAGTCCTATGCAAAGCAAATGCCACATCCCCTCCGTGAGATTGCTGGTGATTGTCTGGTGTATTCTGTTCCCATTATTGTCTTCATTGATGATGTCTCTGGCAACAAATTGAAACAATGGAACAAACACTTCTCATGCTACATGTCAAATGGTGCTCTGTCTCATGAGAAACTGAATCAAGATTTCCATGTGCAGTTTGTGGCAACATCACTGAATGTGACTCCACTAGAGATCATGCAGGGAGTTCACAAGGCTATTGAGTATGTGCTTCTTATCTCCATGACTGTTGCTCATGTTCTGGTTTCTAGAAAAGCATTTGATGAGCCTGTTGCAAGCTGGGACTGCCAATTGAAGGAAGAAGTATTGTTACAACCTTTTGCACTTTTCTTTGCAGGTGATAATACTATGCAAGTGGATCTTAGCAGTTCTGCTGGCTTAAATTCCAATTATTTTTGTCAAACATGCAAAGTTGGCAGAACACACAAACACAAGCACTCTGAAATTGGGTTTTCACAAATTTTGCAGGTTGGTTAACACCACATGCCACATTTTTTGCACTCATATATAGCTTCATTTAGGAAGGTGTCTTGTGGAATAGCAATGTGACTGCTGAACATGTCTTTCAGCAACTTATGATGGCACTTGAACCAAACATAGCCAGTGCCCTCAATGATGCAGTAACAGGGAGTGGCATCAAGGATATGATTGCCCAGCCAATCATCAAACACCTTGTCAAACTTGGCCAGCAGCTTTGGAAAGGATCAGTGGATAGATTGCCTCTTTCCCCCAGTGATGCCCTTACCAACTTAACAGAGGAACTGAAGAAGATCCACACATCATCTGGTGGTGCTGTGATGAATCCTCTGTTAAATATGCCAGGTATGGACCATGTTTCTTGGCATGATAGTATCAGGTTTCATGCTGCAACATATGTGTTGACATTCACAAAGATACACTGACAGAAATACTACACATAATTCTTCTCAGCATCATGAAGTATTATTGGGCTCAAACAGTCTGGTACCTTGAGAAAGAGAAAAAGTCACCCTATTTCAAATTCATCTTGGTTCTGTGGCTATAGCTGGACTGAACATTCCTAGCATACAGTCAGAGTATATGTGTCACTACAAAGGTGCCCTGAGTGGCAAACACTTTAAGACTCTTGTGCAGGTCATGTCATTTCTCATTTTTGATCTGGTTCCTCATGACCTCCTTTAGGCATGGCTTGTTGCCAGAAGGCTTATGGTACTTGCTTGGCAAACTGATATTGAGGATCTTGATGCTTACACAGTATGAGGATTTTTGTAGACTAAAAGCATTGATAGTGACAACATGCTGCCTCAGAACGAGCTGTCATTGTGTATTCAAGATTTTCTTCACATGACATGCAAGTGCAGCCAAAGCATCCTTATTTCAAAGCCAAAATTCCACTTTCTTGTCCACTTGCCAATGTACATCTGGCACTTTGGCCCAGCAGTGCTCTTTTCAACAGAGCATTATGAATCATTTAATGGTGTTTTCCATTTCAGTTCAATTTATAGTAATCACCTTGCACCCAGCCATGACATTGCCCAATCATTTACAAGTATGGACTCTGTCAAACATGTTGTAACTGGGGGCTTTTGGTCAGATGGGCAGACTGGCCAATGGCTGCAGGCAAGCCCCAAAGTCCTTAATCACATTCTGAGTCAGCCATGTCTTGCTGCCCTTGTGGGTCTTCCAACAGAAACCTCAAAGTGCCCTGGCATGTTTGTCTTTCTTCATTTAGACAAACACTGATGAGACCTGTAGGAACCACCATACCATACAGTCGTGCCAATCACATTATGTGCAGTTGCAGTATTCAGCCACTACAGTGGACAGAAACCCTTTCTGGGACTGTTGGTCACCCCACCATCAGTGCAGCATGTAATTTCACCTGTTGTGCTGCCATTGTTGCATTTTCAGGTGATCTAATCAAGGTTGGTCAGCATGCAACCTGAATCAGTGAGTTTCCAGCTCTTAATTGGTATATATCACTTTACATGACAGTGGTAGGGACCTTTTTCACCCCCAGCGTTTGGGTGCATTTGTGAGGTAGTCAATGCCACACCAGAACAGGAGGTGGCTGGTGATATGTCACCCATAGTATATGTTGCAGTTCAATTGTTTGAACTCAATTCATTCAAACATAAGATACTTGACCTGCCAACATTAACCAAAACAGACACCTTTGTGGTCCTGCCTCCAGTGGTGAGTAGTATCACAATGTCCTATTTATTATCCTTGAATAATGAAACCTTTTGGGACATAATTTGTTCTGTGAACCTCCAACATGATTGTTTTCAGGGGAAATGTCAGGCCACAGGTCAAGAGGTGGTCAGACAAGAACAGAAACTCACAGGGAAAAAGTGCAGTGTCATGGCCCATGTGGATGAAAATCATTTCATTGTGAATACTCATGCTCTCCACAATGCGAAGTACATTCATAAGGCCCTTCCTCCCAGACTCTTACCCTCAATTCTTTATCCAGATGATGATGTTAAAAGACAGGTGCAACAGGAGGCTGTGGCAGAAATCCAATGCACAAAGGGTGTACAGACAGAAGCCACCAAGGAACTCATTATCTCTGCAATCAAGGCACATGCAAGGGATCCATCAGATGGTTCTGTAATGCATTCTGAGACTATGGTAATGTTGACAACAATAATAGAGCAACTTCAAGATGATGGGGATTTTGTTGAAACATTACAAGGCCTTTTTGGTGATGCATCTGTGCCAGAAAAAAATACTCCACCTGAACTTGTGCCACATCAAATCCAAGAGGCCACTCCTGCTGTGACATCCACAAGTACACTGTTGTGCAACATCCCAGCAGGACCACAGAAAGCCAAGGGCAAAAAAACAGGTGGTTCAAGCTTCACCTGAGTCAATGTGAGTTTTGCCATTGTGAGACATTTGTGACTGATATTTCACCAGTGAAAATGCAACAAATGATGTGCTGAAATATTTCTGCAAGATGAACAATCTCACCATTGGAGGAAAGAAGGTTGAACTTATTGGTTGACTTCAAGCACACCTTCAGAGGTACAGACTTGATGTGGAACCAGTCAAAAGCACTAACATGTTGGATTAGCCAAGGCAAGCCACTCCCCACAGCACATGAGATCCAGCAAATTCAAGACACTGTGCAGGCACAAAATGTGTTATCAAAAACATCAGTGAAATGAAAGTGGGCTGAAAATGATGCTGAAGATGGCAACAGTGGTGTTCCAGCATGAAAGAAAAAAAATACTGTGGATGATTTGACATGGCAGTCAAACCACTTGGATCTTCATACAATCATATTTTCCAATATATGATTCTTTATTTTGTAGAGAGCAATTAATGACATTGTGGAGAGGAAAGTGTGACTTGGCCACCAAAACTTTGTCAGAGTGCCCACAACACTGTCATTCAAATTCTGGAATTGTCAACACTCCCCTGTGCAACCACAGGCAACCATGCCAAGCATCATGGACAAAATCAATGACCATCTCTGGCTGGAAAGGGAATGCCAAGAACAAGCAACCAACCTGCATTCATCCCCATTGTGATAACATGAGCAACATACTACAGACTCACCAAGCAATGGGGAAGTCCTCAACACATCAACCTCCCATGGATCACAACAGTTATTGATGCCATGTCACAGGTGTGAGTGATCATGCTCGATGGAATTCCTCTCAGTCAGCTCAACACTTGGGCATTGCAACCAGGAACTGCTTGAACTTGATGAATGGTCCACCCCAACAAAATCAAAATGTCAACTTAGAGACTTCACACAGGAAGTTTGCACTGATCTTGGGGTACCTGTTGAGCAATGTAACATGATCATTGAGCATAGCAAGGTTAGCACACAGTGATATGACCCAAAAAGCAAGGCAACAGCAAACTAACCTATCATAGCTCCCAATGCAGAAGACACTGATAACAGTGATGGCCATGATGGTGAGAAATGAGACCACATGACAGGAACTAGCTGTGCATGATTATATCTCATCTCTGGCATTCAAAGTCAGTACATATGAAATAATATCTGAGTCAAACTAACCAGCACCAACAGGAAAACGTCTCTGGAAAGTTGAAGGTTATGCTGCTCAATCCTAGAATATCTAACTACAAAGATGGGGTTCTTGAGCAAGCCCTTGTCAGTATCAGAACTTGATCTGGGAAGTATGAACTTACTGATACACTTCACAGTGGCACATCCAACTCAATCCCAAGATTTACAAGATCCCCCTTGATGTTCAGCCAGCCATATCTTCTCGTCTCTTTGCCACAGAGGTCAGCACAGTGTTGATATACCACAGAAACCAGATTATAAAAAGGTTAGCACATGGTGAATCTATAAAAGGCATATCTGATCTGATCTGGTCTATTATTAGTTGACCATCCACTGGAAAAACAAGAAAGATATTTACACAGTACTGAGTGATATTGCCCCCCGTGGCATGGAGATCACAGATGAGATGTGGGGACACATTGCATGGTTGGTGAGTATTTTGGTGCTCCATATCATCACAAACTCTGACCACATACCTAGCAAATCCATCTTGCAGATTTCAATGGGTCTGATTTCTGTCAGTTTGTTGATGAACAACTTGCCAATATTCATACATGCCACAAGCACCTGGGTGAAGCAGAAATGAAAATTGAAATCAGTCAGTAAGCCTCATTATAACTCCTGATTTTGTGATTATGGGATTAACCCCCTGCACTGTGGGAAGCAAACACACTGAATATCAGTGCCAGTGGTACTGATTTTGCTCAAATCAGTACCACTGGCACTGATCTAGTGGGCACTTCTTTTCAGCGTCATCTTTGCAGGACTGATTTTCAGTGTGCATTTTTTGGAGCACTAAATTTCAGTTGCTGGCACTGATTCCCAGTACCACATATTTTGCAACACTGAAAACCAGTGCCCCAAGTTTGTTGGCACTGACTTTCAGTACTCGAAGTTTACTGGCACTGATATTTAGTACATGACATTGTCACCTTGTTTACTCACACCAAGTTGTCAAACCAATAAAGTGAGATTGCATGCAGATGCAGTATTACATTACTTTGGAAGTATCAAGCATATAAATGACAGACAAATGCACGAAATCACAGTGGCACTGCAGTGCAAACAGTGTATTTGAGCCACCCAGATGTAGGGTCACCATGGAGCACATTGTATTCAACTGGTAGAGGCTGAGTACGCACTTCAAAGGCACACTTGCAGCACGTGGACACTTGAGTCTTTGGGTGATAACCACTCGGTGGATGAGGGTCCAGCTTCAATCGTGCCCATGGATGGATGGCACCACATTTCAGGCACCCCATGGATAGAGATGTGCCCCATGGGCGCTGATGGCTGTGGTACCATGAGTACCTGTATATGGTGAGGAGAGGGGCAGCAGTGAGTGGGGCAGGGCTAAGTAACCATGGCGCCCTTGGCAATCCTAGGCCTGAAAGATGAAAGAGCATCACATCAGTGTGCATCCAAAGTTCGAGTGAGACATCGAGTAGGTCATGGATAACATTCTCCAGAGCATGTCCTTCAATCAAGACTTCGACGCCATACAACATGATGAAAATTTTGACAACCACATTGAGGAAATCCTTGGCAGTGAATGCGACCATATACTCTGGCCAGAGTCTTGGCAACAGTTAGTAAGGTTCTTTATAGATCAATCATTAATAACTGACTGTGCAATAGATTGCTTCAATGCCACTAATGATTGTTCAAAGGAAACCACAGGGCCACAAGTCAACATAAACAGTGTAGAACCATAGACCATGTTTTGCAGGGGAGAAGTGAACAGGCATTTCATGAACTGAAATGGATGAGAGAGATTAACCTCCTCATGTCAGTCATGTACCTCGCCAACCTCCATTGCAACATCCTCACCACTCTCGCCCTTCCCTGCAAACAGGTCACTGTGGGTGACTTCGCTATGAACAGTAACAAATATGATCTTGCGCTTGAAGGCGTATGTGCCCAACTTTTCACCCAGTTTTTTGATCCTCATACTCCACTGACTAAACTTTCGATCCATACCAAAATTGAAGATTATTTTTTGATACAGAAGGGAGTTGCTTGTGTGATATTCCTCAATGGTTGTGTTGAGGAGTGATGGCAACAAACCTTGAATTTCCACTCCTGTGTAGACAAGCTCAAGAATAAGGGTGGACTCAGCACACACTTGAGACTTAGATGCCCTTTCACAAATCCCCGAGATGATGACTGGCTTATCCAACATGGGAATTCTCTTCCCAAGTACTGTGTGTGTGAATGGCTTGGACCCACGTCAGCTCTATTCAGATTGTGAATGATGAATAACTCACAAAGTATGGATGTAGCTCTTTGCACTTCGCACCACCCTCTTCGAGTTTGTGGCAACCAGGACACTGGAAGTCTATGTCCTCGGCATGGGCCTTGTCTGTGAGCCACTGCGCTAATCCTAAGCAGGGGTCGTACATGATGTGAGGGCAGGAATAGCACTCGAATAAGTATTTAGCTCCATTGTGGCAAAGGTAGCAATACTACTTATCGTGTTAGTGGTGATAGGAGGATGGACCTATAGTACATACCTGGTTATGCCACTCCTCAGCCAGAGGGGACTGTCCCTGAGAGGATGGAACAGATGTCAATGAACTCAGTGTTGAAGCCTTTTGAGGTGGACTGCACAGATGCATGTCAGATGGGGGTGGCACGAGCAGTGCAAATGATTTGCACTCGTGGCACAATACTGGATGTGGTTTTCTTGGCATTCTGCCTTGTTCTGGCCATGGATAGTTCCTTAACGAAATGTTGACATGTGACATGCTAACTTGCAACAAGAAAATTGTTGTTGATGTGAAAACAGGTCTACACAACGTAACTGACCACAGTACGTCACACATGTTCAAATCTTGGCAGCTTCTAATACTAACTCTGCAGGATCATTGAAACTGCTGGCCGACATCTGTCACCTGTTTCACTGAACCTTACTTGTGATACCATTGGCCAACATCTGTCACCCATATCATGGAGTGAGTGTTCATGATTTCTCAGCTCATTGAAACAGTTGGCCTACATCTGTTGCCCATTTCTGTGAGCTGGTGCTCATGCACTGAAACCTCTTCAACCTGCTCATGAAACTGTTGGCTGACATCTGTCGCCCATTTCGCTGAGCCTGGATACAAGTCATTTGCTTTCTCACCAAAGTGACAAGCTCCTTGTCGAGAAAGTCATTCAGAGGGTAAGGGAGTGCATTCTAAGTGCATATGGCCACTAATAACCAAGATTCACATCATTAGGCCCAAGCAGAATCAGAAATCCTCATGCGGTGTGAGGGAGGCTGGGGTGCATGTGCTTTAATTGCCCAGGTATTGAAAAACTGGTCAACATCTGAACAAAGGCAAAAACAGAATGCCAAGGCAAGGGTTAGCAGTTACTTTTATCTATATTTTGATCTTGAGTTGATTCTCTGGTACATTTAGAGGAAGAGAGAAGAGTCTAATGACGAAGATGAGGAGGAAGTGGGCACAGATGATGCTGGTGCTAACAGGCGCATTAAACATACTTTGGGTACACAGAAAAAGGTAGGCATGTGTGTTCTACTATCATGAACTCACTCCATGTCATTCAGAGAAAGAGGGACAAGTCTGAGTCTGAGTCTGAGGAAGTGGACACAGACGATGCCAGCAATAACAGGCACATCAAATGTACTTTGGGTACACATAAAAAGGTAGGCATGCACGTTCTACTATTATGAACTCACTTTGTGTCACTTAGAGAAAGAGGTCCAAGTCCAAGTCTGAGTCTGATTCCGAGTCTGAGTCCGAGGAAATGGACACAGGCAATGCTGGCAATAACAGGCACATCAAACATACTTCAGATACACAGAAAAAGGTAGGCAAATGTGCATTCTACTATCACAAACTAACTACATGTCACTTAGAGAAAGAGAGACAACTCCCAGTCCGAATCCAAGGAAATGTATGCAGACAATGCTGGTGCCAGTAACAGGCACAGCAAACATGCTCCAGGTACACAGAGAAAGGTAGGTGAACAAACATCTACTATCTCAAGCTCACTCTGTGTCATTTAGATGGAGAGGGATGAAGACAATGATGAAGATGACAATGATGAAGATGAAGATGAGAGGAGTGTCTACCCAAAACACATGGAAGCCAGACAGAAAATGGTGAGGAAGTAAGCTGCATGTGATTGTAACTGCTGCCTGAACATTTTTCAGAGAAAGTCAATTGTTAGCGATGATGACATCCAGCCCAACATGCATGCCAAGGGTGATAAGGGTCACCAATGCCTGGGTGGTACTCAGAAGCATGTGAGCAAGTATATTGAGCTGTAGTCACGAGCTGATGTTCATGATGCGCTGCATGGTTCAGAGAAAGAGAAATGAGCTGGTGGATGAATCAATTGATGACCAGCAATCATGCATACTATGAGCAGCAAATGGCATGCTGGGAATGGAATGACAGGTATGGTCTGGAAAGTCATTCACTCTGTGCATTCACACTCTTTCAGGAATCTATCACTCCAAGACCACTCGCATCAGTACAGGAGCAAGCTGATGAAGCAGAGGTGCCAGCAGCCTCTGAATGTCATGTATGTGTGCCTTCAAAACTTCGCATTCTGTTTTTGTGCTCTCATACTCACACAGGATGGGTCACAGAAGAAGAAAAGGGACGACATGTCCCTTGGACTACAAGTGAGTTGTAGATGTACTTATCGTGTATGCCAGCCAGCATTCTCATGTAGTTCATGCAGGACTTGACTGATGAGGAGGACAATGCAGAAACACAGTCATCTGTGATCACACAAGACGACTTCCCACCACGAATGTCTGGGCATATATTGCAAGGACAAGGTCCCATCCAGAATGTCTCAAGATCTTTTTGCAGCATTACAAAGATACATTTCCATGACCCAAAAACAGCATGGGCATAACTTCGAGACAGTCCAGTTAGGAGCTCAGATCTGCACCATGATCAAAAGGGAGCATAGGAAATATGAACAACTCAAGATTGCAGTGAAAAAAGGTTGGCCCATTAGCACGATTAACTTCAAGCAGATTCCAGGGCATATCATCAAGTGGCAAGACCAGCTAGATCCAGATTCTTCATAACAGGAGCCTCCACAAGCAGCAGCATGTCTGGAAGTGTTTCAAGGCGGACTTGGTTGAAGATGGGTGGACATTGGAAAAGCTAGCTCACATGCAGAACTCAGCACTGTGTTCCAGGATTGGCGATTCTGGACCACTCACATGCTGGATAGTACATTCCCTAACATGCAACTCACTTCTTCAACTGTGTGGAAACTGATGTAAACACTGAGCAGTTATGGCAACAAGGGAGCTGCAATCATCGAGCACACCCTCATTGCCCTGTTCCTGGCATCAAGCAGAGTTGACTGCAGCAATATGGCCTCTACCACTTGCACACAGTTCATGACATACTTTATGGTGCCCTGCGTAGCGACCTTGCTGATCACAGATGATTACAGTCCCACAACAGTTGTCAAGGCACACAAGATCATGGTTGCAAGTAGCAATGCTGGTTCCCTCATCCACCCTGCAAATGATGATGATACAGAGTTGGAGGAGATATTTCATAGAAACATTGTCACCTTTCGACTAAAGTGACTGGAGCTCCTGACACGTAAAGCGACAAGTGATACCCAGGGATGCTGCTCAGGCTCTGCTGGAACTCCAAGGGCAAATGCAGAAGGCATCTCCTACTCCATCATCCTGTGTAGGCTGTGCCTTGACTGACACCATTCACCTTAGCCATGACCTTGCCTCAGAGTTAAATTACTTGTGACAGACAATGATTCCAATCAAGCTGCCAACAAGTTACATTCAGAGCAGGCAAAGGTTAACTGTTCACTACACACTTTATCCCACTAACATTGTGCCTTACTGACACTACTAACCTTACAGACCACAACATGGTCATGCTGAAGCAGCAAGTCCCAATCAACAGTGCCACCAGTGGCCACTGCATGTGTACTACCTTCGATGCTTCCAATGTGTTATACTGATATAGATATCACCACTTACACAGGTCCAGCAGCATGCCCCAAATGCAAGCATAGGTCAAACTGCCAGACTTGTCACATCAGTGAGTATAAGGCAATTCAGTTGTCATACCCCCATCACCTGTCCTTTCTGCACTTCGTGACTCATGTGTGGTCAAATGTACAGGAACACATGCTAAGGCAAATCACACTACTCGATCAAAGACTCGGTGAGGCCAACCATGACAGAACATTCATAACTAGGCTGCACCTTGTCAATCCACTCTCATTTCCTTTTAGCTAACTTAATGTCGATGTGCTGTCTAATCAATGTTAATTTTGCAAGTGAAACAGTACTTTTGTGACTGATGATAAGTGTGCCTCTTGACTGAAAATCAGTGCCATTGTGAGTGAAAATCAGTGCCTTCTTCAATGGAAATTTCCAGAAAATAAGTGCCTAACATGACTGGAAATCAGTACCATTTTGACACTGAAAAAACATGTCAATGACACTGATGCATGGCACTGGTTATTAGTAGCAAAAATGAAATATCAGTGCCACAATTTGGCACTGATTTTCATTGTGTGGAACTGATATGCGGTGCTTTTGGGACTATTATACAGTACATGCGGCACTTGTTTTTCAGGTGCATTTACTTCCCTCGGTGCTGCCGAAAGTATCTTCGAGGAGTGCCTGAAAGAACACAAGAAACTCCGTCCTCCAGAGAAAACTAAACGTGGCGCATCAACACAATCAATGCCTACATGGCAAAGGGAAATGACCCGGGCCATCCAAGAAATGGAACAATTTTCTGATGCGGAGGCTGCTGATGAAAACGATGGCACTGCCATTGGGGGTGAAGATGAAATTGGTGACGACACAGTGGAGGAGTACTGATTTACATTATTACTACCATGCTCAGTGGCTCATTCAGGTTTTCTCTGCCATTGATGATGGCTTTTCGTCCAGTACTTTCTGTTCTCGCAATGGGAGTCAGCATACATCCATACATCTACTCACTGACTCAATTATTCAGTCGTACCTAGAACCTATTTACATCCTGCATAATAAGCAATCATTGTTCACATTTTCACGAGGCCTGTCCATAATTCTCGGGGTTGATCCGAAGTTGCATTGAGCTGCCAGCGACCGAGTCCAATTTCGCACGAACACAGGATGGTAACTTCCTAGACAGAATTTTTTCCCTTCAGTGTACATTAAACCTAAGTTTATTACAGACTGGTCTATGTTGAAACTATGTTGACAGTATGGAATTTTAACCTATGGTCTCCTACACTACGTACACGTGGATATTGTAACGTTGACTACACACTAGTTTGTTGACCTCAATCCAACATCGCAACAATGGTGTTCCAATATTTTCTCACACAGGTCTGTGTCGACCCTTTGCCGAAGCGGCGGTGTAGATGGTCGGAACTAATATGTTATTTCCAACACTCAGGCTCCCCGAGGCTCTATCTCCGTCTCCATGTAGCGAGCAAACCAACGAGGACAGCACGAGAAATACAAACAGAAAGAAATGACCAATAAAAGAGGAAGACAGACACTTTAAAAGCCAGTAGTGAACCCGAACATACGTCAAAGAATTTCCAGCACTTTTGCCTGAATGTACTTGGAGGACGGGATGTTGGTTCCGAGTCCCGGGACAACAATCTCGTTCTCGGCTGCGACTCTCTTGTACGTTCCATTCGACTGCTGCACAGGAAGCAACGCATTAAAAGGCTGTCCAATGCGAGTAATCATTTGTAGTGCCCGGGTATAGTCATCAACCTGAGGCATGGGAACAGCATGTAACGGTGAAGGCGGCGCAACCCCATCCAATCCAGCGCCGCGATCCGAACCCGGGTCAGAGTTGATATCAGACTCCGGGTCATCTTCCCAGGTAACCCCACTACTTGGACCCCGGATATGATCAATCCACGGATGCACGAAGACCAATTTCTGTGGCTCGTGCAGCGGGAGATCATCTGCAGTCGTAAACTCCACGTTTCCAAGCGAAGGATACCCTGGCACGGCATAGCTTCTCATTACCTGTGCGTAGCCGCTGTATACTAAGTCTTCTGACAGAGAAGGTGATGCATGGAAGATGTGGACGTCGGGTCGCAAAACGGGCGGGAGGAAGGAAGGTGATTTGATGATAGATTTTCAGGGCTTCTTGCTGGGGCAACTTGCCACGCAATTCCGTGATGCACGTTTCCATTTCTCCCCCTTCGAGTGACGGGGATTTGTAAGGAGTTTGGCTGTAGACGGAAATGGAAGCCGGAAGACAACTGTTGTATGACGACGATTTCCCTGACCACGCAAGAACGGTGACCTCGCCGGTGCGAGCCACAATCTCCTCCAGTAGATGACCAAGAGCGTCTGATCTCTCTCCGCAGTGAGGCCTGATATCGGACTCGAATATGCCGATGAGAGAGTACGCGACGTCTTCCTCGACCGTCGCATTGCGCATCGAAGCGAGACAAAGTTTTTCGCGTACCCCAAGATCGCCTGGGGAGAACGAAACAATTGTTCCGCGGGAAACCTTGATAGCGTCTGCAAGCTCTTGCATGATCTCCGAGGATTCCTTATGGTTGGCGCTAGTATTGCCAAGGTATGGTTTCCATTCGGAATCATAGAAAAAGATCACTTTCGGCGAGAGAAGCTCTTGCAAAGTCCATGCTCGTGTCATCCATCGACTGCGCGCAAGGTCTCCAGGCTTGGATGGATGTGGTATGTGGGCAAGGAATACGAGCGTGGCTGCTGAATCTGCATACCACTTGTACATAGATGTAAGAGATTGATTAAGGACGGAGCTTGTGAACTTGTCGATGCAACACGTATCCGACCATGCCCAATTGTAACCAAGCCTGCGCGTCTCCTTGCAGAAATTGCACAACTTCTCATTCAGGGGCGTCTTCGGAAGGTTCCAAACGGATTTGGATTCAACTTTATTGACGTCCTGGAACGACGGCTCGTTCCCCTGCCATACGTGCGAGAACATGACGTATCCAAAAAAACTGGAGACCACTCGTAGGATCCGCTCGTTGTCCATTTCTGTCGTCATGGATGAAACAAGCTCTTTGAACGACGGATCAGCCTTGGAGATACCCATTCGCTCAGGAACATTCGCATAGGCAACCGGACGTGACATCGATGACGACGAGTGGGCAATTCATAAGGATCTCGCCAGTGACGGTATCAATGGCCGCAATAGTCTCGGATGGAGAAATGTAGTTCTTGCGCAGCTCTATGAAATCGTCATTCATGGGTGTTGGATTCACACAGGAGGTACCTACCTCTGATGGTTGCGTCATGGGACTGTTCGATCACTTGCAACATTGACCTGAAAGCATCGATAGCTTCGTCATACCGTTTCGCTCCATGAAGCGCCACGTGCTTGGCCTCGTAGCCCCAAGGGCTGGAGGGGTCCACTTTTACTGCCTATATGGCTATTCTAGGAAACTGGCTCATAAAAAAGGATATCATGCATACCTCGTTCGCATCCTGCAGTGCATCCTCCCATAACCCTTGTGCCGCTCGAGCTCTGCTCCGCTTGATAAACAAACCTACAGGACTCGAAGGACTGAGGGACAATGCAGTAGAGTACCTGCGTTGTTGCGCTGTCATGTTTCGCAGATCCAAAGACTTCATCACCAACATACTCAAGTGTTGCAGTGCACTTTTTGGTGAAGTCCTGATGGTGAACATGAACGTGGACGTCAACAAGACTAACGGCTACAAGACGTACCTGAAACCCAGTCTGCAGTTGCCTTGTTCGCCTGGATTTCCTTGCCTGATGACTTGATGATATTGAGGAGAATCTCTACGGCTTCAGCTGTATGTTCTTCAGCATAGAGGTTTTCACATAAGCGTTGCTGGGTAGCAAGGTTCAGTCCATTGAAACTCCACCCAAATATCTTCGTGGAGGGTTAGGTTGGTCAATAGGTAGTAACAGCAGAAAACCTACGAGGGAGATCGTCACTAACAGAGGACATTCTTTGTCCTTGGGAGCTAAGATCTTCGCACGCTCGATCAATGGTATGGCACGCCTGTAGTTTCCTCCCTTCATGTACATAACTCCAAGGACCTGCGGAATGTATCAGCGGCGATACTACAAGTGTGCATCGCAAAGCACTTGCCTGGGTGAAAAGGTAGGTTGCGTCGTTATCGTCGTCCTTGTTTGCTCTCGTCACAAGGTGTTCTACGCGTGTAATCGCCTCGTCCTGATATCCTGATTCAAACACAAGGATAAACTGATTGGAACATGGATGAATTGCAGAAACGATATAGATCACCTCACGCACCTTCAGTAGTAAGAGAAATCTGTTGTCGCGAAGCTCACAATCATAGAAGGCAAGGGCAAATGTGCACAGTGCGCCCTCTCGGTCACCCTGACCAAGTAGAGCAATCGCCATGGCGACGTAGCCGATAGATGATGGCTGAACCTGGAGTGACTTGAGGTGCACGTAAGTGAGTGTGCACAGGTAAAAGTGAACCTAAGGCAGACTGACTTCCTCGGCATCCTCTATCGCAGATGCCAAATGTTTCAAACGTGCTCTTATAAGAGCACGGTTTGCTAGCACGTAGTGTCTAGGAATCGAGGAGCTCGTGACCTCCTCTGAGAGCAGAGTTTCGGTTTTCGCCGGGTCGTCCTGTATCCATGACTCAAGGGTCTCATTACTCACTCTTACGAGCGGAAGCTAAGAAGTGCGGAGTTGGCGCCGGATTAAAGCATTACGCAGAGCACAAGAATAGCGTGATGGGTGTTAGCTATGTGAACTTCATGAGCGGATGTACACTTACACCATGGTCAACATACTTAAAGGAAAGGACATCTCCGAGAATGTGGATTGTGATGTTCCTACCATTTCCACATGCGAGATACCCTCCACTTGGTGAGAGAGCAACACATTTGACCTGTGAAGTGTGTGAGATAATACTACCGATCTGCTTGTGGGACACGCAATCCCATAGTGAAACCGATGAGCCTGCGGAGCACGCAATAAATCTGCCGTTCGATACTATAGATACCCCAGATTGGTTTTCATGGATCGACCATTCTGAAGACGACAGCTTGGATAGGTCGAGACAGGTGATTTTACCTATGCTCGCAATGAACAGTCGCTGACCATCGGACGACCAGGCCAACGGGGTGACCGGCCATGCACCAGTTGAGCCCTGTCCGTCTGAATCGAACAAGATGTTGCCGTTGTGAGTGCCGTAGACACAGAAACCGTAACAGTGCGAGGCGATAGCCAACCGACTGCCATCTGGGGAGAACTTGAGACCAATGGTCCCACCGTGCGGGCGAAGGGGACGAAGGAGTCGTTCACCGGAAGTTATGCTGAACATCCGGGCGTCGTAGTGCCCCGCAGAGGCAAATTTAGTACAGTCGCTCGGGTTATCGACCCCCATTACCATGTGCCCGTGTTCTGTGAGCTCGCGCACTTTTGCATGAGTGGGCGCATTCCAGACGATTGCCTTCCCTCCGCGGTCTCCAGACACCATCCACCGGCCATCCTGGGAAACGACGATGGACTCGATAAGGCCACCCGCTTCCATGGTTGGACCCTGTTGTTGTCCATCTTCAATCTTCCATCGCCGAATTTCACCGTTGGCGTATCCTCCTATGACCTGATTTTCGTCCGCAAAGGTGACTGCATGTGCATCACTCTCAGGAGATACGATTTCAATCCGTCTCGCATCTTAAGTAGCCACCCCAGCGAACTGTCAGTAGGGCTGCCAGTCTCTCTGGCTGCTGGTACGCACCCATCGTCATCGCTGGCAAGCCCGCCAACACAACTTATCCTGGAGTTTAGAGGGGAAACGAACAATAGCTACTCGCAGCACCCGATATATAGTTTACACGTTCCTCAAGCTATCCGGCCAAATAGTTGCATCGTGTTCTTCAAGATCAGGATATCGATGGAGATCTGGCAATGCAGGTCTTAGTAATGATTCGAATTCCGCAGATTTCGTCTGCACAGATCAACGCATTGGGCAAGGGTTGACGGGTGCGAGATGTACATAAATATTGGCACATGAAGTATCTACAATCATCCAATCCTAGAAAGTTATTCAGTGCATGCGCCAATTCCCCACTCTGCCTTTGGCACATCAGAGAGCTCGACAGCCAACTGCGATGCTACCTGCATGACGGAGATAACAGGAACTTGGGACGGTTGATTGCGGTACTATAAATGGCCACGACTGAACAGTACCTGACTCACAGTCAGAAAATTCTGTAAAGTGATCCTATGGGACAGTCAACGTACGGGGAAGGGCAACTGACATGTCTTGAAGGAAGTTGGGAAGTTCCAGCAAGTCGTTGTCATATTTGGGAGGTACGCCTGGCGACACGAAAGACAATTGTTGAAACGCTCACGTCTCTCGAGCCTGTATGTGTATGTAAATTAACCTGCCGAGGGAAGACCTACTCTCGCATGAGTATTTGAGAGGTGAAGACTATCGCGAACCGAGACAATTAGCCTCAACATAAGCTTGAATATTGTTAGTATACAAATATCACGTCAACTGTTAAATAACTTGGACAGTCGACCATGATGCATATCCAATCAGTCCACCTTCTATCCAAGGAGACCCCTGACATATTTTAGAAGGTCTCTTCCCTACAAAAGAAAACTCATCAGACGAAATCAACCATCGATATCCAAAAATCCCACTTACCTCTTTACTCTTCACACCGGCTACCATCGCCTCCACGCCTTCCAACTCCTCGTCTCGCCATCTCTCGGTACCCTCGCTGCTACCAGAGACGAACCGCGACATCCGCTGTCGCTGACTTAATCCGTGCCGCTGAACAACAGTCAATACGGCCCGCCAACCCTCTACCAAACCATCGCCATTACCAGGGAGGTTGGATGTACCGGACGTCGTCGCGGAAGGAAGCGATGGTACAGCTGTTGATCGGACGACATACGGACAGTACGAGCGGTGCTCTTTTACGACATCGAAAGCTCTTCGAGATCGCGAGCCCGATGTCCTCGCTGCTGATGCGAACGCCGACAGGGATTTTCCGTTCGTCGATGACAAAGGCGCATGCTGCTGTTCCTGTTCCTCACCCATTGAACTCTCGTCGGCGAGCTCTACGGTTGCAAAGCTCCACAACCCCACGCGTCTCTGGCACAGCGGGCAATGTATGAGTGACATATCCTTTGCTGATGTGGACAACGTTGATAGTCCCATTGCAGATGCACTACTGGGAACCCCATTGTTCGCATGGAGTGGGCGAACCGGGGATGCACTGAGTTGTAATCTAGAGGCGCTCCTACCTATACGGGGCGATGCAGACGGGGGTGGCATCGGCGCAGGCGTGGACCCCCGGTCCGTGAACGAACGCGAGACAGAACTTGCACGCGAAAGCGCGGGTGTGGACACAGAGGCCACGAACGACCCTGAACGAGACATCGACAAGGACGACATTGGTCGGCGATCGAGAGGAGGTGAAGGCGCGGGCTATACTCTCTCAACAACATCCTCGCCAAGGATGAGCTTGTTGATACCTTCGTCGGCGGGACCCTTCTCCAGGCTATACTTGATGCTAAAGACTACCACCGCTGGCTCAGTCCCGTGAATGGTACTGTCGTAAAGACACGCCTAATTTCTGGCGCGACGGCATCGTGACTCGCCATCAGTCCCGCATCCAACCTATTACGCGGCTCGCTTGGACGATGACGATAAGGATCTGGACGTCATCTCCCGCTCGCAAGATTTCGTCTCCAACGTCTCCACACGTGCTTTGATCTTCATCCAAGCTGAGGAGCCCGTCGGCTTGATGTGCTTCGTGGGTGTTGGCTTGGGCGAGGTGTCGACCTGCAACGTGATCGTCGAGCAGGGCCAGAAGCTCTGCAAAGGAACCGAGCTTGGCCAGTTCCACTTCGGAGGATCTACTCACTGCCTCATTTTCCGCCGTGGCTTGACTGTGAAGCCACTTGATCAAGACGGCGAAGATTTGGTAGGATCGAAGGTGCGAGTTGGCAAAGACATCCTCACCGTAACAAAGTAGAATTGAGTTGATAGCTTTGCTCGCATGTTGATGTAAACCTTACGAACAGTGTCATTTCTCGTGTGTACGATAGCAAAGTTGAATTGGTGTGTTGACGTCTTTGTATACGATGTAACATATCAGGCTTTACGAAGGCGGTGTCATCTTTATGCAAACATTTGATCGCTTGGTTCAGTTTAAGGTGCCAGCAGCGTGTCAATGGGGGCTAAAAACCCTGGGTCAGAGCAGCTCGACACTCCTTATCTTTCGGTCTGATTTACCCTTAGCTGTGTTCGCTGATCCCGCAGGGAGAGGTCGGCAAACATGTACTAGCCTGAGGGGTTTTCCCCTTACCTAGCTCAGGCTCGAAGACTGTATCCGGGTCATATGGGTACAAGAGTCATCGGGTTAGGTTTGCGACGGCAGGTATGTTTTAACTCTCGGTATTTGGTGGCTTGGAGGGGGGAGTATATGCTCTCCCTTTGCTATTAGTTGGAACGGACATAACTAAGTTACGTTGAATCCCTTTGGATCGAACTAACTCGTGTTCTTCTATCGCTACGTTTGATCGCGTTTTCCTTACCTTGGCAAGCTTCGCCCGAAGTGCCCTCCTGACGTCCCTGAAGAAGCTGAACGTCGACTATGTAGGTTCGTACCTTAGGTTTCTCAGCCGCGCTACTAATCGACTGCCAGCTGGTCGACGACAAAAAGGTGACATCCAGTGATTGAATAGCACCGTCGAGTTCGCTCTACATATATAAAGCCCAAGTCGTGTCAGAAAACGAGACCAACCAACAAATATCGTCACAACTGCTGACGTTGGTCGCTCAAATGGAAGATATCGAGGACAGTGAAGGCCGGCTGCCTCTGTCACCATGATTTCTTGGTCAGTTGACAGTTGTGCTGTAAGGGAAGCGTGAACCTACGTGAACTTCTGGAGGTTAGGCGTCATCAATTTTCCATAAACCCCGAATGACGGAAGTCGTTCTGTTCTCAACGCTGTTCCCTTACTCACAAAGGCACCAAGACAATACATAGTCATATCCCGGGTCATCATCGGGTGATGGTAGATGGCGACGACTCAAGTCTCATGCTCCCTCACAAGATGCGGGACACTCACCAGCCGCCGTGACGGATCCACTGCTAAGCAGAGTTTCATCACCCGGTGATCTCCCTACTGAAACAAACATCCGCTGGAGCTATCATAATTTAGCCGGAATTGGGTGTCCTGGAAAACGGAGGACCCGAGGGCCCTGACGGGGTTGGTGGCCGCTTGACGTGACAGCTAGAGAATGTGGATATCATCATAGTTTGGAGGAACGCCTTGACAGATGATAGCAAGGAAGATAACTACTGGGGTGCACGTGATGCGAGGTTTACATATGGGCAGTTGGCGGAGGGCGAACGCGCAGAGGATGTTGACAACAGATGTCACGACGTCGGCGGGTCGTCCGCTTGATGTGGTCGCCGTAGGCGATGATTGAGTGGGTCTTCGTCTTCCTCTAAGCCTTCGGTATTCTGTTTGTTCGAGTTCGAGTTCAAGTTGAGATGTGCACATGTTCCGTTTGTGCCACGCGTCGAACAAACATGTCAGGATACAGTCTTCGAACCCTAGTTAGGGGACAAAGAAAATATATTCGCCGATTCGCACTTTCAATCCTACCAATGGTGTCGTCCTCGCCCCAAGTGAGGACCAGTGACACAGGTAAGCCCAAAGCGGAAGATGAGGCAGCGGGTAGATCCTCGAAAATGGAACTGGCCCAACCCGTCTCCTTTCAATTCCAGCCCCCGCGTTGTTGGCACCTTACTTAGACGGAACCAAGTGAAACGCTGAAACATGGCATTCTCGCCGTAAGCCTAAAAATGTTACATCATATACAAACACGTCAAGGACACCAATTCAACTTTGCCATCGTACAACACGAGAAATGACACTATTCGTAAGGATTACATCAACATGCGAGGGAATCAATTCTGCTTTGTCACAGTGAGGATGTCTTTGCCGACCCGCACCTTCGATCCCTCCAAATCTTTGCCGTCTTGATCAATCTTCGTCACGGTCAGGCTAGGTTGGAAGATGAGACAGTGGGTAGATCCTCCAAAGTGGAACTGGCCCAGCTCATCTCCCTTCTTGAGCTCCTGACCCTCCTTGACGACAACGTTATAGGTCGACACCTCGCCCAAGCCAACACCCACGAAGCACATCAAGCCAACGGGCTCCTCAGCTTGGATGAAGATCAAAGCACGTGTGGAGACGTTCGAGACGAAGTCTTGCGAGCGGGAAATGACGTCCAGATCCGTATTGTCATCATCCAAGCAAGCGGCGTAGTAGGTAGGCGGTGGGTTAGGATGCGTCGCGCCAGAAATGAGGCGTGTCTTCACGACAGTACCGTTTACAGGACTGCGCCAGCCGTGGTAGTCGAGAGATCCAAGCATAGCCTGGATAAGAGTCCCGCCGACTGAATGTGTCAATAAGATCGTCCTCTGCGAGCATGTGGTTGAGGGAGTAAGGGGTATTTTTGATCCAGAATTTGTCTGTCTTCCTGAGGTTGTAGTAAACCTGGTGAACGGTAGACGAGCATGCAGAGTTGATGATCGCTGGGTTGTCAGGATAAACTACGGCACGATGGACGGCTCTCAACTCCCTGACGAAGAGCTCGTCATAAGACTTGAAACCATAGTGAGGATCGCTGGTGTCGCAAATGTAAAAGTTCTCGAACGTATCCTGACCGGGAGTGCCACCGGCACTTTGGACCATGGCATTGAGCGCTGCGGTACTGAGCCAACCGCCTTCTCCATCGTGGATGACGTTGGTGGACGCCGTCGACGTGAGGTACTCGTGCCATTTCGTGAACACCCTGCAGAATCTCTCATTGACTCCGGGGTGGGTGAACGCGTTATAGCCCGCGGGAGTGTTGCAGAAACGCGAAATGATACCGTAATAGGGAACAGCCGCCACCATAGCGCTCACACCCTCACCAAAACTGGGTGCTGTCGTCAGGTTCGTGTCGATCATCTCCATCAAGTCCACATAGTCTTCGATCTGGACTGAAATGAGCGGAGTAATAATCACAAAGACCGAAATTATATACCTTTTCCTGGTCTTCGTTCTGAGGCGGGGGAGCTTGCTCGAACATTTCGTTGAACGCAGCATAGACCACACCCTCCTTCTCAATGTAATCTTGGAATTCCTGTACTATGGGGTCCAATGCGCGGACAGTATAAACTTGCTCCTCGGCCGACGGTGATGCGATAGTGGCACCGTAAGCGCCTTACGTCGAGCTCAATGTTGGTTTTGCTTATCGCCGTCTCCAGGTTCTCTCCTTACCTCCGCGAAACGCACGCGGGTCTTAGGATTACGGCCATGGATAACGCGACTGCGCACGAGCAAGTCGCTCACGAATGTTTCAACGGCCGCTGGGTCCTTGGGGAGCCATCTGCAGACGGTAGTTCTGGACATGGTTAATGCTGATTACAGTCAGTATGAAGGTGTGGTGGTACTAAGAGGTGAAAGGGACCCACGAGTATAACAATTGTGATGGGGAACAGGTGTTGTAGAGACAAAAGCCTGAGGAACGAACGAAAAACCTGAGCCCTTTTATCCGTTCCAGCCAGCCATAGCATATCGGGCAGGTCGTCTTGCAGCAGTAATACGATTGGGGCCTTGGCTTCTTGTCACTAGGCGTGTCAGTTGACCCCCGGGCAAACACGATTGCACCCCGCGGCTATGTAGAATGATGCGTACATAATCGAGAGAAAGAATGGTAGAAAATGGGGGGAAAAGGCTTCCGAATGGAAGGTCTGACCGACCTGGAACGCCGAAACGTAACTTCCCCGCAGATCGCGAAGAACCTACACTCACGACTAGACCACCCACTAAACTGGTACTGTGACACATGACTGATAATCAGATAGACAATCCTGAACCAGATGGCAGCAGTGCAGGCGTCCCTAGAAAACATGGAAGAACTTACGCTTCGAATCCAAGCTGGTTCTGGAAGGATCCCAAAGTGTGGCTAACTGCTGTTCGCTCCAACCGTGGTTTATGCCAAGGGGAATAGGTCATCATATCTTCAATCACAAATGAAGAGATACTTGCCAATCAAGAAATTGACCTGCCAGTAGGCGAGGATGTATCCTGGAAGAGTGTCCCCATTTGACTTAGTTTTGTCGTAAACCTCACCTTCGTCTGGTCAGAGACTCTGCCTCATGGGTATTGAAAAACTCATAGCGTAATTCGACGCTTTTGCAGATAAGTTGTGAAAGCGTACATGGTTCACAGCACTAGATTCATTCAAATCACGCACGTGCCTACCTTGAATGCTCCGAATTCGGCTACACCATCATGTTGGTTACCCAAAGCACCATAAGGGCGTTGAATTTTTTCCGTAGATGGGCAAGGCCACAGAATCAGCACCACCCTCGACAATATCGGCGGCACAACGTTATCGTTTGGATCGTCCGGAGAGTTTCGCCGCACCCTGTGATCAATAGTAGGTTTAGTACTTCGGTGCACACTTATGTGACAAGAAGGAACAGCTTTCTTTTTGCAGTCAAGTCCGATGTAATCTCTTGTGAGCCACCTTACTAAGTCACTGGTCACGATGTTAAAGGAGCGGAGCGTTCCGCAAGCAGACTCCTACTTCCTCATGTCCATCACGCCAACATCGAGGCGCTGATTACAGTCAGTATGAAGATGTGGCGGCAATAAGAGGTGAAAGGGACCCACGACTATGACTATTGCAATAGAGAACAGATGTTGTAGAGACGAAAACCTGAGCCCTTTCATCTGATCCAGCCAGCCACAGCATATCGGGCAGGCCATTCTGAAGTAGTAATACGATTGGAGCTTTGGTTTCTTGTCACAAGAAGCGCTAGTTGACCCCGGGCGAACATGACTGCGCCTCGGCTACGTAGAATGATGCGTAGCCGAAAGTGAGAATGGTTAGTAGCAAGTGCGAGAGCCAGCCCCCGAATGGATAGTCTGATCGACCCGGAACGTCGAAAGGGAATGCTCCACATATCACGAAGATCCTACACTCACGGCTATTACACCGCAATGACAGATAATCAGATAGATAATTATGACCCAGGCGGCATCGCAGGTATCCTTAGAAAACACGGCAAAGCTTACGCTTCGAGTCCAAGCTGGTTCTGGAGGAACCGTACCCACCAGAGTGCGGCTAACTGCTGTTCGCTCCAGCCACGATTAGTTCCAAGGGGAAAGATCATCATCTTCAGAAGAGATACTTGCAAGTTGTGGGGCCGCACATGGTTTCCAACAGGATGTGCCCAAATTAGGCCTGGGCACGGACAGGGGCTAAATAAGTGAAGACCCACAGGTAAAAATAGCTAGCCCCCCATGATGCATGTCAGATACGGTGGCCACCCCACACGGTATCACAAGAGCACCCTCTGGTGTATTATCCAAGCGTTTTCTCTAATAGGAATGTCAGTCAATGCTTTTGAGCTTCTGCTGAATGTTCCTCTTGAGTCCTACAACGCCACTAGACAATAATACCCAACGTTCCTCCTAGGTGTTGTTGATCGGCATTCGGCAGGTTTCTTTCTTTCTTTCTTTCTTTCTTTCTTTAGAACTACAGCGAGCGAGAATGCTGCCATGAGTGCACTTTACTAAATACATCGCCCCAAACTACGCCTTGTCCTTCTTAAGTCCTATAACACCATTAGACAATAACACCACAACATTCTAGGCACTGTTCAAATCAGCATTCGACAAACATCATTCCTGCTGTCATCAGAATCGCGGCGACCGAGAACGTTGTGTCTTACTAGAGTTTACATCCAAATTCCAAGGACAAATACTGCTGGCACCCATTTGGAGGCTACACGGCGAACTTACCTTCGCTTAGATGCACGACGCCGCTGAGAACTTGCCATTCGATCCTTCAAGCTTCAACCCTTATGACTTCCAGACGATGCGATCTTCGATTGACAGGCGTGCGTCGTAGAATGAGGGTGGTGCCCACATGCTGGTTAGTTAGGGCGCCATAAGTATGTTGATTTTTCCAGTAGATGGACAAGATCCTACAAGATCAGTACCACCCTCGACGACATGGGTGGTGCAACGTTATCGTTTGGATCGTCCGGAGAGTTTTGCCGCACCCTGTGATCGGTAGCAGGTTACTGTGGTGTACATACTTGTGTGACAGGAAGGAACAGCTTTCTTTTTGCAGTCAAGTCAGGGTGAAATGTGGGGATTGGTAGTACGAATATCTTGCGCAGGTGAACCACGATAGAGTTGCAACACAGTGCTGAACTGCCGTAAGTGGAGCGAAGCGTTACCCAGGCGGGCCCCAGGATTAGCAGGGTACTTCCCGTGGCCTAGTGCCGATAAATCAGATTGCACGGACTCCCATGATCCCGTGTCATCTGATCGGCTGGAGCCAGGCTGCGTAATTTCTTTATTCGCTGGAAGTCTAGGCGAATCAAAACTTTGGGCCAGTAATGGTATCGAACATCTCGCACCAGTGGGGTTGTAAGTACATATATGGTTGGCAGTAACTTTCTTCGCTATCGGAGGCCCGCCTCAGTCTCCCCAGTGGGCACCCCAAAATTCTACGTTAGTTTTTGGTGCGGGTTCCAGCCCCTTGGCTTCAGAATTGGAGCGATGTTCCTTCACCCCAAAGAGATGTGTTAGTCCGTTTGTGTTGGACTCGAGACACGCAAGCACAAAGGATGACGATGGTATCATGTAACGCGAACCTCATTACGGGTAATCTGATATCACCGTGTTGGTCACAGGTTGCAGAACGCTATTCTCAGCGATGCATTGACTTGTTTAGGTGGGTGATGTGTCAACTCAACGGTTGGGCTGCTCTGTTCTGCCAGTACCGATACCGTCTCAGGTCCCCCTCTACTACTACCTGCACTGTAGGTCTGTGCCTTGACCGAAATTCTCGCGCCATTCAGGTATACAGCGCTCAGAATACTCAGATGATAAACTGAATAGGATTGTCGGTAGTCCGCATCTTGAGGTTCTTGGACGACAAGGTCAGAGTGTGGGCTATCGAACATCGTAGAGCACAAGCTAAGCTGCATAATAGGGGCATTTAAATGGATTTGGAAAGTAGAGATTACATAATCCATTCACATCTGCCTCACCAAGAAACATGGCAGCAGAGGTTCAAGCATCGTCAGCGACAACCCCTTCAACGTCCTCGATGTCTTCCATTCGAGCCACCAAGGTTGGCCATTAGGACGGTATTCATCGGTGTCGGTCTCGTTTCTGACATGACTTAAACATAGAGGAAACTCGAAGATGCTATTCAGTCATTAGACGTTGCCGTTTCGTCGTCGACCAGCTCGCAGTCCATTAGTAGCACGACAGATACTCCTCCCGAGTCGCCAAGCGTCCTCATCTCTCCCGCTCTCTTCACTCGACACTCGCAAAATATGGCGTACAGACTCGCACCGACACCAAGCATTCTTACTCGCCCGAGTCGGCCCCAATTTACTTTCCAGTAAAACAGGATTTGCTGAATGCAATGGCAAAATGTTGGTATTATCTCGAACACCATCGACCTCTCCAAGAACGCACTCTACCTCACTGCCATTCTCGCCCGCACGGCATCTCGCTCTTCTCCATCCAAACAGAAAACAGTTCCCTTGAAGCACTCTTCTGCACCTCCAGGTTATTCAACGTCCGAATACAGACCCTCGTCGACGCGATCCTTTCTGTCATGTCTTGCCACGTACAAGCTATCCGCGTATGCCAATAAGCCACCACAAATCGATGCTGTAGCCGCAGCCAAGTGTGGATGAATAAACGACGGAAATGATAGGTTGATATGTGGGATATGTGACGTGTCATGGGTGCTTGCATGACGAGATGGCATGATCAAGGAAGCCGATAAGAAGGTAGGTTTTAGGATCGTGTAATTGTCGCTGAGCACTCTATCCTGTCGGGATGTGTCGCTCTGTGCACGATTTGCAGCTAACGCTTTAGTCGAAAAACAACGTGCTTCGCTTGTGGACATGCACAAGGATGCATGCCCGTGGAGGACGCGACAATGCGAAGGTGCGTATCGTTTCGTCCAGTACTGTCCAAGGATAATCTAATCTATCCCACAGATTCCGTGTACCGCGTGCCCCTTCAATCCCCGAGTTTCACAGCTCGCGACTTGAGAGCTACCACCATTGCATGGGAATTCGACCCGTCTTTCCTCACCCGATGCATCTGTGGGGCATGCTTTTCTCTTCATCGACCCATCTCTTGTTCCACCATTCGACCTAGCTCGATGCCTCCGCGCACTCACCGGGCTCTGATGCCCAAATACCGTCATACCTGGGAAGGGTCGTTGTGGGTCTGGGATATGTCCAAACTTGTGACTGAAGACAAATGGAAAGGTCTACACGTACTTCTAAACATTATTGATATGTCCCCTGCAGAGGTTTGCCTGGCAGCTATCGAAGAAGGTACCAAGTTAGGACTCTTTGCCCTCAGTACTATCTGCTCCGAGACTCCAGAGCTCCGGAGAACGATACAGGATATCCGGAACGCACAGCACACTCACCGGTGCGCAACGGGAAGGGCTAACGCATCCCATGGTAATCAAGGGTGTCGCCGACCTGAGCTTTACACGCAGCACATGCCTAAAGGGCGAGGCGGAGGGCGCGCCAATTTCGGACACCCCAAGCCAGAAGGGCGGTCTAATTTCTTCAAGTACTGCTCTTGCGATTTCTGCAACCAAACCCTTGATAATCCAGCACAGCCTCATGTGACCTTCACGCGTCCGGGAAACTCTTGCGACCCTCTCCGCGAGTTCAATAACTACTCGGCGAACGTCAACGCTATGCTGCAGAACCTCGAGATCACTACCATCGATGGATCTCAGAACACCCCCATGATTTCAGAAACCACTGGTCCGTCCACAGTTTGGACCGTTGTCCTCGTCTATTCCGCGATTTTACTTATGATCTACCTAGCTGCCACTCCGATGGGTAGCACGGTAACTAACTAATGACTTAACCTTCTCGTCGAAGGTCAGGAGGGCGAATGTAGCGATTCACGGATGTACACGACCGTTAACACCTCGGAATAAAGATTTTTATTTCCTTTTCTTTCTCTTTCTCTATCTCTCCCATTTTTAGCTACTCGTTTGTCTCCCGCCGCACTCTGGACGTATATAAGCCGTAGTTACTGATGTATGTTCCCCCAGTCTACCTCGAACAGAGACTTTTGGCCAGTTCTTCCTGAGTGACTGTAAACATAACTCCAATGAGAAAGGGCTACCCCCATGTGACTAACATGAAGTTGCTTTTGTCACAGTTGCACTCTGCTACGAGAGTGAGGGTGTACCCTATGACTTGCCAATAATGTCAAGCTTCAGTGCTTCAGCTATTGCTTCCTTCAACTGACAACTACGAAAAGATTACAGAAACTTGAGGTGGCCTACAATGTATAGTAATGTGCGAAAAGAGGGAATCGGGGACTGGTGCTCCCCACCGCGATGTGAACTAGATCGGGTCAAGCACCTCCGTAAGGGACCTATTTACAGCGAAGGAAGCACAGTCATATCTGCCTTAATATCCAGCCACAGAAAACTGCTGACGGGATGGCAACAAAAACCAAAACAGTAAGCACAAAGAAAACATCAGTAAATCACTTTGAGCTGTGGAGCTCTCCACACTGCTCCATAATACACAGAGTCCCCTAGCTAGGTCCAGGCTGGACAGATGCACCCAACAACACTTTTTGCTATGGCTAGTTGCCTGTTACTATGGAATGGTCACATTGTCATGGAACTTTGTCCAGTATCTTACTATGGATTGCTATGGAACTTTCATGCTTAGATATCACTGGACAAAACTGGCCAGACTGTATTCTCCTTGGGGTGTTGTCCAGTACTCCCCATCTCAATGTTTACTTTGCAAACATGTGATCACTCCACAACTAGGAACAGTTCACAGCAGGTATGACAGGAACAGGAGCATTGGCATCAATTGTGTACTATGTGTAATGACAGGTATGACAGGACTAGGTATTATGAAATCAATCAAGGACTGCCTGAATGTGCTGGTACCTCTCTACATTTGAATCAACCTCTTGCAGTGCAGCCCTGATATGAGGAGTCAGTGTGAGCATGTCAGCTGCCCCAGTACTTACCATCCTTCCTTCACCCACTGAGAAAGCTGATTGTGCAACCTCACACCATGATAGGGATTATGAAGGATGTTGTTCAGCACCTTCATCATGCCATGGAAAATGGAATTGTAAGCCTTGCTGGAGAATTGAGGCATCATCTTTCCTGTGCCATTCTTCACAAATCTGTCCAACACACAATGATGCTGCATGAAAAGTTTGAGTTGCAGTGACTTGGGGTGTAAAATAACTCACTGCAGCTGTGACAAGAGCCAGACAGGAAAGGGGAACTGAATTGTTGAAGGACTCAGGACACTTATCCATGACTTGATAGGTCCTGGTATAGTAGAATTGTATGACAGCTTCCTTGAGGGCAGGGTGAGCAAAATTCCTGGTTTTTCCCTGATAAACCAATCCATTAGTAGTGCAGACAATGAACCAAGTGAATGTACATTCTCATCAAAACTGTCTTGCAGGAAAAGCAAGTTGTCAAGGAGCTTTGTGGCAGTGGTCTCTATCCATTGTACATGAACCTGTGGTGCAACATCAGAAGGAGGGATAAGGTTGAATGCAGATGGCATGGTTGCCAGCATAACCAACTTCAATTCCAAATGCCAGGTAGATATATCACCAAGGAGCTACTGGTGGTATGTCAGTAGCTGTAACTGAAAGACAGGACTACTTACAAGGCACACCATATCTTGCTTGTGGTCAGGCCAGTAACCTATAAAGTTAGGATAACAAGACATGTATAAAGCAAAAATATTGTTACTCACCATCTTCAAATTGCACACTGTGTTGATTCCACTCAATGATGACAGTGACGAGTGCCTCTGTTATGGAGAGGTTGAGGTCATGAGATTTTGATGGGAATGGGTTAGAAAGTGCATGTGCAGCCCTGCATTCTTGCTTAGCATCTTTGAGACAGTCCTTCCATACTGCCTTGTAAAATCTCAGTTGTGAAGGCAATGGGCCCTCATCCTTAGCTTTCTTGGAGTTATGAGGGGCTCTGGTGTGCTGAGATACTTTGTTGACTGAGTCATGCACAAGGGTCAGAAGATCATAATCAGGAACAGGATGGCTGTTAGTGCAATGGTGGCATTCAAGAATGTTGACGACAGTGCCATGTTGGGAACCCTAAAATAACAATCTGAATAAATAAAGCTAGCAGGAATGGCATTTTCATACCTCTGGCTGAGCCTTGTCCTTGGATTGTAAGCTTTGCAGAGCCACATCGTCATCCTCATCATGTGAGTACTGAAACTTGTGGTCAGGGGGTAAGGAATTGTGGTGAATAGGATTGTTTGTCATTGTTTCTTGGGAGAAGCCTAACAAAGAATGTTGAGCCAATACCATAATAACCTCTGATGCGTTGTCACACACTAAAGGTGTTTGGTGAGGTGGACATGGATGTAGCTGATGAATGGAGGTGAAGACCATAGCCCTCATGCGAAGAAGGACAGCCAGCAATGTCGGCAGTCATCCCTTGCACAAGAACAGGTTGTCAATGCCAAAGAAAAAGGAGGAGGCAAGTTAAGTGCCAATAAAATTCTTAAGCGCCCATGTATGGCATTCTGGTTTTCGATGTATCTCCACCAATTCTGCAGACACCAAAACCATTCCCACACTCGCTTGTAGTGCTCAGCCATGTGATCCTACCTTCCAGGATTGGAAAGGATTTGTGCACTCCACACGTTTCTACAGCACTCCCTCCAAAAGACGCTCATTTCACTAATTCTTCTGATATGGCTGCCTCCACATCAGTCATTTCGCTTGTCCCCTTTGCTAGGGACCATGGCTACATATATCTACCAGGAGTTCCTACCAGCTTCCATCCTGAAGCATCCTGGTACATCCCACCCTTGTCTGCCCCCTCTCAGCCCATCCAGCTTGGACAGTGTGTTCTTTTTGTCAGTATGACCTCCAGGAGGATGTTCTTTGGTTGCCTCAGGTCTGTCATTCGCTTGGAAAGGTCTTATGTGGTCGTTTCAGTCTCTCCGGTCCAAGAAGCATATGGATCCTTCCTCCCTGCCCCCTGCAACGTCTTCATACCAGTCTTGTCCATCATTCTTCCAAAATTGCGACAGCTACAGTATAATCTACTGTTCTCCACTCTCCCTGATCGCATCCATGATGAGTATGATGCACATCTTGCCTCCTTGTTGCAAGATACAGCAGAAGATGCTCCCCCTTCATCCTCTCTTCCAACAGAGCCTCATTCATGAAGTTTTTATTTGCTTCACTGAGAGGATGGTTTGGGGGGGAAAGTTGCGATCCCCTATGCTCCTGTCACCCCACAGACCCCCAAAGCTTGACCCCTGTTGACATCTGACTCACCCTGTCCACTTTTGGATGTACTATATTGGCATCAGATCAGCACTGCCTCTCTGTCATCCCACTTTGGCCTAGAAGTGATCTCTTCGAGATGTGACATGCACAGCCTCCCCCTAATGTGATTCCAGTGCACTTTCCCAGTTCCTGACATTGCTTGACTCATACTGTGACATTCTGACTGTCTTTGACTCACCTATTGCCAATACTTACCAATCTTTTGACTTTGCTTACTGATTCTTCGCCTTTTGGCTTACTTATCCTTACCAATGCTTACCAATGCTTTCCAAGATGATTACCCATCGCTTACCAAGTGTTTGCACCTTGTTTTCCATAGGCAATGCCCCTGTACTGTATATAAGTCACTGTACTTAGGTAGCAAAAAAAAAGGAGACATCAGAGAGCCCCTCTTGCTTGCAATTTATCATCTCTCAGTAAATCATTCATCAGCTTCGATAGTTGAGACTTTATTAAGGGTCTAGCTATCATCTACTTCGCTTATCATCATCTATCATCCATATACTTCGCTCCAAGCCCTCCCTGAGCTCAGTACAGCTTAGGACATTGAATTAAGTCACCATCCATCCTTCTGTAGGCTGACAGCAGTCTACCCTATTGCTTTCTATCACATTCTTGCTCCCTCTTTGTCAGGAGCACCCCCAACCCTCAGCACTCATCTTTGAGTGTTGTAGCTTGCAAAAACCCTCCCAAAGAACAGGTTCTACCATCTAGGTACTGCATAGGCACACCACCACTCGCTTTCATTGTCTTTTGTGTTGGTTTTGGTTGGTTTTCACCACTGAACCACACTTTGACTCACAGCGGCTTGAAGTGCTCAGTCAGCAACCTCTAAGTCAGCCTGCAACATGAGTACAGTGTCCAGTTCTTTTTTTAATTGAGCTGGCGCATCTAAAGGCGAAGAATGAATAACACAGTCTAATAGATGCAGAAATACTTACAAGCCTGTATGGAAAGCTGAGCACTACATTGGCTAGCCCACTTGTTCCTCAATTCCAGGATATCAATTCCACAATCACCAAGAATCTGATGTGCTTTGCTACCTTGTTCAGCAATTCCATTCCTCAGTTGGTGTCGAATCCAGTCACCAAGATTGTTTCACATCTCCAGCCCTATTGCAGCAGTGTGACAATCAATAAGCCAGATACAGTGCTGGCACTAATCGAACACTTTTTCAGTTCTGGGTAAACTAGAGTAATAAAATGAACTTGCCAATGAGCTTGGTGAAACAGGACCAGAGGTGTTTGGTGCCCTCTCCATCAGAAAGACCAAGTCCTGTAGTAATGTGGGGGTTATGAGCAAGCTGGCATGCCCATTTGTGGCCATAGGCATGCATTGCAGTTGTTGCACAGCAGATGCAACAAACAATTTCATTATTGAGGATTTCAAACTGCAGGAAGTCAGTACTAGTGTATGGGGATGAGACTTTGTATATACCTTGTCTAAAGAATGTGTGAGAACGCAACCAATATCATACAATGCAATGACAGTTGCAGCAACTGGCAAGTGGGAGAAGAGGTGTTTGAGAAGGGTGACACTATACTTCTGTTGCTCACCAGGTGTGTCAATATTTGCAAAGAAGAGAGGGATGTTGTGATGGCATATCAACACCATAATTCCAGTGTTGTTGAAGCAGTCCATTGTGGCCTTCTGCTTGTTGCCATCAGCTGCTTCATATGACACTTCACATTGATCAATTGCTTCATCAGGAACTTCAACACACTGTTGTCTCAGTGGCCACTTACACACTCGTTTGATCTGGCATCCAACATTGTTGACTTGAACCTTGGGAATGAAATATGCAGGGTCATAAAATGCAGGACAACTACCAGCTGAGTGCTGATGATGATGGTGAAAGTTCCCATCAAGTGTGATATGAATATCACCACTGTTGCTCAGTGGCTGTCCAAATGTGTGACCTGTGAAACATGCTGGGCACCTTTGGATGAGCATGGATGCACATTGTGACAATGAGAACTGTTTGGAAGATGGTGGGATCACAGTGAATGACAGTTGCTGAGCAGATTGCATGTGATTGAGATGGTTGAGAACAGTTTGGTGACAACATTCAATAATACTTTCAGCATGGTGCTCAATATGCACTTGCAAGATATCATACCACTGGACAGCATTGCCAATGCTACAATGGAACAGATCTCAAATAACTCCACCCTGTGTGCCATACTTGTAAGTACAAGCAGGTCAGCGAACAAACCACTGACCTCTTGGGTGGTCATCCAGAACCCTTGTTGTTCATAATGTGTATTGAGTGCAGAGGCAAGGGCATTGGTCAAGTCACAAGAATGTTCAAACAGTGCCTGATAGAAAGCAAGTAGTTCCACAGAAATGGCCAGGTGAGGTTGAGAGGGGGCAGTGGGAAAGAGCCTGGAACATAAGAGTAATTGAGGAAGCAATGTGCACATACAACTTAGAACTGTAACAGTTGCAAAACCTGAAATGAGATCAGCCTCCACAAGGAGATGTGAGGATGTTACACATGGTCAAAGTATAAACAGAGTAGGGAAGAATGCTTGAGTTCACATCCTGCCTGACAACCAGAGAGTGGTTTATCATAGGTTATAAGTGGCTTTCCAACGGTTTCTGCCATATATTGGAGATATGGCTCGATAATCATAGGAATAACTGCCATCCAATTGTCATACAGCTGGTTGACCACCCTTGGCAGCAGTTTTTTGGAGGGATGGTGGTCTGTTAGATATATATTTTGTGACAGCAACAATGTATCTAACAGACCCCCTACCTCCAGCAGTGGTTTCCAGATGTATCTAATTATGGTTATGCTTCTTGAAGTGATCCACCCCTCCCCTGCCAAATCTGGATATGTCTTCTGCAACATAAGTGAAATTGGGTAATTTACCCCTATTCCCTATGCTTCTGATGGACAGTGTTACTGACAATCCCTCTGTTGACCCTCACTCAACTGTCTTGAGAGCCTCTCAAGATCCTCACCCAACCATCTCAAGAGCCTCTCACCAACCTCCATAGATACACATTTATCATTCCAATATGGCATCCCATGGCTTCTGAGTGATTGCATAATCAATATGTGGCAACTTGTTACAGACACACAGTGACTCAATCATCTTGGGAGCCTCTCAAGAGCCTCACCCAACCATCTCAAGAGCCTCTCAGCAACCTCTGAGGATATATATTTATCATAGTAACATAGTAACCTGTGCATCCGAATGATTATGTAATCAAGATGTGTCATTGTTAATGAATCTGAGATCTGTGGGCCCTGAGATCTCAGATCTGACCTGCACTTCTTTGTGATTATGTAATCAAAAAAGCGGACTGAATACCCTGCTATCCTCTGGCTTTTTCAGCTTCACCACACACTCTCCCTGCCTTTTGAGATGTTCTACTGAGTTCCAATGGAATTTTTGTATGTTATTTCATAGATACACATGCAATTTTGATCCAGTTAAGTGCCCTGGAAGGATGCCAAAATAAATAGGGGTAAAATGCGAACTCTGTCCGCATTTTTGCAATTCTTGACATATGAACATGTGGATTGTGTCCCCAGGCAGCCTTAACATACATATACGACGTATCAAAATCCCAAGGCATCAGCACTAGCCCTTACAGAGATATAATTAGTTCCCCTCCTCCACACTGTATGGGGTCCAGGCTAGTATCCTTGTCATTTCTGGGTTTTCTAATGCATTGGGCCTATGGAGGGTATACAGTAAAATGTCTAATTAGAAGGGCTTGGGTAGTTTAGTTGAAGGATGAGGTGTCAGGCCACTATCTTTCTTTTTTCTGATATGGCCACCATGGGACTCCTGTATGGATAACTTGTGATGTAATACCTTGGAATGGTTCTTTTCCAGTATGTCTACCAGTATCTAGAGTTCCAAGTCCATCGATTCAGGATTGGAGGAGCAGGAAATAAAATGACTTCTGAAGAGCGTGGGAAAGTAACCAAAGATTTTAGGAGACTTTGAAAACATGTAAAAAATCTGTAATAATACAACACACAGCACTCCAATGTACATGATACTGTAGAGATAGTATGTGGCTGATGCAATGAACACTCTGATAGCAACGACACTATAATATAGCTGCATGAAATGCCAAAAATGCGAAAGCCTCCTGGTCTCCATTTCCATGTATGCACTGCAAGACTGAAGCAGAATCTAGAAAAGTTGTAACACATCTATGCAATGGGCACTCAGTGGACAGGTTGGACAACAGAAGGATGGTATAGAGATGTGTGAAATGACAGTAGCAATCTAACCATGCACATATATTGATCATTTCATTGCTGTGTGTTGTATTATTACAGATTTTTTACATGTTTTCAAAGTCTCCTAAAATCTTTGGTTACTTTCCCACGCTCTTCAGAAGTCATTTTATTTCCTGCTCCTCCAATCCTGAATCGATGGACTTGGAACTCTAGATACTGGTAGACATACTGGAAAAGAACCATTCCAAGGTATTACATCACAAGTTATCCATACAGGAGTCCCATGGTGGCCATATCAGAAAAAAGAAAGATAGTGGCCTGACACCTCATCCTTCAACTAAACTACCCAAGCCCTTCTAATTAGACATTTTACTGTATACCCTCCATAGGCCCAATGCATTAGAAAACCCAGAAATGACAAGGATACTAGCCTGGACCCCATACAGTGTGGAGGAGGGGAACTAATTATATCTCTGTAAGGGCTAGTGCTGATGCCTTGGGATTTTGATACGTCGTATATGTATGTTAAGGCTGCCTGGGGACACAATCCACATGTTCATATGTCAAGAATTGCAAAAATGCGGACAGAGTTCGCATTTTACCCCTATTTATTTTGGCATCCTTCCAGGGCACTTAACTGGATCAAAATTGCATGTGTATCTATGAAATAACATACAAAAATTCCATTGGAACTCAGTAGAACATCTCAAAAGGCAGGGAGAGTGTGTGGTGAAGCTGAAAAAGCCAGAGGATAGCAGGGTATTCAGTCCGCTTTTTTGATTACATAATCACAAAGAAGTGCAGGTCAGATCTGAGATCTCAGGGCCCACAGATCTCAGATTCATTAACAATGACACATCTTGATTACATAATCATTCGGATGCACAGGTTACTATGTTACTATGATAAATATATATCCTCAGAGGTTGCTGAGAGGCTCTTGAGATGGTTGGGTGAGGCTCTTGAGAGGCTCCCAAGATGATTGAGTCACTGTGTGTCTGTAACAAGTTGCCACATATTGATTATGCAATCACTCAGAAGCCATGGGATGCCATATTGGAATGATAAATGTGTATCTATGGAGGTTGGTGAGAGGCTCTTGAGATGGTTGGGTGAGGATCTTGAGAGGCTCTCAAGACAGTTGAGTGAGGGTCAACAGAGGGATTGTCAGTAACACTGTCCATCAGAAGCATAGGGAATAGGGGTAAATTACCCAATTTCACTTATGTTGCAGAAGACATATCCAGATTTGGCAGGGGAGGGGTGGATCACTTCAAGAAGCATAACCATAATTAGATACATCTGGAAACCACTGCTGGAGGTAGGGGGTCTGTTAGATACATTGTTGCTGTCACAAAATATATATCTAACAGACCACCATCCCTCCAAAAAACTGCTGCCAAGGGTGGTCAACCAGCTGTATGACAATTGGATGGCAGTTATTCCTATGATTATCGAGCCATATCTCCAATATATGGCAGAAACCGTTGGAAAGCCACTTATAACCTATGATAAACCACTCTCTGGTTGTCAGGCAGGATGTGAACTCAAGCATTCTTCCCTACTCTGTTTATACTTTGACCATGTGTAACATCCTCACATCTCCTTGTGGAGGCTGATCTCATTTCAGGTTTTGCAACTGTTACAGTTCTAAGTTGTATGTGCACATTGCTTCCTCAATTACTCTTATGTTCCAGGCTCTTTCCCACTGCCCCCTCTCAACCTCACCTGGCCATTTCTGTGGAACTACTTGCTTTCTATCAGGCACTGTTTGAACATTCTTGTGACTTGACCAATGCCCTTGCCTCTGCACTCAATACACATTATGAACAACAAGGGTTCTGGATGACCACCCAAGAGGTCAGTGGTTTGTTCGCTGACCTGCTTGTACTTACAAGTATGGCACACAGGGTGGAGTTATTTGAGATCTGTTCCATTGTAGCATTGGCAATGCTGTCCAGTGGTATGATATCTTGCAAGTGCATATTGAGCACCATGCTGAAAGTATTATTGAATGTTGTCACCAAACTGTTCTCAACCATCTCAATCACATGCAATCTGCTCAGCAACTGTCATTCACTGTGATCCCACCATCTTCCAAACAGTTCTCATTGTCACAATGTGCATCCATGCTCATCCAAAGGTGCCCAGCATGTTTCACAGGTCACACATTTGGACAGCCACTGAGCAACAGTGGTGATATTCATATCACACTTGATGGGAACTTTCACCATCATCATCAGCACTCAGCTGGTAGTTGTCCTGCATTTTATGACCCTGCATATTTCATTCCCAAGGTTCAAGTCAACAATGTTGGATGCCAGATCAAACGAGTGTGTAAGTGGCCACTGAGACAACAGTGTGTTGAAGTTCCTGATGAAGCAATTGATCAATGTGAAGTGTCATATGAAGCAGCTGATGGCAACAAGCAGAAGGCCACAATGGACTGCTTCAACAACACTGGAATTATGGTGTTGATATGCCATCACAACATCCCTCTCTTCTTTGCAAATATTGACACACCTGGTGAGCAACAGAAGTATAGTGTCACCCTTCTCAAACACCTCTTCTCCCACTTGCCAGTTGCTGCAACTGTCATTGCATTGTATGATATTGGTTGCGTTCTCACACATTCTTTAGACAAGGTATATACAAAGTCTCATCCCCATACACTAGTACTGACTTCCTGCAGTTTGAAATCCTCAATAATGAAATTGTTTGTTGCATCTGCTGTGCAACAACTGCAATGCATGCCTATGGCCACAAATGGGCATGCCAGCTTGCTCATAACCCCCACATTACTACAGGACTTGGTCTTTCTGATGGAGAGGGCACCAAACACCTCTGGTCCTGTTTCACCAAGCTCATTGGCAAGTTCATTTTATTACTCTAGTTTACCCAGAACTGAAAAAGTGTTCGATTAGTGCCAGCACTGTATCTGGCTTATTGATTGTCACACTGCTGCAATAGGGCTGGAGATGTGAAACAATCTTGGTGACTGGATTCGACACCAACTGAGGAATGGAATTGCTGAACAAGGTAGCAAAGCACATCAGATTCTTGGTGATTGTGGAATTGATATCCTGGAATTGAGGAACAAGTGGGCTAGCCAATGTAGTGCTCAGCTTTCCATACAGGCTTGTAAGTATTTCTGCATCTATTAGACTGTGTTATTCATTCTTCGCCTTTAGATGCGCCAGCTCAATTAAAAAAAGAACTGGACACTGTACTCATGTTGCAGGCTGACTTAGAGGTTGCTGACTGAGCACTTCAAGCCGCTGTGAGTCAAAGTGTGGTTCAGTGGTGAAAACCAACCAAAACCAACACAAAAGACAATGAAAGCGAGTGGTGGTGTGCCTATGCAGTACCTAGATGGTAGAACCTGTTCTTTGGGAGGGTTTTTGCAAGCTACAACACTCAAAGATGAGTGCTGAGGGTTGGGGGTGCTCCTGACAAAGAGGGAGCAAGAATGTGATAGAAAGCAATAGGGTAGACTGCTGTCAGCCTACAGAAGGATGGATGGTGACTTAATTCAATGTCCTAAGCTGTACTGAGCTCAGGGAGGGCTTGGAGCGAAGTATATGGATGATAGATGATGATAAGCGAAGTAGATGATAGCTAGACCCTTAATAAAGTCTCAACTATCGAAGCTGATGAATGATTTACTGAGAGATGATAAATTGCAAGCAAGAGGGGCTCTCTGATGTCTCCTTTTTTTTTGCTACCTAAGTACAGTGACTTATATACAGTACAGGGGCATTGCCTATGGAAAACAAGGTGCAAACACTTGGTAAGCGATGGGTAATCATCTTGGAAAGCATTGGTAAGCATTGGTAAGGATAAGTAAGCCAAAAGGCGAAGAATCAGTAAGCAAAGTCAAAAGATTGGTAAGTATTGGCAATAGGTGAGTCAAAGACAGTCAGAATGTCACAGTATGAGTCAAGCAATGTCAGGAACTGGGAAAGTGCACTGGAATCACATTAGGGGGAGGCTGTGCATGTCACATCTCGAAGAGATCACTTCTAGGCCAAAGTGGGATGACAGAGAGGCAGTGCTGATCTGATGCCAATATAGTACATCCAAAAGTGGACAGGGTGAGTCAGATGTCAACAGGGGTCAAGCTTTGGGGGTCTGTGGGGTGACAGGAGCATAGGGGATCGCAACTTTCCCCCCCAAACCATCCTCTCAGTGAAGCAAATAAAAACTTCATGAATGAGGCTCTGTTGGAAGAGAGGATGAAGGGGGAGCATCTTCTGCTGTATCTTGCAACAAGGAGGCAAGATGTGCATCATACTCATCATGGATGCGATCAGGGAGAGTGGAGAACAGTAGATTATACTGTAGCTGTCGCAATTTTGGAAGAATGATGGACAAGACTGGTATGAAGACGTTGCAGGGGGCAGGGAGGAAGGATCCATATGCTTCTTGGACCGGAGAGACTGAAACGACCACATAAGACCTTTCCAAGCGAATGACAGACCTGAGGCAACCAAAGAACATCCTCCTGGAGGTCATACTGACAAAAAGAACACACTGTCCAAGCTGGATGGGCTGAGAGGGGGCAGACAAGGGTGGGATGTACCAGGATGCTTCAGGATGGAAGCTGGTAGGAACTCCTGGTAGATATATGTAGCCATGGTCCCTAGCAAAGGGGACAAGCGAAATGACTGATGTGGAGGCAGCCATATCAGAAGAATTAGTGAAATGAGCGTCTTTTGGAGGGAGTGCTGTAGAAATGTGTGGAGTGCGCAAATCCTTTCCAATCCTGGAAGGTAGGATTGCGTGGCTGAGCACTACAAGCAAGTGTGGGAATGGTTTCGGTGTCTGCAGAATTGGTGGAGATATGTCGAAAACCGGAATGCCATACATGGGCACTTAAGAATTTTATTGGCACTTAACTTGCCTCCTCCTTTTTCTTTGGCACTGACAACCTGTTCTTGTGCGAGGGATGACTGCCAACATTGCTGGCTGTCCTTCTTCGCATGAGGGCTATGGTCTTCACCTCCATTCATCAGCTACATCCATGTCCACCTCACCAAACACCTTTGGTGTGTGACAGCACTTAAGAATTTTATTGGTGCTTAACTTGCCTCCTCCTTTTTCTTTGGCATTGACAACCTGTTCTTGTGCGAGGGATGACTGCCAACATTGCTGGCTGTCCTTCTTTGCATGAGGGCTATGGTCTTCACCTCCATTCATCAGCTACATCCATGTCCACCTCACCAAACACCTTTGGTGTGTGACACTGCCAATGCTCCTGAACCTGCCAACGTATCCAGCGCCTTCTGTACTTACCCCAGTTGCAATGAGCTTGCAGCCCTCGACCTCCTTACCAGCATGGCCATTGCCAGGGATGACCAGTTGTGATTACCAGTCTCAGCAGGTGACTACTTGGACATTGTTTGGGCACTTGACCTCTTCCATGATGGGGATGACATTGATGGGTGCACACCAGAACAGGTTGAATATTTTAGGCTGTTGTCTCAGATCTACCAAGCGACAGACTTAATTAACTCAGCCATGTCAAAAATCCATACATGAAAAGTCGCAGGCATCACCCCACTGTCAGAGGCGATCATGGTCAGTATGCTGGAAAAGGGGTCTTCAGACATCTCCGAGGCTGTTACCAGTGGCATGTACCATCACCTTTGCACTTCTCAGATTGATGGGCTCCTCACCCCTCCTTCGACCCAGCTTCTTGATCATATCTGACCAAAGCAAGAGGAACCATTGGCTTTGGAAGCCAAGACAGAAATTACAGATCAGGAGAAGGAGAAGGTATGGTGTGCCATGGAGCTGGGATTCGTCAACTTGGCGGATCTGTTTAAAGAGGTTGGTGCTCATCTCAGGACTGGGACTCATAACTCCTCTTGGGAGACTTTACTGCAGGACGCGTCGTGGGCCAGATCACACAAATACTACCATAATGCTATCCACTCCACCAACCCTCTCCCTGCTGCTCCCTTCGTCCCCATCCCTTTGGATCAACTTCGCTTCTACCTCAGAGGACAATCCCCTGTACCCAATGAACACCCCTTATGCCCTCACACATGCTTCCAGTGCCATTACCTGGGACATTGGTCATGCCACAACAGACATGGCTCCCACTATACTCTGGCCCTCAAGGAGCTGTCGACTCCATCGCCTTCGTCACCCATTGCCTCTCAGACACATTCCCACATCTATACTACTCACTGACCCCTTTCCTCTTGCTCTGCCAACACGACTCCAGGCCAGTCCTCAGGGGTCTGAGGACCTTAGAGGGGGGGTGATGTTATGCCTCTGTCAAGGGGCCTTCCTTTTTTGACTCTTCATGGTCACATGCATCACGTGCCTTGTCACATCCCTCATAATCATTGCCATCCTAGGGGCTCAAATGCTCCAGGGAACATTCAGATCTCCTGCTGTCAAGGTATTTCCAATACCTGTCAAGACCACATTGCCACTGTGATCTGGTATTCCACCACCCTCTCTGATGGACAACATGTTTCTTTCTTGTTCCAATGACTCGTTTATATTGCTTATATGTTGTACTATAGCTCCGGTGTCAGGCTCCTCACTGTGCATTGATTGTGCCAGCTGGCATAGCCTTTGTTGCCTTCCTACCCCCATCTTTGACACCATATGACTCTTATTTATTTCATTGATTGATCTGTTGACTACTGTGGATATGTGTCATGTTGCAACCAGTGTGACTGGTACAGTACTCATACTTAGGGGTATATAAACCTATGTACTCTGTCCTGTATCTGCAGTTTTTCGATTCCTTGCAACTAAGCTTCATCCCTTCGCTCTGATCCTTGCCCTTCTCTCTGTGTGAACAACCTTAGGGACTCACCAGCAGACAAGAGCCTTGCCAGAACACTGCGATAACTTAGCCATAGGGGTTATGACAAGTTTGGCCTGTAGGATATACCTTGTGTGCTTCGTGCCTATTCCATTTGAAGAAGTCACCATGCTTGGGCATAACACAGAGGAAAAGGGAAACAACATGCTGTCAATGTCAAGAAGGATCAGTCTGACAATGAAGTCGAGATTATCAAAAATAGCAAGCAACCTGATCATGATCAAGTCAAACAACATCTTCAAAAGCTTATCAGTGTGTCCTTCCAATATTAGCTTTCCTAGTCATCTAATGATTCTTAAAGAAAACTTTGGATTCAAATAGGCATCCCAAAAGCTATTTCCCTGGAAGTCTCTCCTGAATCAGCTGGCAGGCAGCACACTTGTCATGTATAACTGGCCAGCAGATGTTATCTTCCCAGGTGAGGAACGCTGCGGCAAGGCATCTGGGAAAGGGATCTCGGACCTCACATGTGCAGACTGTTCTAAGCTCATTGCTGCACATGTGGACACTAGCAAAAGCAAACTCTGCATCCAGCATGACCCCAAAAACAAAAGTATGTCCTCCATTTTTTTATGGTTGATGAGTACTAATGCAGCTATAGCAAATCTGCTCACATCCAAGAGTCCAGTTATCATCAGCACCCCGCCATCATTTGACTCAAAACTGCCAAGGGGAAAGCAGATCTTCTGTAGTCTCACAGTTGACCACCTTGGACCAGCTTGACTCCTTGATCGATCTGCCACATGTGTCAAGAAGACTAAGCTGAAGAAGGCCACACCTGCTGGAGGTGATGTCGAGAAGGGAAACTCAGCCACCATCAACACTTCTGACAGTGTCAAAGAGGTTCCTGCGGCCAAGCCTGGTACTTCCACCACCACCTCTGGGATGCAGCTCATGGGTATATTGCATCCTCAACATCCTCAACAGTCTTCCAAGTCAAAAATCACAACAACTTCTGAACTTGTCACCTCTGACAATAGCTCAATCTCTGAAAGTGAGTCACCCAGCAATGACTACCTGCCCGATCAACAATCCCAAGGTGTCCAGGACAGTGAGATGGATATAGATAATAGTGAGGTTGAAAGGAATGGTGCTGAGGATGGTGACTCTGACTATGCACAAGAACCATTGTCATGTAAGCATAAAGTCAAGGGCCATGAAGTGGGCAATCCGAAGCAGAAAACGAATGTCTCACCTTTGCATAGCAAGGGCCACATACCTAAATGGAGCAAGACTGTAAGGTTCAAAGGCTTGTTGATTCCTTCGACCAGTAGCAAGGCCCACCATCACATTCCTTCTTCACCAACATATATTTCATTGGAGGAGGATGCTTCTGTGCAGAGAGGTACTTGATCTGATGTTCCACTGGATGCTTGCAAGGAGTCCATTCAGACTGTGCAGGCATGTGCCCCTCCAATTATTCCCAACTCTGCTCGTCATACTGACATTCCCAGTTCCACAAAGGAACATACTTCATGCGATGTTCGGGACTCTCACAAGGAGGCTGTCAATGTTCCAAAGGTGATCATCCCTACTATTACCCCAGGCAGCTCTGTTGATTGTGATATCTTGCCTACTGACTCTGATAATCTATCCATCCCCATCACTTCTCACTTGAACCCTCTTCTGACACCATTATATCCAGTTTTCTAGACACTTCTAGGATGTCCTACAGCATTCCCAACAACTTATCTGATGCTCCTAGAACTGTAGGTGGCAATAGTGCTCGCTCGCATGATACTCCTGGAGTGACAGGCAATAGTTTTAGAGGTGCATACAGTTACCTCGATTATGTGCACTACTAATGAGTCATCACTATTGATTGTCTAGCCCTGAAATTGGTTATGCCAGCTGCAAGAAGCCCGGATACTTGTGATGCCGCCGACCTTTTTACTGAACAGGGTGACAGACCAACTGCCCCCTCAGACATGGACTTCTTCTCCCATTGTACGAGTGACACCACTGCTGGATCAGGTTCATTGATTCCACAGCCATCCCACTTAGAACCCCCAGCGATCTACGTCAATCCACCGATGACAAGTCAAGCAGAGCACCCAAGGCCTCGCATTGTGCAGGGTGGAACCCGTTCAGGTGATGAGCCTGAACCATTTAACCTTCAGCGCCGGGCGTTTCCCAAGTTGGATGAGCCGGGATTATCTGGTGAGTGTCCGTCTACAGTGTCCGCAAGACTTTTGGCTGCTGAGGAAGGTCGTTTGCCCACAATTAAAGGAGAAGCTGATGATCCCCAGGGAAGCGATCACGGTGGGCACTCCGATCTGACAGTGGGCAGAGTTCATCTGCCCTGCCCTTACCCCGCTCCCCATCCTATATCTTGCCAAGAGTCGTTTGTCCATCCATCTCAGCAACATGGTTTTGTTGATTGGCTCCCTGGACCTGGAGTGCCACCATGGCAGATGCTGGGTGCACCGTATGATTACAACGCTGGCTTACACGGAGGGTGGTAAAACCATCCAGCGGCTCCTTACCATCCCACATATCCCCCGCCCCATCTTGCCTACCATGGCTCATACGCAGATCCTGGTGCTTCCCATGTCCCCTCCACCAACAACACAGGGCATCCAAACTATGGTGCCCACATGCCGCTGTCGCTCGTGGGCCAGGTTACCATTTTGGCAGTAACGTTCACCATGACCTCGCACCACCCGGACAAACTGCCCCCCTCCCTGATCCTAATTCTGCTCACATGTACCCACCCCCCTCGCGTCTTGGTGACACGACAACGTCAAAGTCGTCTGGTGAGTAGTCCATCAGATGTCCGCGGAAGATCCTGCATCTAGTGGGGTGGCAACATTTTGATGTCCGTATCTTGATCTATGTCTTTTTCTATTTACAAGTCGCATCTACCCCGAACGTTCTATTTTCACGCTCTTCTTCCTTGACTCGGGATTACCTCATGCCGTGTATTAGTCATCATGCAATACACCTTTCCATGCGCGACATATTAATGCGTTGTGATTTAGCAACATAAAGTTCGTGAAACAAAATCGGAGGAGTACCTCTGGCAGATAGTCGGTATATACTTAGATGAGCTCCCAGGAAAAGCCTCGAGGAGCCTCCTTGGAGGGATAGAAAATACTCGAAGAACCCTCCCAGTCTGATTAGTGCCTCTGACAGATGGTTGGGACATAGGTAGATGAACGACGGAAAATGGCTCGGGAATCCTCCTGGGAGGGATAGAAAACACTCAAAGATCCCGCCTAGCTACATGGCGAATCTCGCCCAATAGACGGGTGGACCTCCGTAAAGGGATGTAACACGCTCAGCTTACCTTCCCCACAACGTTGATCTTTGCCATTAGCGGCAGGGAGGGTGCCTCACGACCATATTGCTGGAATTGGCTGGAACCTCCCCCTGATGAAGGCATCTATTAGGTACATTATTGCGTACACAATAAATATATCTAAAGACCGTGGGAAGGCCCAAAAACTGCTGCCAAGGGTGCATCATCCTCTGCTGCATCAACGGTCCCATGAACCTCCCTTCCGACGAGGCTTTGAGAATACATTTTGTTGTTATGTTTTTCACATATCCATGTTCTTCTCTTTCTTATTCCCACAATTCTCGACAGTTTCAACACTACTACCCTAGTTCTATAGAGCTGTGTTCGTTGGAGTCGGGGACAGTGATGAGTCACGCCTGACTCGAACTACACCAAATCTCCTCCTCGTCTGCTTACATAACGGCTATCAGGAGCGTTAACCTGCCTGAACCCCTTGCTTTCAACCGCCATCTATATCCCACGAAATGTCCGTAACATATAGGCAACTGACCACAGAGTTCCTTGTGCGATTCATGTAGGGTCTTACTTCATTTTGTAGCCAGTACTTGGGACTAACAGGAAGTTCCCCCTAACCTGTCAGCCGTGGTACAGTGCCATTTTCTAATGGTACTGCTCATCCATCTACTTGTCCTCAAAGGTGCACTGACTTTGGGCAGGCTACTCTATTGGAGTGATTGGAGCAGGTACGTGTATCTCGCCCCGATCTCGCACTCAAGTCTGACTCCGCTGTCGCAGTTATCACTCGTATGTATATCCATCGACTGAGGTGTCCACGAGGCACTGATCAATCCCTACCATCAGTATTGACTCGCGAATATCCAGGAAGTCAATTCGAGACATATTATAGTGGGGCATTGGCGAGTGTCGCATTCGCTGGTGAATCAAACTCTTATGTATCTGTTCCATCTCAGCATCACAAGTAGACTAACCCCCCAAAGGGACTGTAACTGGCATGCTCATCTTTGGGTGGATTTCAGATGGTATCGTGATGGGAATGGTGCGCCGCTTTGTGTAATCTCATTTGTGGGTCTGAGTGTTTCACATAGGCGGCTGCGCCTTTGTGTGTCATTCTCTTTTCCGCAATGTCCAGCATCGTGGCAATCCCAGGGGGCCCTGAAATCAGTGTCGGTGAATTCGTCGGTTGGCTTTGTTTTATGCGGTGGGCTTCGGACTCCCTTTCGCTTAAGCGGTTGCCAATTTTGTAATTATGAAGTTTCCTGCTCGGCATCGGCATTGGAGCCGGACACACTTCCGGTATGGCAACTCCTTTGGAACGGACGTGGCAAGATGGCATCGCCAAAAATGCACAACACCGATGGTTGGTACTTGGTACCAGTGAGTAACGCCTGCGGCCCATCAGTCAGTGTCCCCGCTAATTCTCTACAGAAACCATGATCGACGCCGGTTTCGTGCTTGCCTTTTTTGTTCCACTTGTCTTGTACTGGTGTTTCTCTGGTGAACAGCAGCACCTCCGCATGATCTGCAGTCACTCGCTTGGTTTCGGCGCCGTCCCTCCAATTGTTCTCATCTGCGGGTGTATCATTCTCTTTCACCAGCCTGTCCCAGAACCCGACAGCAACTCATCGGAACTCGTACATATCCCCGGCTGGCTCACCGTGAAGTGGTACTGGAAGAGTGTCCTTGGATTGTCATTGGCCTGGTGGGTGGACATGTTGACTTCTGGGTAGCGATTTGACATTGAAATTGTATGGCAACACAAGGTTCATTTACGATTCCATCTCGTACGTACATGTTAATAGCTCATGGGGGGCATAACAACTGATGCTGGAACCGCAGGTACCCCGTGCGCTGACTCTCTTTCTGTGAATGTTGGACGCATCTCTAATTGACCATAGTTTGGCATATATTCTTCCATGATCATGAACAAGTGAGTTTGCATGATTTGTCACTCGCAGAGGGTTAGACCTCACGAAATTCCAGTATCACAGGAGGCAGTTCATCCTTGACGATTGTGTTTGGGTGGTCCATTGTCATCAAGTAAGCTCGTCTTTTTTTTACTCTCACAGGGTATTGTCTTGACTTGCAGTAGTCTGTTCTATATCCCAGGTGCCCTATCTAGCCTTTCAGGTTGTCGGTGAGCTGAATGCGATGCAGGAACTGTGCTTGGCACATTCATTATTGATTACCTTGGTCTGAAGACAACGATGGTATGCCGTTTACATTGCCAATTCCATGCGTATTCAGATCTTGTTTCATCAGATTGTTGGATTGCTCTTGCAGGCCACCATTGGCTTTGCCATGGGCACCATGTACAGCCCACTCACCAACCATACTGCCACGTTTGCAGTAAGCCCATTGAATCTGCACTCATGCATGTACCTTTTCAAGTATTATACAGGTTTTCTATGGACTATTCTTAACTCTTGGTGAAGTTGGTGAGTCCGACGAGTCCAATGGCACGGTCGACTGGTCTGTTTATGTGTTGCCATGAAACAGGTCCTGGCAGTTGCCTCCGTATTCTTGCAGCAAAAACCGGTCCTACAGCCCATATCAGTGGACAATTCTACAACATTGCAGCTACCATCGGCAAAGTGGGAGCTTTCATTGGAACATGGGGTATGTGCCCGGCTCGATCCACCCCTTCACTTGGCTGATCCCCAATGGCTAGTCTTTCCGCGGATCATCGATGGTGTGTTTCGATGCACTCGGCGAAAGGTGTAATTACTCACGCAGTGAGGTATGTCCATTTAGCCTTCGGCGGTTCGAAAACCGCGAAGGGCAACACCGGTCCGTTCTGGATCGGTAGTGGCCTTGCCATTCTCGGTGCAGTCGTGACATTTTTCCTGGTGAAAACCCATATGCACGACGAAGAGAAAGCTGTACGTTTTTCCTGTCTTCCCTTTCTCCTTTGGGCATGAACTGACACCTTCCTAAGTTCCGTCAGTACCTGGAAGAGAAAGGATTTGACATGAACCACATGGACGTCAGAATACCAGTTGGGGAAGGTGATGTATAATAAGATGGCTGAGTGGAAATTGCACCCTTACTTGCATAGGTGCAAGGACGAAACACACACATACATGATAGTTGGTGTATCACTACAACTCTTTGGTAGTTCTTTCTGTATCCGGTGCACGCCGTGCCTCCGAGAATGGCCGGACATGTCCGGTTACCGCTTACGTCCGGACTTGTCCGAGTACCGAAGAGCGTCTAGTAGCGAGACTACCATTCTAGAGACTGACAAGGTGATGCTTGTCTTCGCTGTCGCAGCACACAAGACATATGAGCGCTTGAACTACGGGGTAGATAGAAAGACGGTAGCAAGCTGCTCAGCCTGGAGCCACTGCGCCTGGGGCCATGCGCGCACCTTCGTCGAGGAGTTGAGTACAACTAATACACAGTACCGCCCAGTGCTCCCTATCGATAGACAAAATGTAAGTGCGCTCCACTCACACTGATATCAACTGTTTATCTGTACCCGTCCGCAACTGGGGTGAACGCGGGATACTTTAGAGGCGACCTTCGAAATCATTGGTTGCGCACAAGTTTGGTGAGTAAGATACCCTCAACCCTTCACTTCCTCTCACCAGGATCTGAATATGCCCAGAAAACCGGGTCGCACCCCTTAGTGGGTGTCCGTTAGCAGACTCGTCAACGCGTGCACCACCCGAGAAAGATGAGAGTAGTTGGATGTGCTACCACGGACTGGCGATATCGTCACCGACAAACACCTCATCCATCAAAGCGCGCATCAATTTCAAGTGCTTCGACGCCTTGCAGCTCGATACGAGTGGATGCGAGGTAGAATCCCTCTCCTCGCGTGTAAGTCTTGGCTTTTCAGGTTATCTAGATTCAGGCTGTAAGTATGCCCATTCCGATTCGGTCTCCATTGTCGAGGGCACATTCTTCCATTCCTAATTAAACAGCACCGTATCCAAATATATCAATGTCAATACCCTCAGCAACGGGATCCCGATTGATGCCGGGGAGGCTGTGGATATAGAAGTGGATGATGAAAGTGAGAATGTGGTGCGCTCTCCGGAGGAGGGCCTCGAGGTCTTCGGGTCCCGCGCCAAAATGCTGGCGCAGTGTCTCTTTTGTCGAGACGGCACCGCAGGCAGTTGACAAAATCCAGCCTGCATCTGGCGGTGCGGCAGAGCCAGAAGGCCACACCACATTGAGCTTTACCATCACTCTTCTCGTCAACACAACTACGCGCTAGGCTGGTGTATTTCTCGACGGCTGTGCAGTCATTGGCATCCGAGATTTAGTCAACAGCCAGTGGGTGGCCGGCAATGCCTTTGGTAGATCAGAGTGCTCAATGGCCAACTGCGGTGCGGCGCCACGATTGAATAGCACTTGACCTAGATATCGGAGATCGGGACGGCTGATCGCAGTTCCGCGAATGACCACAACTGAACAATATCTGACTCAGAGTCAGAAAATTCTGTGGGTGATGTTGATAGTTCTGTCAACGAGTGCGAGTGAATTAATGCATAAGCTTGAATATTGTTAGTGTACAAATATCACGTCAACTGTTAAATAACTTGGACACTCGACCATGATGCATATCCAATCAGTCCACCTTCTATCCAAGGAGACCCCTGACATATTTTAAAAGGTCTCTTCCCTACAAAAGAAAACGCATCAGACGAAATCAACCGTCGATATCCAAAAATCCCACTTACCCCTTTACTCTTCACACCGGCTACCATCGCCTCCACGCCTTCCAACTCCTCGTCTCGCCCTCTCTCGGTACCCTCGCTGCTACCAGAGACGAACCGCGACATCCGTTGTCGCTGACTTAACCCGTGCCGCTGAACAACAGTCAATACGGCCCGCCAACCCTCTACCAAACCACCGCCATTATCAGGGAGGTTGGATGTACCGGACGTCGTCGCGGAAGGAAGCGATGGTACAGCTGTTGATCGGACGACATACGGACAGTACGAGCGGTGCTCTTTTACGACATCGAAAGCTCTTCGAGATCGCGAGCCCGATGTCCTCGCTGCTGATGCGAACGCCGACAGGGATTTTCCGCTCGTCGATGACAAAGGCGCATGCTGCTGCTCCTGTTCCTCACCCATTGAACTCTCGTCGGCGAGCTCTACGGTTGCAAAGCTCCACAACCCCACGCGTCTCTGGCACAGCGGGCAATGTATGAGTGACATATCCTTTGCTGATGTGGACGACGTTGATAGTCCCATTGCAGATGCACTACTGGGAACCCCGTTGTTCGCATGGAGTGGGCGAACCGGGGATGCGCTGAGTTGTAATCTAGAGGCGCTCCTACCTATACGGGGCGATGCAGACGGGGGTGGCATCGGCGCAGGCGTGGACCCCCGGTCCGTGAACGAACGCGAGACAGAACTTGCACGCGAAAGCGCGGGTGTGGACACAGAGGCCACGAACGACCCTGAACAAGACATCGACAAGGACGACATTGGTCGGCGATCGAGAGGAGGTGAAGGCGCGGGCTGCCACCCAAAGAGGGCCACGATGAACGAAGTATCTGATAACTTGGCCGCTGGTGGCGGTGCGCTCTCATCGGCTTGCATAGCAGAAGGATCTTCAGAAGGCGGGGTCGGGACAGTGGCCGTTGACACGGCTGAACGAAGGGAGCTCAGCTGCGAAGATGTCTGAGAAATAGGGGTTAGTAAGTGTCACTGAGAACGAATTTGAGTACGCATACAAGTGGGTGTTTGATGGCAATTTTAGATATGATAGAATCTAGAGCAACAGCGGTAATTCTCAAGTCGCGAGCAGTGAAACTCGGGGTTTGAAGGGGCACGCGGTACACAGAATCTGTGGGATAGATCAGATTATCCTTGGACGGCACAGGAGGAAGCAATACACACCTTCGCATTGTCTCGTCTTCCATGGGCATCCATCCTTGTGCATGTCCACAAGCGAAATGTGTTGTTTTTCGATCAAAGCATTGGCTGTAAACCGAGCGCAGAACGACAGGGTGGAGAGAAATGTCCTGCTCAGCGGCAATTACACGTTCCTATAACCTACCTTCTTACCAGCTTCCTTGGTCATGCCATCTCGTCCTGCAAGCACCCACGACACATCACATATCCCACATACCAACCTATCCTTTCCGTCGTTTACCCATCCACGCTTGGCTGCGGCCACAGCATCGATTTGTGGTGGCTTGTTGGCATATGTGGAGAGCTTGTACGTGGCAAGGCGAGACAGAAAGGATTGCGTCGACGAAGGTCTGTATTCGGACGTTGCATGTACTGGAGGTGCAGAAGAGTGTTTGAAGGTAATCGTTTTCTGATTGGATGGAGAACTTTGCGAAGAGCGAGATGCTGTGCGGGCGAGAATGGCGGCAAGGTGAGGTGCGCTTGTGGAGAGGTTGATGGTGTTTGAGATGCTACCAACGTGTTACCGTTACATTCAGTAAATGGCAGTTCCTGTGTACTGGATGTGAATTGGAACTGACTCGGGCGAGGAAGTGTGCTTGGTTTCGGTACGAGACTCTATGCCATATTTTGCGAGTGTCGAGTAGAAAGAGCGGGAGAGATTTGGACGCTTAGCGAGAGGAGGCTTATCGGCCACACTACTAATCGACTGCGAGCTGGTCGACGGCGAAACGGCGACGTCCAGTGACTGAATGGCATCTTCGAGTTTTCTCTGCGTTTAAGTCGTATCAAAAAGGAGACCAACCGACAATATCATCGCAATAGCTGACCTTGGTTGCTCGAATGGAAGACATCGAGGACGTTGAAGCGGCTGTCGCTGACGGTGCTTGGACCTCTGCTGCCATGTTCCTTGGTGGAAGTACCCCAGAAGAGTGCACAGACTTGACAAAATGCTGAATGGCTTATGTAAGCTCCACTTTCTAAATACGCTTGAAAACCCCTATCACGCTCCCCATCAGCCGCATCGTTTCAGTATCTTGAGGTTTTCGTCGAATAGCACGCGTGATCGAACGCGTGAGCCACAAGACTTCCAACACTCCTACTCAGCCTATCTGAAGATTCTGAGCTTTATGCCTGAACAGCGCGAGAATTTCGATAAAGGTACAGACACGTAGGCATGCAAGGGGGGAGGGGGACCTGAGAGATGACGCCAGTACTGGCAGACTGAAAATAGAGTAGGGAAACCGTAAGCATATCTCCACGAAAGAAGTCGCATGGCTGAGAATATGTACATATTGTTCTGCATCCGTCTTTCGCACCCCCTCGATGATGTCGAGTATGTGACCAGCAGAGTAGTCTCCCAGCGGGCACCCCAAATTTCTATGTTGGTTTTTGGTCCAGGTACCCAACAGGTACCAGTCCCCTGGCTCTGGGATTAGATCCGATAACGGTGTTACTTCGCCCCAAAGAGACGTGTCAGTCCATTTGTGTTGGATTCGAGACAGAGAAGCACGGAGGACGAGGGTGATGATGATATCATGTACATATCACGAGTCTCATCACAGATATCTGATAACGAGGCGCAGCGTAGAAAGCCACTGGCAACTACACACTTACAAGCTCCGTGCGAGATACGGTTGGAGACCACCAAGTTGACCAGCTTTCGGTTTGTAGACACTTCCAGCGAACAAAAGAGGCACGAGCCCATCATTATAGGAGAGTGGTACCTCGTGTAATCGTTCGGCACTAGGCCACAACATATATGGTACCCAGTTACACAGTCCTGACTCCTGACTTCTGCGCTAGTACCACAGGTCCACAGGGGTTGGTGGCGTGATGAACGTGAGTCTGCTTGCGTAATGCTGCACTCTTTCTGTTACGGGTCTTCCCCTGGGCCCGAGTCCCGACATGTGTGCTCCATATTTCGCTCGTACTGTTGTTCCTTCTCATTACACAAGTATGCCCACCACAGTAACCTGCTATCGGTCGCAGGGTGTGGCGAAATTCTCAGGAGGATCCAAATGATAACGCCGTGCTACCCACATCGTCGTGAGGGGTGCGTGATGTTCGGATTCTGCGATCTTGTCCGGCATCTGCCACGGAAAAAATCAACGTTCCTTGCGGTACTTTGGCTAACCAGTATGTCGGTAGCACCATCATGGTACGACGCACATGTGTTCATGTTGCCTGATCAGAAGGGTGGAAGGTTCGGATGGTGTTTTCTCATTGGTGGTGATTGCAATATAGCTTCTAAAGTGGTATTGGTATTGGAATTTGGACCGGTTCAATGGCTCGACTGAATTGCAGACGCTGCCAACTGCGGACATGGAACTTCAAGGATGCCCCATCTCGCTGTCAAAACGGCTACCCCTCAATTTTCCTAACAAATCTTTGCTTCTTCTAACATAATGAAACCATCTGGCTTTCTGTATACGTACGAAGAAATAAAAAAGGCTATACGCAGGCTACTTTATGTCGCATACGACAATTCGGTCTGTCCAGGTAAGTATCATCTATCTGCCTGATCATCATGGTTTCAGGTAACCTCTGATCAATAGAGCGCTCCATCCTCGGGGGAAAGGTGGGATTGTGAACTCTAGTAAGACACAACGTTCTCGTTCGCCACCATTCTAATGACAGCCCTGCCGAATGCCGATGAATAGTGCCTAGATCAGTGGACGAACGTTGTGGTATGATGTATTCAATTGTCCGTTGGCGTTATTGGACTCAAGAGGTACAAGGCGTTGTTCGAGTAATGTATTGAATGTAAGTGTACTAATGAACTTTCTCACTTGCTGTGATTCTACGTAGTAACTGGATGAATGATGCCAGCCGAATACAGACAGCGACCCCTATGTAGTTCCTTGGAGGAACGTTGAGTATTATTGTCTAATGACGTTATAGAACTCAAGGGGGATACCTGGCAGAAACTCAGAGGCATTGACCACCCGAGGAGGGCGAGTTATTCTGTTCCCTGGGTGTGGCCAAGGTGAGGCAGATGGATCTGGTTTGAAGAAATCTACAGCCCTGCAACCGTGATGAACCTTCTCCTTGGAATCAATTCTGATTGGAGCGTCAGCTGTCTACACTCTGGCGCTGTCATCAGCTGTGTCATGGTACGGTCCTTCCAGAACCAATTTAGATTCGGCGCAAGATGCTATGAGGAATTCTGTGTTTCAGGCTGATCAGACCTGTTACTCGGAACCCTGCTACCATGCATTCATGTTTGCTCAGGTGCGGCCAACTTGCACTCCTTGTGTCGAGAAGCCAAAGCTCCGACCGCATTATGTATTGTTTTGAGATGGCCGCCCCTATATGCTTTGGCGGGCTGGATTGTATAAAAGGCCACAGATTTTTCCTTCGCTTCTCCAGGCTTTTGTCTTTGCAATATCTGTTCCGCACCACAACAGCTGTGCTTGTGGGTCCCTTTCACCCCTTGGTACCATCGTACTTTCATACTGACCGCAATCAGCATTAACCATGTCCAAGACTACCGTCTGCAGATGGCTTCCCAAGGACCCATCAGTCATTGACGCATTCGTGAGCGACTTGCTCGAGCGCAGTCGTTTTATCCATGGACGTAACCCTAGAACCCGCGCGCGTATTGCAGCGGTGGGAGAGAACTTGGAGAAGGCGATGGGCAAAGCCAAAATCCGGTTTAACCTACGCCGCCTGCGGGCCCACTACCATTTCACTCCTGGCCAACCGCAAGTTTATACTGCCCGTGCATTGAACCCTATAGTACAAGAATTCAAAGAATACATTGAGCGGGAGGGTGTCGTCTACGCTGCATTCAACCAAATGTTCGAGCAAGCTCCGTCGCCTCAGAACGAGGACCAAGCAAAGGTATATAATTTCAGCTTTTTCGTCTATTGCATCGCTCATTTCAGTCCAGATCGAAGACTATGTGGACTTGATGGAGATGATCGACACGCAGTTGACGGCAGCACCCAGTTATGGCGGAGGCGCGAGTGATATGGCGGCCGCCGTCCCCTATTACGCTATCATTTCGCGTTTCTGTAACACTCCTGCGGGCTACAGCGCGTTCACTGACCCTGGAGTCAATGAAAGACTTGGCAGGGTGTTCAACGCATGGAACGAATACCTCAGGTCGGTGGACTCCACCGACGTCATTTACGATGGAGAGGGCGGCTGGCTCAGTACCACAGCGCTCAATGCTATGGTCCAGCATGCTGGTGGAGACCCTGGACAGGATACGTTTGACAACTTCTACGTTTGCGATACCACTGATCCTCACTACGGTTTCAAATCCTATGACGAGCTCTTTGTCAGGGAGTTGAAAGCCGTCCACCGTGCTGTAGTTTCCCCTGATGACACGGCGATCGTCAACTCCGCATGCACGTCTACGGTCTACGAGATTTACTACAACCTTAAGAAGACAGACAGATTCTGGATCAAAGATACCCCCTACTCCCTCAACCACATGCTTGCTGAGGACGATCTTGTTGACACATTCGTCGGCGGGACTGTTATCCAGGCTATGCTTGCATCTCTCGACTACCACCGTTGGCGCAGTCCCGTAGACGGCACCGTCGTGAAGACGCGCCTCATTTCGGGTTTGACGCATCCTAACCCACCACCAACCTACTACGCTGCTTGCTTGGATGATGTCCAAGACGATTTTGACGTCATTACTCGCTCGCAGGACTTCGTCACGGCCATATCTACTCGTGCTTTGATCTTCATCCAAGCCGAGGATCCCGTTGGCTTGATATGCTTTGTGGGTGTTGGCTTGTGCGAAGTGTCGACTTGCGAAATTACCGTCAAGGAGGGTCAAGTGCTCAAGAAGGGCGATCAGCTGGGCATGTTCCATTTCGGAGGATCTACCCACTGCCTCGTCTTTGGTGGTGACGTGACTGTGACGCAAATCATGCAGCCAGGCAAGGACGACGACGGTAACGACACCGAAGTGCCATTGGTGGGATCGAAGGTGCGGGTCGGCAAAGACATCCTCACGGTCTCAAAGCAGACTTGAGAAATGATAGCTTCAATCGCATGTCAAGTGTAGCCTCATAAACAGTGACATATCTTGTATGTATGATAGCAAGGTGATTTCTTGAAGCGTTTGCGTACAGTGTAACAATTTCAGTGTTTACGACGACTATGCCGCTTTACTTGGTTCAGCTTCGTGTGTGCTGCTGACGTCCCCGGTCGAACAACGCGCCAGGGGTTGAAAGGAGATGGGTTCGGCCAGTTCCACTTCGAAGGATCTACCCACTACCTGCTCTTCCGCTGTGGTGTGCCTTATCTCGCCGACCCCGAACAATACACCACTGATAGGACCGAGAGCAGGAATCGGCAAACATTCTCTCTGTAGACTGTTCCCTAAGTCAGACTCGAAGGGTGTATCGCGGCATGTTCAACATCGACGTGGCGATGACGTCTTTTCAACTCTGGGTCGGGGATAGGCTCGTAGTCACCAGAAGAACCTGGAATCACCGTCACGGTATCAAGCGAAGTGGAAGGCTAGGTCTTGTTCTGGACCCAGGACGACCCAGACCGCTCGCTGTACCATCGATATACATAGCCGGGGATTCCGTGCTTTAGCTTAGTCAACCGCATGTCGGTAGCACCCTCGACCTCCTACCACGCACACTTCAAAATTGGTGTCAGTATTGGAATTTGGATCCATACGATGGCTTTCCTGAATTGTAGGCTGGAGGCTGCTCCCGGCTGCGGACATGAAGGATACCCGTCTCCCCGGAAGAACGCCTGCCCTAACAAATCTTTGCCTCGTCTAGCAACACAATGAACCACCTGACTGTCCATAAATGTACGAAGAGGTGGAGAAAAGAGGCTCTGTTGCGGCTACTTTATGCCACATATGACGATTCGGTCTATCCGGGTAAGTGTTATCCATCTGTTTAATTTTCACCTATGATCGATGAGGCAGCTTCCCTTGGCGAAAAGATGTGATTGTGAATTCTAGTAAGTGATACAGCGTTCTCGTTCGCCGCGATTCTAATGACAGCAGGAATGATGTGAGCCGTATGCCGATGTGGAGCAGTGCCTAGATCAGTGAAGACGTTGTGGTATTATTGTCCAATGGCGTTATAGGACTCAACGGCGTAGTTGTGGGAGATATATCCAGTAAGTATACCCATGGCAGCATTCTCGTTCGCCACGGTTCTAAAGACAGAATGAATAGAACCTGCTGAATGCCGGTCAATGGCATCTAGGAGGAACGTTGGATATTGTTGTCCAATGGCGTTATAGGACTCGAGAGGAACATTCGACAGAAACTTCAAAGCATTGACTTACACTGCTATTGGAGCGGACGCTTGGATATACCGGAGGGTACTACTCTTGTGATACTGCGTGGATGATCATATCTGGCATCGATCCTGGGCCGGGGCGGGTTATCTTTACCCGGGTCTTTGCGACTGTTGTTGCTCAGGGGTGCATAGCCGCATACAGAGCAGCCAAGATAAGGCACGTGCCTGATGTGTGAATGAATCCTGTCGAGAACCGTGACCATGACGCTCACAGGTATCCCTTCACTTGTGACTACAGATGACCTTTTCCCCTTGGTACCAACCACGGCTAGAACGACACACTCTGATGCTGTGTTAACAGCTCCACCGCGCTCCAATGGTGCGGTCCTTCCAGAGTCAGCTTGGATTCGAAGCGTGGGCTCTTCCTTGTTTTCTAGGAATACCTGCGATGGGCCTCCTGGATTATCTATCCGATTATCGGTCATGTGTCCCAGTACCGGTTTATCGGGCGGTCTAATCGTGGATACGGGTTCTTCGTGATCTGTGGGGAGTTCCGTCTCGCTGTTCCAGGTCGATCAGATCTTCCATTCGGCTTCCGCACTTGCTACCATTCTTTCTGTCGGTTACGCATCATTCCACGTAGCTGGGAGCAAAATCCTGTTCGCCCAGGGTCAACCGGCACGTCTTGTGACAAGAAGCCAAAGCTCCAGTCGTATTACTGCTTCAGGGTGGGCCGATATGCTTTGGCGAACTGGATTGTATAAAAGGGCTCAGATTTGTCCTTTGTTCTCCAGGCTCCTCAACAACTGTTCCCCATCACAATAGCTATACTCGTGGGTCTCTCTCACCTCTTAGCACCATCACACCTTCACACTTACCGTAATCAGCATTAACCATGTCCAGAACTACCGTCTGCAGATGGCTTCCCAAGGACCCAGCAGCCGTTGAAACATTCGTGAGCGACTTGCTCGTGCGCAGTCGTGTTATCCATGGCCGCCACCCTAAAACCCGCACGCGTTTTGCGAAGGCGGGGGAAAGCCTGAAGACGGCGATAAGCAGAATCGACATTAAGCTTGACCTAAACTGCCTGCGATCACACTATCGCGTCATCGCTGACCAGGTGCAAGTTTATACTGTTCGCGCACTGCACCCTATAGTACAGGAATTCCAAGATTACATTGAGAGGGAGGGTGTGGTCTACGCTGCATTCAACGAGATGTTCGAACAAGCTCCCCCGCCTCAGAACGAGGACCAAGCAAAGGTATGTATTTTCGGCTTTTGTGACTATTACTCCGCTCATCTCAGTCTAGATCGAAGACTATGTGGACTTGATGGAGATGATCGACACGAACCTGACGACAGCACCCAGTTTTGGTCAGGGTGTGAGTGCTATGGTGGCGGCCGTTCCCTATTACGGTATCATTTCGCGTTTCTGCAACACTCCCGCGGGCTATAACGCGTTCACTCACCCCGGAGTCAATGAGAGATTCTGCAGGGTGTTCACGGCATGGCACGAGTACCTTACGTCGTCAGCATCCACCAATGTCATCCACGATGGAGATGGCGGTTGGCTCAGTACCGCAGCGCTCAATGCCATGGTCCAAAGTGCTGGTGGCACTCCTGATCAGGATACGTTTGACAACTTCTTCATTTGCGACACCAGCGACCCTCACTACGGTTTCAAATCCTATGACGAGCTCTTCGTCAGGGAGTTGAAAGCCGTGCACCGTGCCGTGGTCTATCCCGACAACCCAGCGATCATCAACTCTGCATGCTCGTCTACCGTTCACCAGGTTTACTACAACCTCAAGAGGACGGACAGATTCTGGATCAAAAATACCCCCTACTCCCTCAACCACATGCTCGCAGAGGACGATCTTGTTGACACATTCGTCGGCGGGGACTCTTATCCAGGCTATGCTTGGATCTCTTGACTACCACCGCTGGCGCAGTCCCGTGAACGGTACTGTCGTGAAGACACGCCTCATTTCTGGGGCGACCCATCCTAACCCACCGCCCACCTACTACGCTGCCTGCTTAGACGATGACCATGAAGATCTGGACGTCGTTTCCCGCTCGCAGGACTTTGTCTCAAACATTTCCACACGTGCTTTGATCTACATCCAAGCTGAGGAGCCCGTTGGCTTGATGTGCTTCGTGGGTGTTGGCTTGGGCGAGGTGTCGACCTGTAACGTTGTCGTCAACGAGGGTCAGGAGCTCAAGAAGGGAGATGAGCTGGGCCAGTTCCACTTTGGAGGATCTACCCACTGTCTCATCTTCCGACCTGGCGTGACCGTGACGCCGATTGACCAGGACGGCCAACCTTTGGAGGGATCGAAGGTGCGGGTCGGCAAAGATATCCTCATCGCAACAAAGCAGCCTTGAAATGATAACTTCGGTCGTGTGTCTGTATAACCTCAGATTTAAACAGTGTCATCGCTCGCGTGTACGATAGTAAAGTTGAATTGGTGCCTTGGCGTGTTTGTGTACAATGTAACATTTCAGGCGTACGGCAGGAATTGTTATCTTTCAGCGTTTCACTTGGTTCAGTATAAGGTGTCAATAAAGGTAGATAAGTTGGACCGGTTCCACTTCCGAGGGTCTACCCGCTGCCTCATCTGCTGCTCTGGCTTATGTCGCTGATCCCTCAGGGCGAGGACGCCACATTATTAGTAGGATTGTAGGTGCGAACCGGCGAACATAGTTTCTGTCTAAGGTGTTTCCTCCAAGTCAGGATCGAAGACTGTATCTCGACGTGTTTGCAGAAGATTAGCTTCGCGACGGCGGTTACATGTTTTAACTCTTTGGATGTTGCTACAATCAGTGCGGGAGGTACGTGCAGTAGTTACGGACGCAATGCAAGATTCATGAATGCTGGGGAAGGTACTTGGGAAACTGAGAAGTAAGGAAGGGAGAGAATGTGGGACGTGAGCTGCGAGGGCGGATGGGTACGCCTCGCAGGTTGTGCTGCTCCTGATGGGTCCGCTAACGCGCCAAGGGCCCCAGATTGGGTGGTCCTGCGAGGTGCCGAAAACGAAGAGTGTGAGGAAAGGGAGCGGAGTGGGGTGCGACGACGAGAGTGGTCGAGCAATGCGCGGAACGAGCTGGACGCTGGAGACACGGGAATGAGAGAAAAAGTACCGATTACCTACGCTACTAACCGTTGCACCACTTGTAAGATCCTCTGGAATCGGTGCCTAGCTCTGAGGTAACCTTTTTAGTGTCAGGTAACAGGATGCGCTGCATGTATATCTAAAAACAATTTAGAGTACTCGCGTGGGGGGATTAATGGAAGGCGCATCACAACTTGAGCATGACCGTGCTCCCTGCTCTGCTACCATAGATGCGTACCATTTCAAGCCAGTGCATTTCTTCACAGATCTTGGTGCATGTCCTAGAAACGGGCAGCTGTACAGTCTCGTGTCTATCTGCTGTCACGTATATAGGATAAGCAATGTGTGCATTCAGCCTTTAGTGCTATGGTTGTCTTTGCTGTGGCCGCACACTGCAGAACGTATGAGCTTGGGAGTTGCAAACTAAAGAAGTAGCTTACGGCGTCGACAAGTAACCTGGTGCTCGGCCTAGAACCACCCCACACAAGACCACGACATGCGCACCCTGTATACCACTTTCATCGAGGATTCACAGTTAATACATCAACTATGCAACACCGTAAAAGATGAGGCAGTGGGTAGATCGAACTCCTGGAGGCTGAATGCCACATCGCCATTGCGCACACGAGAGATGCAAAATTTTCGTAAGATTACACCAACAATCGATCGAAATTGAGATCGCCTCAAACCTGCAATTCTACGCGAAGGATATCTGTGCTGACTCGCACTTTCGATCCCATCAACCTTGGCCGTCTTGGTTAGTCGGCGTCACGGTCAGGTCAGGTCGGAAGATGCAAGCAGTCGGGTAGATCCTCCAGAGTCCTACCAGAGGAAAACGACATCTAGACCCTCATGGGAAGAGCAAGTTGGATGTGGTGGTCTGAGGCTCGTCTTCATGACAGTGCAAGTACGGGACTGCGCCAACGGTAGTGGTAGAAAGATCCAAACATCGCCAGGACAAGAGCCTAGCTCAGCGGAGTTGACCTCGGACGATCGTCGAGTCGTTATGCAAAACAATGTCGCGGTGAATGGCTTTCGACTCCTTGACGGAGAGCCCATCGTAGGACTTGAAACCGTAATGATGACCACCGTCGGCATTAAACGTCGCTCTTCTCAAAGTTCCCCGTCCAAGCAGAAAACAGCCACCCTCACGTATGCGTCATCTGAATACAGACCCTCGTTGATGCAATCCTTTCTGTACCGTCTCGCCACGTACAAGCTCTCCGCGTATACCAACAAGCCACTACGAATCGATGCTGTGGCTGCAACCAAATGTGGGGGTGGGTATGTGGGATATGTGACGTGTCGTGGGTGCTCGCAGGACGAGATAGCGTGGCCAGGGAAGTCGGTGGGAAGGTAAGCATTAGGAATGTGTAATCAGGCCATTTCCTTCCACCCTGTCGTTCTGCGCACGATTTGCAGCTAATGCTTTGGTAAAAAAAGCAATGCGCTTCGTTTGTGGACGTGGGTGTCCGTGGGGGACGAGACGATCCAAAGGTATGTATCGATTCGTCTGGTACTGTCCAAGGATAATCAAATCCATCCCACAGATTCCGTTTACCACGTCCGCTTCAGTCCCCGAGTTTCATGACTCACGACTTGGGATTGCATCGGATCCTGTGGTATCCGAAATTTTTATAAAACATCCACCTGGGCGTGCTCTTAAATACGTTCACGGTGACTTTTACTAACACTTACTTCTCAGATACCCTCGTAAGTGAGTTCCCTTCATTCAGCGGTGGTACTCTGATCCCACCTCCCGAAGGTCCTCCTGCCGTGCAAGTCGACGAATGTGCACCCCACAACTGTCCCAGTTATTAGATATGCGGTCGTGTAGGTTCAGAACAACCAGGAAAGATCACGGACGCCGAATATGTTCAAGTCCATTTGTCAGATGGATAAGTCACGTTTAACAAAATCACAATCCATAGCCGACAGTATAGGAGAGGGAATGATGACTTCAAGTGGGGGGATGACCAATGATAGTTTTTTTTTTTCTCTTGGAGGGCGGGGTTGGATCGGGCCGGCGGGCCGCTATACGATCTGCTCACAAAGGTGTACCCACTGGACCAGGACTGCACCGCACCCTGGAAGATAGTAGTTGCTTACACTCGCTTGCAGCGGGATGTATCTTTTTTTCTAACATACGCAACTAAGTAAGTTACGCGCATGAATTGGACTAACCTGTAGCAACTGCCGTTCTTCTATCGCCACGTTCGATTTTTAGGCAAATTCGTTTTCTTTCCTTGGGCCGTGTCAGAGGTCTCCGTGTTCTTTCGAATTGTTCGTGGACGGCACTCACAGTAATCGCTATAACAGTGACGCGACTACAGATGAACTTGTTAAAGCCCGGGCTAAACTGGTACTGCCAGTTGGAAGAGCAAGAACGACAACCACTTGTTCGCTTTCGAAATGTCCGCACTGCTAGCCAGGTGCAGAGAAACAGGATTGGCCACCTGCTCAAGCACGCCATAAAACCCCGATTAACCATCTTCCTGTTACAGCCACTTTATCGGATCATCTATCTGGCAGTCAGTAGCTGTGGTTCTCCGACCTACGGCCATTGTTCTACCAAGAGGAAGTTGGCTAGGGTGTTAAGTCATTGGAGCGACATGATTTCGACGTCTCCGGGCCTCCGGACCACTGTCGTGACCCACCCTTCGTGGTTTACCTCTCTGGTAATAGCGCACCTGGAGAGAAGCTTGTGAACGTCCATTCGACACCGAAATATCCTCCTGACCTTTCCGGGACGATTTACCAACGTTCACTCGATTCCTCGTTCTTGTTATCTGTTATGGATGTCGCTGGCATAGTCTCGTCATCCAGCATAACGACAAGAGTTTGGAAGATTGTCATCATGAGAAAATCTTGGGACGTGACGTTTCCTTCTTTGAGACGTGTTTCTATCTAATTTGCCCATACGCTCGAGCATTTGAACCTTGGGGAGAACGCCAGACATGATACCATTTCGGCAGCTGCTAGCTTCAAAATTCTTAGGCTGCAATGTTCTCCATTAGGGGCACCACTAAAGTTGCCATCGATTACCTCGTTCAGAACGTTGACAATACTAGGGTCGAATTGTGGAGTCCTACTTCCTGCCAGTGTCCACTTGCCACTTTCTCGAGTTACTGATAGTCAAGTTTGACTGGTCCCTAGGTCATTTTTAGCGGCCATTGTGACCTCAAGGCCCGGTCATTTCATCTACTCCCTTCCGATGCTCAGCGCCTCCTGCTCGAGGATATATTAGAAGAAAGTTCTCAAACGCTCGGCGCCTCTGCCCCCTGGATGATTAGAGCTCCCTTGGTTATGCGGTCATTGAAGACGTTGTAGCCGTCCATACGGTGTTCCCTGGTGTGCGTCATCCAGAAATGGACGTGTCTGATTTCGTTGCTTTTTGCTTGGCGGAACGTGGAGATGTGGCTTTGACCACCACGGACCACCTGAGGTGCCTCGAGCACTCGTCCATCGAATAGTTCAGCTGCGCAGATCCCAGTGATGGCCTCGTTAAATGGCTTCGCGTTCGAAAACTCTAGGACCGACTTGCGTTGTGTGTGACATTGTCCGAGTTCTCCGCCGATGAGGGGCTGACCGTCCCGTGGTTGATCCCAATGTACAACTCGTTACATGAGTATTACTATTACCTACTGGAATTGAAAGTCGTTCCGCTGACGTTCAATCTGACGGTGCGCCCATCTGACTTGGTGCGTGTTTCACCCATGCATACTAAGTGAACATCCATTTTTACGTCTCTTGTGGGTTTTTCAGGATCTCCATAGAAAACCTCCTATCATGGGTATGGTTGAACGGGCAATGGGCACAGAAGTCGTACGTGCAAGCACTGGAATAGCAGGTAATTGAGGGACGAATTGTTTGCCCAATCACCAGGATCTCTGCTCTGCTATCTTCGACTCCGCAGGCATGTCTTGATAGATCTTTGGTGCTCGTCCTAGAAACGGGTAGTCCATACTATCTCGTGCTTAACTAACTCGATTTCACTCCGAGAGACCTTGAGTCCGAGTTACATAGGGGAAACACCTGGCGTAGGGAATATGTTTGCCGGTTCGCGCCTTCGGTGCTAGCAATGGTATCGTCCTCACCTTATGAGATCAGTAACACCGGTAAAAGATGAGGCAGTGGGTATATCGAACTCATATCCTTTCGATTGCTGAGTTGTTCGAGTGGGGATGTTAGGGGCACCTTGGGCTGAACCAAGTGAAATGCTGGGCCCTGGCATTGTCGTCGTGTGCCCGGAGTTAAAACATGCAATCGCCGTTGCAAACCAAATGTGACTAATCTTCTGCAAGAAATCCTACTGATGGAGTGTCACTCTCCCCGCGGGATCAGTAAACACAGCAATGTCAGAGCGGAAAATGAGGAAGAGTAAACCACCCGGAGTGGAACTGGTCCAACTCATTTCCATTCACCCCACGTTGTTTGCACCACAGTGGAATGAGATACAGAAAGATAGCACGCAACGCGTAAGGCCTGAAATGTTACATCGTATGCAAACACGTCAAGACACTGATTCAATTTTGCTATCGTACACACGGGCGATCGAGACATGATACTGTTTGTAGGTTTACATGAACACGCGATCGGAACTATTATTTCAAGCCGTCTTTGCTACAGTGAGGATGTCTTTGCCAACTCGCACCTTGGATCCTACCAATGGCACTTCGATGGCGTTACCGTCATCGTCCTTGCCAGGCTGCGGGATCGGCGTCACGGTCAGGCCACCGCGAAAAACGAGGCAGTGGGTAGATCCTCCGAAGTGGAACATGCCCAACTGATCTCCCTTCTTGAGCTTCTGGCCCTCCCTGACGGTAATTTCGCAAGTCGACACCTCGCATAAGCCAACACCCACGAAGCACATCAAACCAACGGGCTCCTCGGCCTGGATGAAAATCAAAGCACGGCTAGATATGGCCGTGACGAAGTCCTGCGAGCGGGTGATAACGTCTGGGTCTAACTCATCGTCCCAGCGACCCGCGAAGTAGGTAGGCGGCGGTTGGTTAGGATGATTCATGCCCGCAATGAGGCGTGTCTTTACGACGGTACCATTTACGGGACTGCGCCAACGGTGATAGTCAAGAGATGCAAGCATAGCCTGGATAAGACTCCCGCCGACGAATTGGTCGACAAACTCGTCTCCTGCGAGCATGTGGTTGAGGGAGTAGGGTGTATTTTTGAGCCAAAATCTCTCGGTCTTCTTGAGGTCCTGGTAGAACCGGTCGACGGTAGACGAGCATGCAGAGTTGACGATCGCTGGGTCATCAGGATGAACCACGGCACGGTGGACGGCTTTCAACTCCCTGACGAAGAAGTCGTCATAAGACTTGTAACCGTAATGAGGATCCGAGGTATCGCAAATATAGAAGTGTTCAAAGCTTTGCTGCGTAGGGTCTCCGCCAGCGTACTCGACAATCTCACTGAGTGCTTCGGCGCTGAGCCAGCCACCGACTCCGTCGTGAATGACTCTCTTGGATGCCGGCGACGTGAGGAACTCGTTCCATTTCATGAACAGCCTGTACAATTTCTTATTGACTCCAGGGTGGGTGAACGCGACGTAGCCCGCAGGAGTGTTGCAGAAACGTGAAATGACAGCGTAAAAGGGAACAGACGCCGCCATTTCGCTGGCACTGTCCCCGCCATGGGAAGGTGCTGTGGTTAGGATCGTATCGAACATCTCCAATAAGTCTCTATAGTCCTTGATCTAGGCTGAAATGAGCCGCGTGACGGTTGCAAAAGTCGAAACTATATACCTCTGCTTCACCCGTGCCCGGAGTAGGCGGGGGAGCTTGCTCGAACATCGCGTTGAATGCATCGCGGACCACGGGCTCCTTCTCAATGAAATCCAGGAAGTCCAGCACTATATCGTCAAGATTGCGGATAGTACAAACGATTTGCCTGTCGCCGCCGACGACGCGGTAGTGGCACCGCAGTTGGCGGGGGTCGAAGTCGATGCCGGATCTGTTTAACGCTGTCTCCAGCTTCTCCCCTGCCTCCGCAAAACGCGCGCCGGTTTTAGGGATACGTCCATGGATAAGACGACTACGCTCGAAGTATCTGCCCACGAATCTGTCAACAGCTGCTCGGTCTTTGGGAAGCCATCTGGAGACGGTTGTTTGGGGCATGTTTAATACTGATTACTATCAGTATGAAAGTGCGGTGATACCATGAGTTGAAAGGGACCCACGAGTATGACTATTGCGATGGGGAACAGGTATTGCAGGGACAAAAGCCTAGGGAATGAACGAAAAACCAGAGCCTTTTTATCCGATCCAGCTAGCTAGTGTGAAGGGCAGGCCATGCTGAAGCAGTAATGCAGTTGGAGCTCTCGCTTCTTGTCACAAGAACTTCGTGTTAGTTGACAATGCCGCAAACACGGCTTCGCCCCCACTACGTGGAGTGATACGTAACCGAGAGAACGAATGGGGACACGAGCAGGCATGCAGCGAACCTCTTGGGAGTAAGTGCGGAGCCGAGCGGAAAATACAATCAATTTAGAACGCTAAAACGAAATTCCCTGCAGGTCACAGAGACCCTATACTTACGATTAGACCACCTGACGAACTGCCCCGGGACACGTGTCCGAAAATCAGATAAATGATCATGAACCAAATGGTATTGCAGTACTCATTCCCAGAAAGCGTAGAACAGTTCAGATCTGGAAGCACCGTACCATCGGTGTGCCGTGGACCTGATGACATACCTGATTGTAGCACCAGAGTGCGGCCAACTGTTGATCTCTTCATATTCTTGGGTCCCATAACACCATTGGACAACATTACCAAACGTTCCCTTTTGACGCGTCATTGTCGTTGCTGTTGTCGTCGTCGCTTTGGGGTGGTCGTGGCCCTTGGTGTGGTGGTTGAGGTTGTCACGGGACTTGTCGAGACGTTGAGGCATTGACCCAGTGGGTAGTGTTGATCCGCATTCGGCAAGCATCATTCTTCCTGTCATTAGAATCGCGGTGAGTGAGAAATGCTGTCATGACTGCATACATTCTTATGTACTAGATATATCGTTGAAACGAAGCCTTCTTGAATCCTGTAGCGCCATTGGACAATATTACCACAACGTTTCTCCACATCTAGGCACTATTCGGCAGACATCATTCATCCTGTCATTAGAAACGCGGCGAACGAAAACGCTTACTTGAGTTCCAGACCACGCCCTTTCTTTTCTCCAAGAGTAACATACTCCATTGATCATGAGATATCTGAAAAAATACTGGATAGACGGACGGTGCAGACCGAATTGTCGTAAGCGACATAAAGCAGCCGGGATAGAAGTTTTTTTTGTCTTTCGTTCTTCATGAGGTCAAGTGGTTCATTCTAGAACAGAAGCAAAGGCCTGTTCGCAAAATCGAAGGGAAGGTAGATTCACCTCCGCCAGTCTCGGAATTTTTCGAGGAGCCAACCAACCAATTTCATGAAGTTCATACGTACCGACACTCATTCCAATAGGTAAAACCCCCGTTTGAACCGTTCGGTCCTTCTGACCAGGTGATACGAGCTTCGATTGACAGTTACGTGTCATAGAATGAGGGTGGTACCAACATGATGGCAGTCCAGGGCGTCGTATTACATAGATGTTGGTAGGCAAGGTCACTCGAAATGTTGTCGCTCGGATTTGGTTCGGATCACTTCGCCCATGTGGTGGTAGTCACGTTTTAGGCAACCGGATCCGGGACAAGTCCGGCCCGGACGCAACGTGAACCAGTCTCTGGAGGGCTGCATGATGCGCAAGTTCTGCCCGCGGCGAAGTGTGCTGACGCAAGGCGCGCGACCCACTTCGCTTACTCGGACATGGACTCTAGCATACTGACAACAGGGTGGATGGTAAATATGTTGAACCATTTTCAGAACATGAATCCGTATGTGCGTATCCCATGAGCCACGACACCCAGTCCTTCAACGTCTTCGATATCTTCTGTTCCAGCAACCAAGGTCAGCTATTGCAAAGATATCCGTCGGTCTCGGACTCTCGTTCATGATACGATTTAAACGCAGAGCAAACTCCAGGATGCAACTCAGTCGTCGGACGTCGCCGCGTCGTCGCCGACAGGGAAATCGAATAGCGAGAAATCTCCTCTGGCTAAGCGCCCCCATCTCTCCCGCTCTTTCTACAGGACACTCGCACAATATGACATAAAGTCTCGTTTCGATACCAAGCACGCTTCCTCACCTGAGTCAGTTCCGATTTACTTCCAGCAAACGTGGGGGCTCCCATTTGCTGAACGTAATGGTAGTATGTAATACAATGGTCGCATCTCAAACATCGTTGACCTCTCCAAAAGCGCACCCCACTTCGCCTTCATTCTCGCCTGCACAACATCCTGCTCTTTCTCGAAGTTCTCCATCCGAACTGACAACAGTTGCTTTTCAGCACTCACCTGTATCTCCAATTCGTGCAGCGTCCGAATAGAGATCCTTGTGGACCCAATTCTTTCTATCTCTTCTCGCTACGTACAGGCTCTCCACGCATGCCAATAAGCTATCACAAATTGATGCTGTGGCTGCATCCGACTGCGCATGGATGAACGATGAAAAGGACAGGTTGGTATGAATTTGTGACATGTTATAGGTGCCCGCAGGATGAGATGGCATGGCCAGGGAAAGGAAGGTACCTTTTAGGAACGTGCAATTGCCGCCGAGTAGAACATTTCCTTCCATACTGTTGGGTTGGGATTCTCTGCGCACGATTTATAATTAACAGGGTCCCTCAAAGCTGGCGCCGACGCCGCCGACGATACCCATGCCTGCAGCGCGACTACCATAAATTAGCTGTAGGCGTCGGTGTCAGGGCCAACTTTGAGCGGCCCCGATGCTTTGTCGAAAAACAATGCTCTTTGCTTGCGGACATGCACGGAGTCCGTGGAAGGCGTGACGATACAATGGTGTATATCATTTCGCCCAGTGCACTGTCCGGGGGTGGTCTAATGTCATCCAACAGATTCTACGTACCGCGTGCCCCTTCAAGCTTCAAGCTTCAATCCCCGAGTTTCACGGTTCATCGGATGAGAACTACCGCCATTGTGTTGGTTCCTATGACAACCAAAATTCCTACAAAACGTCCATTTGTAAGTGCTTTTAGATACGTTCGCGGTGACTTTCATTAATGTTTATTGCTCAGACACCCCGCAAGTGAGCTCCCTTCATTCAGCGGTGTCATCGACGGTACTCCGCCTCCACTTCCCGGAGATGCCTCTGCGATGCAAGTCGACGGAAGTGCACCACTATCATCACCCGAGTTGTCAGATACGTCCTTCATCATCGCTCTTTTTGGCTGGCAGCCCGCGCCTTCTGCACCTCCCCACGACCGCAGACCAAAATCATCCCTATCGGCGTCCCGTTCAGGATCTCTTGTACCCGATACCAGCGCTTTCGCGTGCAACCGAGGACACAACAATTGTTGAAACACACATGGGTGTCTTCGCCCAGTGCAGTCGCATTATCCATGGACATCATCCTGTTACCCGCGAGCATATTTGCTAAGGTGGGAGAGAACCTGGATATGGCGATGGCCAGAGCCAGTACTGTCTTTGACCTTCACCACCTGCAGCCACAATACGCTTCCTCTGGGAACGGCGGCGGCGGCGGCGGGCCAGCTCTTCCTGTCTTCGATTGTACCCCGTAACTTGGGATCTAAAATATTTCGTTGACAGGGATAGTGCGATGTGCGCTGCACTCACAAGGTATTGCGGCAAGCTTCCTGTCAGAACGCGAATTAATCAGTGGTATATATTAGCGAAACGGACTCTTGATATACCAAATGTAATAATCTTGTGCGTGGATCATGCACCGGCGAATCTTTGTGACCATTTTTTTAGCCCCTACCCGTGCTCAGTGCCATTCCTCATTTCGACACCTTAACTGTGTGCACCCTCACAAGTATTTCTTCATTTATTTATGACTGAAAATGACGACCTTTTGCGGTGACACCAATCTTGGCTCAAGTGATGAGCAGTCGGCCATACTCTGGTGCTGCAATTAGGTGCGGTCCACGGCATGATCATCGGTATCGGCAATGTGTCCCGGATCAGTTTATAGGGCAGTCTAATCGTGAGTATAGATTCTCCGTGATCTACAAGGAATATCGTTTCGGCATTCCAAGTCGGTCAGACCTCCCATTCGGAAGCCTTCTCCCAGTTGCTACTATTCTTATCGTTCCAGGTAGCCAGAGACATTTTCCCCAGTGTCAACTGATCCGAAGTTCTTCGGACAAGCAGTCGAAGCTCCAGTGGTGCTATTGCCATCAGAATGGCAGTCGGATAAATGGGTTCAAGCACTTGGTTCGTTCCTCAGGCGTGTCTCTGCAATACCAGTTCCCTATCACAACAGTTGTACTCGTGAGTTCGTTTCGCTTTGTAACACCACCTCATTTTCATACTAACCACAGTCAACATCGACCATGAGCAAAACCACCGTCTGCAGATGACATGCTTACGTCAGGCCCATCCGCGTCGCGTTGTAAAGGTAGAAGCGCCTCCCACAACTCAGCGTGTCCCCAGTTCGTCTGCGCCGGTGCAAGTGACGCAGTCCTTTTTCTATTGGACTGTCGACCTCATCAACCTCGGCAATAAGATATCTCAGTCGTGTGCTGTCGGGATTGTGGAGCTTTGCTGTCATTGTAATGCTATCCGAGGAATGCTTGACGAGAGACAGGAACAGCACCATATGCAATTGTTATTGACGAACGGAAAATCTCTGTCAGTGTTCATTCCTGCAGATGAAGTGAAAATCGATTCTCTTCCTCTTGTGGACTTTTCAGAACACCTACGAAAAACCTATCGTAGGGGTGCTGGACACTAGAACAAAGCCCTCACTGACAATAGGCATCTTGTTTGCCAGGGATGACACATGCACACAACAACATTAACGCACATGTACTAGTCAGCGGTTGCAAGAAACACCCAGGTGAGACTGAGATGGGTACAAGGTTTGTGAATGTCCGCTGTTGTTAGTCTCCTGGGTCCGCAGAATGGCTGGGTACGAGACTAGTGCAAACTTGCACAGCGAGAAAAGGCGGCGGAGTGCCAATATACTCGATTGCTCGGGTGTCGAAAAAGGTGTGCATGTACCTGGAGGTGCAGTGTCTCGTTCACAGCCGTTCTGGTAGTCTCGAAGCCAGTGTGCGCAGTGCCTCCTAGAACGGTCGGACATGTCCGGGTACTGAAGAGTGGCTGGCAGTGAGACTACCATTCTGAGGACTAACAAGGTGATGCTTTGCTGTGGCAGCATACAGGACATATGTACTACGGGGTAGATAGACAGGCGGTAACAAGCTGCTCAGCCTGGAGCCACTGCGCCTGGAACCATGCATCCTACCAGCTTTGTCGAGGAGTTGAGTACAACTAATACACAGCACCACCCAGTGCTCCCTATCTCGAGACAAAAAGTAGGTGCGCTCCACTCACAGACATATCAACGTTTTACTTGTAAGTACCCGTCCCCAAATGGGATCAACGTGGGATACTTTAGAAGTGACCAGCCTCCGGTTTCCACGCTCCCGGGAAATTTGGGTAACTTGAACGCGTGAAAATATCACAGCTGACCTACTCACCGAACTTGTGCGCAACCAATGATTTCGAAGGCGTCCATGTCCTTCGCCAAACTCGCTTTGAACGGCCATCGCGAACTACTACGCAGCTTCATTTCATTCCGGGAGCCTTGACGCCAGTATACGGTACCTCCCTATGACCTAGGTACACATCACAAAGACCATTCTAGCAAACTGCTGTCTTCGAATGCAGCGCTCACCTCACAGAACGATGCTTTTACTGGTCTAAACTGGCAAATTTTTGCTTCTTCACTTCCATATCTGGCTCCCAGTCCGGCACGAGGTGGTGCTAGTTTTCCCTAGGTAGGCCAAGGAATCGATTGAAGAAAGAGTATCATCCCTTCACGTTGTGTACACGGTAATGGAAAGCGACTTTCTTATATTCACCACTCACGACGAATGTCCGTGGGGCAACCCAAATGCCGCCCACATCGTCAAAAATGCGATCGATTTCTATGCGTCGTGATGGGAAATACCTAGTGTCTTTGTTGGCACCCTCTATTTGACGCGCAGTCGACAATCGTGTTATGTCACAGAGAGTTGTATGAATCGCGCTGGATTTCCAATGTGTTCAGTCCCTAAGCTACTGTAGTACTGGAGTAGTACTGGCACATTATGGTATGGTGGTACATTTCCTAATTTGGAACCTGACACTCGCGAATATTTCACAAAACTGCACGGACTTCCTTCAATGTTGCGCATAGTCTCCACAAGTGGGGCGAAAGCATTAGCTGCAAACTGCTAAATCGTGCACAGAACAACACAACCATGTCCCGCTCGCTGGCGATTACACATATCGGCCTTCCTAGCCATGTCATCTTATCCTTGCTAGACACACCACACAACCTGCTATCGATCACAGCGTGGCGAGGTTCTCCGGACTAGACTAAATGATGGCGTTGCGCCACCAATATTGTCGAGAGTGGGGCTGATTTTATGACCTTGCCCCTTACGGTGCTCTGGACTAGCCAGCATGTCGGTGGTACCCTCATTCAATGACCCCATAACTGTCAGTAGAAAATCATATTACCTGGTCATAAGGGTTGAAGGTTCGAACGGGGGCTTTTTCATTGGCAAAGGTGTCGGTACGTATTGAAATTTAGATCCGAGGCTGACTGATGTCAAGACCAATTGGACGTTTGCAACCGAAGACTAACAACTTTTCCCCCACCAACCTGCCCCCCCCATTTTCCTAACAAGTCTTTTCTTCCTCTAGACACCTGATTGTCCATATATGCACGACGAAATGAATGAAAAAGTTTTGTGCAGGCTGCTTTGTGTCGCACACGGCGATTCGGTTTATCCAATAAATACCATCTGGTTATAATTCCAGACGTCCAATGATCGATAGTGTACGCTGCTCTTGAAGGAAGGCCATAGTTTTGATCTCTAGTAAGTGTTCTCTTCTGCCTCAATTCTAGTAACAAGATGAACGGTGTCTGATCAACAGTGCCCAGGTGTCGAAGGTTGTTGGTGTTATTATTGACTAATGGCATTATAGGACTTAAGAAGAGCGGGACCTCCCTTGGGCGAAGTGTCTAATAACAGTGCACTCAAGCACTCTCATTCGCTGCCAATTTTGATGGAAAGAATCATGCGGGCCCAATGCGGATCAACAATGCCGAGTTCCCCGTCGAGGAACGTTGGGTATTGGCATTGTTGTCTAATGGTGTTATAGGTCCCAAGGGTAACGTTCGGAAGAAGCTCAGAAGCAGTAACTGACACTCTTATCGGATTGGACTCTTGGGCCTGCCTGAGCTGTGTATCTTTACCCACGGATCTTTGTGACCATCATTCATTATCCCCTGTCCGTGTTCAGCGCTCCGGCATACTTAGCCCCATTCGTGATTTGGACACCATAGCCATTACGCCCTCACAAGTATCTCCATTTATTTGCAACTGAAGACAATAACCTTTCACCTTGGAACCAATCTAGGGTAAAGTGGTCGGCCGGGACCTCGTGCTACGATCAGGTGTGTCCCATCCTTCCAGATCGAGTTGGACCCGAAGTGTAAACTCTCCCAAGTTTTCTGAGCGTAAGTACCTTCGACGCCAACTGATTCATGATTATCTACCTGATTATTGTCATGTATCCCAGACCAGTTCATCGGGTGGTCTAATTTTGAGTATAGTTTCTTGTGATCTGTGGAGAATCCCGTTTCTGCATTCCAGGCCGATCGTATCATCCATTCGGCCTCCGTGCTCATTCATTCTCTCCGTCATGTATCATTCCATCTATCGGGAGCGCTATCGTGTTCGCCCCAGAGTCAGACGGAGTTCTTCTCACAAGAATCCAAGGCTCCAATCGTATTACCGTTTCAGGATAGCCTGCCCTATACGCTTTGGCTGGCTGGATCGGATAAAAGGGCACAGGTTTTTCGTTCGTTCGTCAGGCTTTTGTCTCTGCAATACCTGTTCCCCATCGCAATATTCATACTCGTGGGTCCCTTTTGCCTCTTAATACCACCGCACCTTCATACTGACCGTAATCAGCATTAACCATGGACTTGGCAGTTTTCGTATTGGCCCCCGTAGTGCAGGGGTTCAAAAATCTCATCGAGGAGGATGGTGCGGTCTACACTGCATTCGACGAGATGTTCCGGCAAGCGGCAGCGGCGGAGGCGGCAGTGGCAGCAGAAGCAGCAGCAGAAGTAGCAGCAACAGCGGCCGTAGCAGTGGAAGCGGCACGAGCAGCGGATGTGGCAGGAGCAGAGGCTGCGGCATTAGCAGCGAAGACGGCGGCATTAGCGGTAAGATCAGCGGCCGCGGCAGGAACAGCGCAAGCGGCAAGGCAAGCGGAAGAAACAGCGAACGCCCAAGTGCAAGCGGCAACGGCAGGGGTGGTGGCAGCGCAAGCGCTAGGGGCAGCGGCAGCAGCAGCGGCAGTGGAAGCGGCAGCAGCAACGGCAGCGGTAGCGGCGGCGGCAAAAGCAGCGGCAGCAGTAACAAAAGCGGAAGCCCAGGTATATATTTTCGTTTTTTTGCGGCCGTTACGCCTCTCATTTCAGTCTAGGTCGAAGACTATGTGGAATTGATGCTGGTGATCAATACCCTTCTTTTGACACCGCCTAGATATGGTCTAGGCCCAAGTGTCATGGCGTCTAGTGTTCCGTTCTATGCTGTCATCTCCCGTTTCTGCAACACCCATGCTGGCTACGAGGCGTTCACCAATCCCAGAGTCAACGCAAATTTATGCGGGGTGTTCACCCAGTGGCAGGATTTCCTCGTGGCGCAGGAATCCAGGGTCGTCCTTGGTGATGGGCCGGGCGGCTGGTTCAGTGACATCGCACTTCGTGCTATGGTCGAGAGCGCTGGTGGAAACCCCGACCTGCAGACGTTTCAGGACTTCTATGTTTGCGTCCCCAATGCTGACCACTACGGTTTCGCCTCCTATGACGCCTTCTTCACCAGGCAATTACGCCCCAATCAAGCTATTCCTCCCGACAACAATCCATTTATCATTAGATCTGCATGCTCGTCTACCGTCCACAGGCTTTACACCAACCTCAGGAAGACGGAGAGATTCTGCATCAAAAATACCCCCTACTCCCTCCGCCACATCCTCGCAGGGGATGAGGATGTTGACACCTTCGTCGGCGGGACTCTGCTACAGGCTATGCTTGGATGTACCGACTACCACCGTTGGCACAGTCCCGTGAACGGTATTGTCGTAAGGACACGCCTCATTTCTGGCACGATGAATCCATCACCAGTCCCCCATCCAACCTACTTCGCTGGTCTCTTGGACGGCGAACGTAAGGATCTAGACGTCATTACCCGCTCGCAGGACTTTGTCACGGCCATATCTACTCGTGCTTTGATCTTCATCCAAGCTGATGATCCCGTTGGCTTGATGTGCTTCGTGGCTGTTGGCTTATGCGAGGTGTCGACTTGCGAAATTACCGTCAATGAGAATCAAGTGATCCAGAAGGGAGATCCGCTGGGTACGTTCCGCTTTGGAGGATCTACCCACTGCCTCATCTTCCGACGCGGCCTGAACGTGACGCCGATTGACCAAAATTTGGTGGGATCGAAAGTGCAAGTTGGTCAAGATATTTTCAACGTAGCATAAGTTTAGGGCGATAGCTTCGATCGCATGTTAGTGTAATCTTACAAACAGTGTCTCGTGTGTACGATAGCAAGGTTGAATGGGTGTCTTAACGCATTTGCATACGATGTAACGTTCCAGGCTTACGATGGCAATGCCAGGCCCCAGTAGTTTGCTTGATTAAGCCTAAGGTGCCCCGGACATTCACACTCGGACAGTATGCCAGATGTCGAAAGGAGATGTTTCGATCTATGCCTCATCTTGTTACGGTGTTGTGTAGTGTATTTACATAACTCTATTCGTTGACGAATATATACTGGGGACAGCAGGTAGAACGAGACTACCTGCTTCTGGGACATGCACCAAGATCTGCCAAAAATGCGGCAGGCTTGTACGTGTCGGACCAGGCTGAGCAGCTTGTTACCGCCTTTCTATTTATCCCGTAGCTCGTATGTTTTGTGTGCTGCCATAACGAAGACAAGTATAACGGTAGAGTTTGTGCGAACTAGGACCTGGACAGGAGGTAAATACGAGACAGCACAGACTATCTTTTTCTAGGACAACTGTCAAAAACACGGCAAGCTTGGGTCCAAGGTACGTATCAGAGGTGGCAGAGTAGGGATCCCGGTGGATCAGTTGATGGCTTGTCCTGCTACTTGTACATACTAGATCAGTACTTCTTGCGCATTCTAGCATACCCATGATAGGAGGCTTTCTGCAGACGTTCTGAAAAGTCCACAAAAGGCAGAGAAATGGGTTATCGCTTCGCATGCAGAGATAAATGCCGACACAGACTTTCCGTTCGTCGATGGCGAAGGTATATACTGTTGTTCCTGTTCCTCACTCGTCATGCCATCCTCGGCTAGCGTTACGACGGTCGCAAAGCTCCACGATCCCACATGCCTTTGGCATAACGGACAATACACTAGCGACATCCTTTGCTGACGTCGATAGTCCCATCGCAGAAGTACCACTAGGAACCGCGTCATTTGCGTGGTACGGACGAACCGGCGACGCGTTGACTTGCGCTCCTACCTATGAGAGACAATGCAGACGTGCATGGCATTGGCGTAAGCATGCTTTCCCTGTCCGTAAGCGAACGCGAGACAGAACTTGCGAGCAAGAGCGCCTGCCAATCAAAAAGAGCGACGATTAAGGACGTATCTGACAATTCGGACGGTGGTGGCCGTGCGCTTTCGTCGACTTGCGTAGCAAAAGAATCAAGCATGGGACGTTGACGCAGCTGAACGAAGGAAGCTTGGCTGTGACGGTATCTGAGAAACAAGTATTAGAAAAAGTCCCCGTGAACGCATGCGAGTGTACATACGGGTATGTCTTTTATGGAGATTTTAGAAATCATAGGGACCAGTGCAACGACTGCCAGTGGTCCTCGAGTCGCGTGCCGTGAAACACGGATTGAAGGGGCATGCAGTACACGGAATCTGTGAGATGGATTACATAAATTATCCTTACTACATTCTACGCCGTTCAACGCTTGGCCCAAGTACACGTACAGAAGGGAAGGATAATGAGCGTAGCCAGCCTACTGAATGTAAAACGCGGGAAAGCTTGGGGAAAGCATCATGCATCGTGATCAGCTACAAATTAATAAATTCTGTACGGAGGCATCAGGAAGCGAAAAAATGGTTTAGACTTGTTTAAACCTGTCACTGACTGGTCGTGACCGCGCCGATTCCGTCATTTCCTGTCCCTCTGATGAGGGACGCAACCTAACACATGTCCTGCTCGGCGACGATTACACATTCCTCAAACCTGCAAGCACCCATGACACGTCACATGTTCACAGCAACCTGCTATCGATCGCAGCGTGGCGAACTTCTCCGGACGATCCAAACGATAACATGGCGCCACTGATATCGTCGAGGGTAGGGCTGATGCTGTGACCTTGCCTATCTCCTTGCGGTGCTCTGGACTACTAGTAGCCAGCAGGTCGGTGACACCCTCATTCTATGACACATAACTGTCAATCGAAGATGGTCAGAAGGGTTGGCTCATTGGAATGGGTGTCCGTATGTATTGGAATTTGGATCCGAGGTGAAGACCAATTGAACGTCTAGAACCGAAGACTACTGACTCGCTTCCTCTAGATTAATGAACCACCTGACTGTCCATTTATATGCGCGAGAAAACGAGGGAAAAGGTTCTATGCAGGCCGCTTTATGTCGCGTGCAATGGTTCGGTCTATGCGGTTACAGTTTCAGACATCCTGTGATCAACGGGCCTTGGAGAAAAGGCGTGATTTCGAACTCTAGTAAGCGTTCTCGTTCGCCGCGATTCTAATGTGCCTAGATGTGGAGGAACTTCGTCATATTATATTGTCCAATGGCGTTATAGGACTCAAGAAGAACAAAGTTAGGCCTCGTTTGAGCGATGTGTCTAGTAAGAGTGTACTCATCATCAGGAAGCGAAAAAATGGTTTAGACTTGTTTAAACCTGTCACTGACTGGTCGTGACCGTGATTCCGTCATTTCCTGTCCCACTGATGATGACTTCTGATGGCAGAATGAATCATGCCTGCCGAATGCGGATCAGGACTGCCTAGTTGCTTGTAGGGAAACGTGTTGGGTATTGGTATTGTTGTCCAATGGTGTCATGCGACCCAAGAATCAACATCCAGTGGAGCTCAAAAGCATTAGCTAACCCTCTTATCGTGGTGGACTCATGTATCTTTACCCGCGGATCTCTGCGACCGTTGTTTATTAGCCCCTATTCCTGCCCAGCGCTCCGCCATATGCAACCCCGTTCCTGGTTTGGACACCATAACCATGTACGCCCTCAAAAGTATCTCATCATTTATTTGTGAATGAAGGAACCAGTCTTGGCTGAAGCGATCAGCGGCTAGCCTCACTCTGGTGCTGCAACTAGGTGTGTCAATAGCTCCACGGCGTGCGGTCCATCCAGATCCAGGTTGGACCCAAAGCGTAAACTGTTCCATATTTTCCGAGGGTCAGTGCCTGCGATGCCATCTGGTTCATGATTATCTATTTAATTGTCCCGGACCAGTCCGTCAGGTGATCTAATCGTGAGTGTAGGTTCTTCTTGATCTGTGGGGAATTCCAATTCGGCGTTCCAGGTTGCTTAGATCTTCCATTCAACTTCCGTATCCGTAACCATTCTTCCTCTCGAATACGCATCATTCCACATAGCCGGAGCGCAATCATGTTCATCCCACGGTCAACTCACACGAAGTCCAAGTCCCCGTGACAAGAAGCCGAAAGTTGAATTGTACTACTGCTTCGGGATTGCCTGCCCTACATGTGTTGGGTGGTGGATCGGATAAAGGGGCTCAGGTTTGTCGTTCGTTCCTCAAGCTTTTGTCTCAGTAATACTCGCTCCCAATCACAACAAACTTGTGGGTCCATTCTACCTCTCAGTACTACCACATTCATATTCACTGTAATCAGCGTTAACCATGGACCCAACTACTATTATGAGCCAAAAAACTACCGTCTGCAGATGGCTTCCCGAGGACCCGGCAATCGTCGCAGAATTCGTGAGCGACTTGGTCCAGGTCAGCCGCGTCCTCCATGGACTTCACCCTGTTACCCGTGAGCCTTTCGCGAAGCCGGGAGACAAACTGGACGAAGAAGTATTACGCCGTTCCAAAATTGATTTTGACATAAAACGCCTAGACATGTACAGGAAGAAATAGAGTATGGAAGAGAGCAAATATTGGACAGCCTAGAAAGATGGGACAGAGGAGAAAGACAGGAAAGGTGGGAGCTACGGAATCGGTCTGCGTTTGTGTGTAAGAGTCTTCATTGATCAACGTTGACACTTCGTTGGCGGAACTCTGTTATAGGCTAGGCTTAGATTACAATCTCTGGCACAAGGTAGGGTTGCGAGGACACACCTCATTTCCGGGGCGACGAATTCAGTACCAGTCCCACATCCAACATATCACGCTGCTCCTTGGACAACAACCATATCGATCTTGGCGACCTTTCCCGCTCGCAGGCCATCTCCACTCGTGCTTTGATCTTCTTCGGCGTTACGCCGCCCGTTGGCTTGATGTGCTTCGAGAGTGCTGGTTTGGGTGAGGTGTCGACTTGTGAAATTACCATCAATAAGGATGGCGTATTCCTGAAAGGAGATCCGCTGGGCATATTCTAGTGACTTGGAGGATCCACCTGCCGCCTTATCTTCCAACGTTTCCTGATCGTGACGTCGTGCATGCAGCATCGATAGGATCGAAAAGTGCGAGTCGACAAATACATTCTCAGCATAGAACCACTTTGAGGCGATAGCTTCGATCGCATGTTGGTATAATCTTAAAAACGTTGCCTTTCTGGTGTATACGATGGCAAGGTTGAACGTCGCCTCGACCTGTTTACATACGGCGCAACGTTTCAAGTAACTGACGGAAATGTCAAGCCCCAGCATTTTACTTGCTGCAGCCTAACATCCACACTCGAACAACATGCTAGGGGTCGAAAGGAGATGTGTTTGATTTTCCCATTGCCTCATCTTTCACGGTGTTGTTAGTAGTGCATTTAACACCGGTCCTTGACGACGGCATATAACGGCGACAGCAGGTAGAACAAGACTGTACAGACTACCCATTTCTAGAACATGCACGAAGATCTGCCAAAAATGCGGCGGGCTTATATGTGTCAGAGACAGCAGAGCGGGGATGCTGGTAGTCGGGCAGGTGACATGTCCATGTCGGCCCTCGATTGTTCGAGCCCAAATGCATTCCACGAATCTACGATCGGGATGCTACGGGCGGGGGAACTTCGTGAGGGACGCGTGCTCGAGGCGCACCGTAGTGGACAAAGCGCTGTCTTCCCTTTCCGCCAGGCAAATAGCAACGAAATAAGCAATGAAATCAAACGCGTCCATTTCTATATGGGCTCACAACTAGGGTATATCATGGGCCGGGGTTACCCTGGTAATACCTGCGGGTATTGTGTGAGTATGGCCCGTTCCATGGGTACGGGTAGGGGAGGGAGGGAGGGAGGGGGGGTGTACCCGTGGGTTCGGAAGCCGTGTGCTGTTGGTATACATACGATAACTGCCAGACTCTATGTCGAACCGAAGTCTCTAGCTGATAGCAGATAAGTAAACGATAAAACTTTCACCTATTGTTGCTCGCACAGAAGGCCGCCGTAGAAGATTGTAGCTCTGCAAGTACTGCCATGGCAAATACTCATCTACTTTCGACAACCTGGGTAGTTCAAATGCAGCGCACCTTAAGCCAAGCCAAGTGGAGCGCTGGGGCCCGGCAATGCTATCATGAAACTGGAGTTAAAATATGTAACCATTATTGCAAACCCGCTCCCTGCGAGATCACTCAACGTGGGTATCCCAGAGCGGAAGATGGGAGTAGAGAGACGCTGAAAGATGGCACTGCTGTCGTAGCGTGTCAAGCTCGAGGCCTGAAATGTTACATCGCATGCAAACACCTCAAGACACCAACTCAATACTGCTATCGTACACGCGAGCGATCGAGAAATGATACTACTTGTAAGTTTTATGTCAACTTTCCATCGAAGTTATTACCCTAAGGTGAGGATATCTTTGCCAACTTGCACCTTCGATCCGACCAACGGCACTTCGATGTCGTTACCGTCGTCGTCCTTGCCTGGCTGCATGATTGGCGTCACAGTCAGGCCACCGCGAAAGACGAGGCAGTGGGTGGATCCTCCGAAGTGGAACATGCCCAACTCGTCTCCCTTCTTGAGCACCTGACCCCTTTTGGCGGTAATTTCGCAAGTCGACACTTCGCATAAGCCAACGCCCACGAAGCATATCAAGCCAACGAGCTCCTCGGCTTGGATGAAGATCAAAGCACGAGTAGATATGGCAGTAACAAAGTCCTGTGAGCGGGTAATGACGTCGAAATCTTCATGGTCATCATCCAAGCAGCCAGCGTAGAAGGTTGGTGGTGGGCTATGATGCATCAGGCCCGAAATGATGCGTGTCTTCACAACAGTACCGTTGACAGGACTGCGCCAACGGTGATAGTCGAGAGATGCAAGCATCGCCTGGATAATAGTCCTGCCGACGAACGTGTCAACAAGATCATCCTCTCCGAGCATGTGGTTGAGGGAGTACGGGGTTTCCTTGATCCAGAAGTCGTCTGTCTTCTTGAGGTCGTAGTAAAGCTGGTAGATGGTAGACGTGCATGCAGAGTTGATGATCGCCGGATTGTCAGGATAAACAACGGCACGGTGGATGGGTTTCAGCTCCCTGACGAAGAGGTCGTCATAGGAGTTAAAACCGTAGTGAGGATCGCTGGTATCGCAAATATAGAAGTCGTCAAACGCTTGCTGCTCAGGGTTCCCACCAGCGTGCACGACCATGGCATTAGGCGCTGCGGTGCTGAGCCAGCCGCCCTCTCCATCGTGAATGACGTTCTTGGACGCCGATGACGTGAGGTGCACGTTCCATGCCAAGAACACCCTCCCGAATCTCTCATTGACTCCAGGGTGGGTGAATACGCTAGAACCTCCAGGAGTGTTGCAGAAACGCGAAATGATGGCGTAAAGGGGAACAGAAGCCGCCATTTGGCTCGCACTGTCCTCGCCATGGGTGGGCGCTGTCGTGAGGATCGTGTCGATCATCTCCATTAAGTCTACGTAGTCCTCGATCTAGCCTGAAATGAGTGGCGTAATGATGATCAAAGACGAATTTATGTACCTTTTCTTGACCCGGGCTCTGAGGCGGGGGAGCTTGCTGGAACATCTACTTGAACGCAACGTAGACCACGCCCTCCCTCTCAACGTAATCTTGGAACTCCTGGACTATAGGGTGCAATGCACCGACGGTGCAAATTTGCGGCTGGTCGACGGTGATGGAGCCGTAGTAACACCGCAGGCGGTTCATGTCAAACCTCATGCCGGCTTTGCTTATTTCTGTCTCCAGGTTCTCCCCGACATTGGCGAAACGCACGCGAGTTTTAGGGTCGCGCCCATGGATAAGACAACTTCGCTCAAGCAAGTCGCTCACGAATGCGTCGACGACTGCCGGGTCCTTGGGAAGCCATCTGCAGACGGTAGTTTTGGGCATGGTTAATGCTGATTATCGTCAATATGAAAGTGTGGTAGTAAGGCAAAAGGGACTCACGAGTATGAATATTGCAATGGGGAACAGGTAGTGCAGAGACAAAAGTCTGAGGAACGAACGAACGCTCTGAGATCTTTTATCCGATCCAGCCAGCCAAAGCATATAGGGCAGGCCATGCTGAAGCAGTAATACGATTGGAGTTTTGGCTTATCGTCGCCAGAACATCGTGTCAGTTGACCATAGGGCGGACATGATTGCGCTCCGGCTATGTGGAATGATGTGTAACCAAGAAAGAATGGTCACAAGTACGATCGACCCGGAACACCGAAACGGAATTCCCCACAGGTCACCATACTCGCGAATAGACCATCCGATGAATACATGACCGATAATCAAAAAGATGATCATGAACCAGACCGCACTGCAGGGACTTACCCCCGGAAAACATGGAAGAGATTACGCTTCGAGTCCAACTCGATTCGAAAGGATGGTGCACACCTGATCGCAGTCCGAGGTCCTGGCTGACCGCTTCACCGAGATTGGTTCCAAGGCAAAAGGGTATCGTCTTCAGTCTCCAATAGATAGAGAGATACTTGTGAGGGCGTACTGGAGTGCTGAGCAAGGACAGGGGATAATAAACAACGATGACAAAGATCCATGGGTAAAGATACACAGCTCACGCAAGCCCAAGAGTCCGATCCGGTAAGTGCGACTTAATGCTTCTGAGCTTCTTCCGAATGTTATTCTTGGGACCTATAACGTCATTGGACAACTTATTACCAATACCCAACGTTCGTGAACGGGGAACTAGTCAGTGTTGATCCGCGTTCGGCAGGCATGATTCTTTCTATCATTAGATTAGCAGCGAATGAGAATACTTGAGTACACTCTTATTAGATACAACGCCTAAGGGAGGCCCCGCTCTTCTTAAGTCCTATAATGCCATTGGTTAATAATAATACCAACAACCTTCTTCGACATCTTAGGCACCGTTGATCAGACATCGTTCATCCTGTTACTAGAATTGAGGCGGACGAGAACGCTTACTAGTGATCAAAACGACGCCCTTCCTCCAAGAGCAAGGTATACCATTGATCATGGGAGGTCTGCGATTATAACCAGATGGCATTTATTGAATAGACCGAATCGTCGTCATAAAGCAGCCTGCACAAAACTTCTTCTTTCATTTCGTCATGCATATGTGGACAATCAGGTGTCTAGAGGAAGAAAAAGCTTGTTAGGAAAACCGAGGGGCAGGTTGGTGGGGGAAAAGTTGTTAGTCTTCGGTTGCAAACGTCCAATTGGTCTTGACATCAGTCAGCTTCAGATCTAATTTTCAGTACATACCGACACCTTTGCCAATGAAAAAGCCCCCGTTCGAACCTTTAACTCTTCTGACAAGGTAATATGATCTTCGACTGACAGTTATGGGTCGTAGAATGAGGGTACTACCGACATGCTGGCTAGTCCAGACCAGCGAAAGGGGCAATGTCACAGGAACAGCCCCACTCTCGACGATATTAGTAGTGCAATGTCATCGTTTAGATCAGTCCGGAGAACCTCGCCATGCTGTGATCGATAGCAGGTTGTGTAGTGTCTAACAAGGACGAGATGGCATAGTTAGGGAGGCCAACACGGGTAATCGGCAGCAAGCAGGATATGGTTGTGTTGCTCTGTTCACGATTTAGCAGTTTGCAGCTAATGCTTTCGTCTCAAGTCCGCGGAGGAGAACGGAGACGGATCAGAACCTCACGTGAACCACGGATGTCGGATGACATCCTGTATGCGAATCCTCTCCTCCGAGAAATACTTCAACATCTTCAGCAAAAGATCCTGCAACAGCCCAACTTCTTCCTCTTGCAGTCGCACCCCGGGCTTTTCAATCATCGGACCTTTGTCTTCAGGCGGCTGATCTTCTTGCTCGCCTATCTCGAACAACTTGGCCCTAATGGAGCTTTTATAAGCCTGCAAAAGCACGCCGGCCCGTTCTCGATCCTGCTCGCTCTTTGGTTGCCCGTCCTCCTCGAACCATAGCATGCACTGTTCGAAAGCAGCCCAACAGGGGTCAGGTAGTCGCCCCAGCATCTCAACAATCTACCTGAGAACGTCGACGTCACTTCCCAAGAACGATTCGAAGAGGGCAAAGCTTGCGCGGATTTCAAAGATCGCGCAAGCGAGCGCCCAGATGTCCGCCTCGAAGCCCACATGCCCCTTAAACCATGTCTCTGGCGACTGGTAATTCGGCACCGTACCTGGCTCGTAGGACGATGGTGGAGAGGTAACGATGTAAGACTGGCCAAAGTCACTGACGATAATGCTTTCTTGAAGAAGCATTGCGTCCGATATCCTGAAGTTCTCGAAGGGTGCGATGAGGATGGCTGGTGCGTGAGGACCGGGCTGTTGTCCGTCACGGGATCTGATACCCTCCGTCTCTGGGTTGCCAAGATGGGCGTACACTTCGGCGTCCGACCATTTGATGACGTGGGGCGATAGTCGAAACAAAATGTTCGATGTGGTCAGGTCCAGATGGAGTCGTTCGTCGGCACCTGACATCGTTGAGAAAGAGGCAGAAGATTGCTTATCTCCATGAACGACGCCGGCGCGGTGCATGTGGTGTATTCTCATCGCTGTTTGTTTCGCGACATTCCTAGCCAAGTCTGCACGTAGTCGGCAGCTCGCCCGGGTGAATCACACATAGCGAGGATACTGGGGCCAGCAAGAGGAAATACGAGACATAGGTGGGAGCCATTCGGACCTTGTACGAAAAGATGGTGATCAACAGTCTGGAAACCGATAGACTCAGAAGAAGGGAGAGACGTTCGAAGTGTTTGAGAAATAACGAGTTCGGGGATCTCGCTTGGGACCTTGCATAAAGAAACATCGGCACGCATTACCTTGAGGGTGACGATTCTACCCTGGTTTCCCTCTTCCAGTTGATCGCGCGCCAGCCAAACAGTAAAGGAGCCTCCAAATCCAAGTTTATGATGGACCCTGAAATGTCCTTGGTCAAAGGTGTTGCCAACAGATATTGGGTGGGAACCACGGGGTCGATAATCTTCGATGTCCTCGATTACACCAAGGTGCGAAGGGATGAAACAAGGGGCCATCATCGTGGAAGTACCACGCAAGACTGGACTGAAGAAGCAAGTAGGGGAATGAAGCGGTTCTCTGGAAGTCGAAGGATGGCGAACATTCGAATGCTTGAGAACCGGCCAACCACCTGCATAGTACTCCCGATGACAGCGTCTAACTGGGTTAACCAGTGCTTGTACTTGTACACAGAAAAAATAACTGGACCACATCAGGAAGCGGATAAATGGTTCAAACCTGTTCAAACCCGTCACTGACTGGTCGTGACCGCGATTCCGTCATTCACTGTCCCTCTGATGCACAGTAAGGTTCGCACGGGCCATGGTTCGGCGAGGAGGACGAGCAGCCGGGAAAGCGAGAGAAGCGGCTGAGAAACGTGCGAGATGCGACCCCAAGACCAGGCTCGAGGATGGAACTCGACGAGAAACTACGAGGAATGGTAGGCCCGCAGATGGTGGGGGGTCTGCTCACGTGAGGCCTCACTTTCTCACGCATGGACTACCAAATCCCATCTCACCGTTTTGCTTATGTAAGTTCATCCAGTACTATCTAAGGATAATCCAATCCATCCCAGTGCATCCCTGCATGCGAAGTGAAAACCCACTTCTCTGCCACTTGTGGACTTTTCAGAACGTCTGCAGAAAGCCACCTGTCATAGGAATGCTGGAACGGGCAATAAGTGCTGATCTCCTATTTGCAAGTGGCATCCCAGTTTAGTGGGGGACGCTCTGCCGCCTTTAGTACGCATCTTGGGTCCAAACTCGCCACACGTTTGACAGTTGTCCTGCAACCAAGTTCGCCTACCTTGCCTCCGCTTCAAGCACTTTCCGCCCAACTTGTGGGAAACCAGTAATTTTGAAGGTCGTCAAATCATCCCGTATTGACTTCGGAGGCGGTTGGCTGAGTACAGGTGAAAGGTTGATATACTAGTGTGGGTGGTACGCACTTACTTTTTGTCTCGACAGGGGGCACAGGGTGGTGCTGTGTACAAGGTCATGTGCACAGTGGCTCCAGGCTGAGCAGCTGGTCTTTTTGTTCTTCACGTAGGTCGAAACATGCTTTGGAACTAAATACTAATGCCAACTACAACGCAGCTTGATTCCACCCCGAAAGTCTTGATGCCAACATAGGGCATTTACCATACTACTACGGCATCCCCCCATCACAGGGACTTCATTCAGCAAACGGTCGTCGTCGAATGGAACGTGCACTCTACAGCTCTCAAGACGGTGATCCTCCATGTTCCCATTGGTTCTGAAGGGTTCAGAATCCATGCCTCTTCATCTGCAAGTCTGGCACCCATGATCTCTCGGTTCTTCGGTCTGATGTGGTGCCTAGGTAGGCCAAGGAATCTAAGAAAGAATACTGTCCCTTCACGTGATGCATGCGGTCACAGGAAGCGACTTTCTTCCGAATTAACCTCTGGAGTTCGCTAAGGGACACGGTCACTAAATCACAGTGTAATGTATTGCAGGCAATGTCAATACATGTCCGTGTATGCAGAGGAAGATGCCAGGCAAAAAACTAAACGGTCCGAGATAAGGTGATTGAGAAACGGTGAGTGGAAGCACGAAGCACTTTCTGGCCCAAAACGGAAACGACGTTCTGCTGCGAGAAGAAGGCGACCCAAGCGGGTCTCGACTGCGAAGCGCCGAGGACGGGACGGCTAAGGCTAGGGACTGGTGCGACAAGAAGTAGTAGTTGCTCACGCTTGTTCGAGGACTAAACTCCGCGACCCTGCCACAGAGCCGCACACTCGTGACGAAGTAACGCCCTCATTTGTCAAGGGTGCGATTGATGTCCACCACCTACCCGATAGGCAAGTCAGACCGTCTGATGTGCAATATCAACAACCCATACTGTCATCGCTGGCCAGCTTGTTGGTGGCACCCTCGTTTTTGACGCCCAGTCAATGATCATGTCATGTGCGTGTCACGAATGCACTAGATTTCCAATATGCTCAATCTCTCGTGCAGTGGAGTACGATGCCCGTGCGCTGGGGAAGGACGTCTTCCTGTTGATTCGAAGAAATCGTCTCTTCTGCCGAGAATGAACCACCTAATTCCCATCAAGCACATACGTACACAAACTCTGGTTGTTGGGTGAGTTATTCACAATTCCTCATGCAATATGCGGTGGAATGCTCGATCTGGACTGACACGTCCATTTGCTTTCTTATGTTGCAGTTATTTTATGATTAACGGGTTTTGAACGATATGGAAAGTACGTATACTTATGATATGGTTGCTTCTGGGTGAAATTCAAGTGATACATAAAATAGTCCCTACTGAATCCCAGACGGCAATATATAAGCGTGGACGAACGTTGGCGAGCTATTGTCTATGAATGTAATCGGAGCACTGGGGAAAGAACGTTCGACGGAACCTGGACGGTATTTACCGATCACCTCGTGTTACCGTAAAACCTTATTCCTGTGCCCTTTGGCGCCCAGGTGAGCGTCACGCGGATCTCCAGGCGGGGGTGATGGCTCCGCAAATACCTACTGATCGTCGGATATGGATTCTGGGCTTGGCGAGTTATTTTGGTACCTCATGAATTTCGTCTTCCTTACTCAAATTGTGGTATACTCAAGGGTACGTGTCCGTAATCAAAGAGCCATTACGGGGTATTTACCCATTTCCAAAAGTCATATCTGGTAACTATGACCCTCATGATCAAGAGTGGAACACGATAGAAGATCATATTTCGTGCCTGCGCAATGGAAACTGTCAGGTGGAGAAAAAACAAGAATCCCGTCAGTCAGGTGCTCTTATCGTGTATCAGTAGCGCCAACCTGTACCAGAGGCTCATGCCGGAGCAGAGTTACCCCTTGTTTATTGAAGGGTAGCTTGTTCACATAGGCGATTATCTGCCTGAGCATCAGTGATGCCAACCTGTTGGACGATCCACTCGCGAATATGGCTACCTCGGCTCGCAGGGAATTCTATTTCGGCGTTCCAAGTATTCCGTTTGGAAGGCTACACCCACAATGGTCACCATCCTTCTTTGGTCGCGCATCAATAAGTGTAGCCAATCGCATCCATGCTTGTGCAGGGTTGACCGATGTCCCTATGACTCGGAAGCAAAGTTGCGATCTTATTATTCAGGACAACCTTCCCGATATGTTTATAGCTGGATGGACCGGATAAAAGGGCTTAAGTTTGACGTTCACTCCTCAGACTTTCGTCTCTGCAACTTTCGTTCCCCATCTCGACAGCCGTATTCGTAAGCTCTTTTCCACACGCAGTTCCGTCTCACCTTCGTACTGACTGCAGCCAGCATTGATCATGCCCGAAACCACTGTCTGTAGGTGGCTGCCCGAAGACCCGGCAGCCATTGAAGAATACGTGCACGACTTGCTCTACGTCAGTCGCCTCATTCATGGACGTCACCCTGATACCTTTGAACCATTTGCGGAGGTAGGAGAAGAGCTGGAGATGGCAGTTGGCAGAATCAATGTGGGCTTCGAGCTAAGCCGTGTACGACACTGTTATTACTTTGATGTCGGCGAGGAAGAAGTCTACCGCGTCCGCACGCTGCACCCCATAGTGCAGGAGTTCAAGGATTTCATCGAGAAAGACGGTGCTGCCTACGCTGCTTTCAATAAGATGTTTGAACAAGCTGGGCCGCCTCAGAATGACCAGCAAAGAAGGGTATGTAATTCTGGCTCTTATGACTGTTACGCCGCTTATTGTAGTCTAGGTAAGAAACTACGTGGAGTTGATGGAGGCTATCGACACCAACCTTGCAATCGCGCCTACATATCGTCCGGGCCCAAGCGCGATGGTTGCTGGCGTTCCCTTTTACGGTATCATTGCCCGTTTCTGTAACACCAATGCTGGCTACGAAGCATTCACCCATCCCGAAGTCAATAAGAGATTCTACGGGGTGTTCACGGCGTGGCACGCTTATCTTATGTCGCCAGCGTCCGCCAGAGTAATTCATGCAGAAGAGGGCGGCTGGCTCAACACTGCGGCGCTCAGAGCCATGGTCCAGAGCGCTGGAGGAAATCCTGAGCAGGACACGTTTGAGAGCTTTTATGTTTGTAATACCACTGCCCCTCACTATGGTTTCAAGTCCTATGACGAGCTCTTCGTCAGGGAGTTACATCTCCGGCACCGCGCCCCTGTTCTTCCTGAAAACCCAGCGATCGTCAACTCTGCATGCTCGTCTACTGTCGACAAGCTATACAATAACCTCCAGAAGACAGATAAATTCTGGATCAAGAGGACCCCTTACTCACTCAGCCATATGCTTGCAGATGATTCGCTCACTGATCAGTTCGTGGGTGGGACTCTGTTACAGGCTATGCTTGGATCTCTCGACTACCACCGCTGGCGCAGCCCTGTGAAAGGCACCGTCGTGAAGATACGCCTCATTTCGGGCGCGACTCACGCTAACCCGCATCCAACCTACTACGCTGCTTGCTTGGATAATAACACAACGGATCAGGACGTCGTTTCCCGTTCTCAGGACTTTGTCTCGAACATATCCACACGTGCATTGATCTTCATCCAAGCTGAGGAGCCCGTTGGCCTAATGTGCTTCGTGGGTGTTGGCTTGGGTGAGGTGTCTACCTGCAACATGGTTGTTCGGCAGGGCCAGAGGCTCGAGAAAGGTGCTGAGTTGGGCCAGTTCCACTTCGGAGGATCTACCCACTGCCTCATCTTCCGACGTGGCGTGACTGTGACGCCGATTGATCAAGGTGGTAGACCCCTGGTAGGATCGAAGGTGCGAGTTGGCAAAGATATCCTCACCGTAAGAAGGTAGAATTGAAAAGATGGTTTCGCCCGCATGTGTCTCGTGTGTACGATAGCAAAATTAAATCGGTGTCTTGATGTGTTTGCATGCAATGTAACATTTCAGGCTTTACGACGGCAGTGCCATCTTTCAGCATCTTACTCGACTTAGTATAGGGTGCCAGCAATGCGGGCGGTTGAAAGGAAATGAATCGGACCAGTCTCACTTCGAAGGATCTTCCCGCTGCCTCATCCTCCGCTCTGACTTACCTGATCTCGAATCGCAGGGATATCATTAATGGTAGGATTGAAACTATGAATCGGAAAACATATTCTCTGTATACTAGCTTGAGGGGTTTCCGACTAACTCGGGCTCGAAGACTGTATCACACAGCGAATTTTCCACTATATAGTACCCTGTTATATGTAATACAATATGTCAATCTCACACTTAGAATACAGATTTTTTCAGTATGCCATCATAAACTCTAAGTGAGATTGACGTATTGTATTACATATAACAGGGTACTATATAGTGGAAAACTCGCTGTGTCAGGGACGACATGTTTGCATAATATCAGCCAGATTAGGCTTGTGACAGCGGTTCCACCTTTGGAGTTTTTTGGCGTCTTATAAACTCAGTTGTCATCGAGAGTAGGTAGTTTGGCTTGCTGTGTTGGCTTGGGCGAGGTGTCTACCTGCAACATCGTTGTTCGGGACCGCTGGGGGCCCGAGAAAGGAGTCGAGTTGGGCCATTTTCACTTCGGAGGGTCTACCCACTTCCGTGCTGGTTCGCCCAGGTCACCGATCATGCGGGGCGAGAACAACGACATGTGATTCATAGAATCAAAAGCGATGAAGTTGGTGCATATGCTAGTGCTCCAGCTGGCATCATTTGGCTTGCTGATAACAGTGCACCCCATCCGTCGAGCAAGAAGCAATGCCTTTGCCATTGTTTCAAGTAATTTAGGTGGCGTTCTCGCCATCCGGTTGCTGGGTTCCTGTCTCCTGCTCCAAAATATACGGCAGCTACGATCACATTCATTGCCATGTCCATCAACCAGGCTGTGGTTTCATCTCTAAATCTGTTTTACCTTTCATGGGGGAACCGTGCAGAGGTGGGAAACGAGACTTTTTATGGCGAAACACGATAATTAATCCGACCATTTGAGAGATCACAGTGCGTGGCTCGTGTACGCTTCGTAGGTCAGGGTGCAAGGCACGAGAATTCAAGCGGGCGGGTTTCGATGGAAAATTATCTGCTTGGAACTGCACAGCAAGTTAAAGTATATACTTGCTGAACGTAAAGTTCACATACCTCGCCTATATTCACAGCGACGGTGAGTAACTATCCGGCTTGTCCTAGTGACGCATTGTCATCTCTGTTTTCGTACATTCAGTCGTGGGGTGAATATAGTTGGACTCATGTGTAGCATCGTACCCAGCATCTAGTTCCTCCTTTCAGTTATCCGTCTTGACTTTGTCTCATTCATACATAATCTCTTGGACGTGACTGGTATTGATCGGAGAGTGGGCAATGATCCGTTGTACGTATCTTTTGTTCTCGCAATCTCTTCCAGTTTATCCTGTCCGTCCTTATAGAGTCTCTCAGTTGGTATCACTTGATAAAGTGACGTGTCCAGAGTGGATAAGGGAAGTTACCAGAAAGACATGGTAGGACACGATCGCACACATAAAGAAAACCAAGTGAGAAAGGTGGAGGAGGGGGAGAAAGGGAAAGGACGGAAGTGAGCTAGTAAGTTGAAGGAAGGCGCTCCGAAGCCCCCATTGCCATTGTTAGAGCGACAACCTGATCACCAGGCCAAAACTGGAGCCAGCTTCCATACCTACCGTGTCTCCATTGAGTGCTGCCACTGGCAGTACCAGTTGTATGCAATAGCCCTCTGGTTGCTCCTGGATGCAGGGCACTTCTGCATGTGATTCACATTATTATTAAAATGCAGATGCTACACTAGGGAAATGTTTAAGCAGGGTGGAAAGGAAGTTTATGCAACTGTTTGTTTTATGAGGTGATGCTGTTTATGTAGGAATACCAACCTGCCGTCACACCCAAATAAGGAAATGATGACATGTAGAGAGTGTGGGACACATGTCATAACCCCAAGAAGGGGACAAGCAAAATGAAAAATATAAAGGTGGGAGTAGGGGTGGATGTGCCCCAACAGACAAGATATCAAATGTACAATGTAGATATAAGGTAGCTACTGCAGGGGAAAGAATCCCCATGAGATGAGAACATCACCTTGTTGACCCACTTCCCTATCTTAATGCACTGAGTCCTGAGCCAGCCATCCTCACACATATCTTTGCTTGCACCTAATCACTCCCATGTCAGCCACTGTGCACACATCATTCCTAACAGGTTATGAGCCCTGCCTGCTCATAACTGACCTCATCACCAAGCCACCAACATAGAGCCAAGAAGATCCACCTGTTTATCCATCAGAAGGGGGAGAAGAGAGATGTCAAGAGCAAGGGTGCCAGCCAATCCACAAGGCACAACACCCGAAGGGGATGGACCCCCTAATGCATGGACCAGCGAGCCAATGTGGTCTTCACCTGAAGCACTGATGGTGTCAGCTAGTGCCTTGAGGATGCCCCAGGTAATGCCTGACTCACCTGTTGACTTACCAGCAGTTGCAGGCCCCTTGTTGCAACTGATAGGGCCAAGCCTGGCCATTGATGGGTCTTCAACATTGATGATGGCATTGTCGAAGGGAAAGGGGCAAGCCAGATCCAGAGAGAGAGGATGAGAGGGAGAGATGAAGATAGATAAGATGGAGAAGCTCATCTCTAATAACTGGGCAGCATGGAAAAAGAAGATCACCACCATACTTTGGCTCCAAGATCTGTATGAGATGGTGACAGGGGACAACCCACAGCCATCCAAGACCCTGCCAGATGAATTGAATGCCTGGCATAAATGTGACAAACACACATACACAATGCTTATGGCAAATCTTGCTAACGATCAGACTGTCCATGCCCAGTCAGAGACAGAGACCAGTGCCATGTTGTGGTGTAATCTACATGTGGTACATGAGACCCAGGGCCAGCAGTCCATTGCCACCATTAGGTGCAAGATCTATGGCCTCAAGGCACAGGAGGACATGGACCTCCCTGATCATATCACTAGACTATGTGACTTGCAAAACTGGCTGTATGAAATGGGTGATGTCATGCTTGATCCCCAGTTCCAGGCTGTGTTGCTGTTGTCACTCCCTACCTTGTGGGATAGCTATACCTCCAGCTTCCTCAGAGGGTTGCATTCACAAACAACAAAGATATCTGTGCAAGAGATAATATCATTACTCTGCACTGAGTAGGAATGCCACAAGTGTGAGGGTGGAGAGAGTGCGTACTATGCTGAGAGTGGCAGGAGCAGTAAATGTAAGGCCAATCATCTGGGCCCATGTGACATATGTGGTTGCACCAATCACAGAACCTCCAAATGCCACTTCAAGAACAAACCCAAATGTGGACACTGCTGATGGTTTGGCCACACCACTCAGGAGTGTTGGACCAACCTGGGTAACAAAGATAAATGGCGAAGACAGAGATCTAGAGACCGAGATAGAGATTGGGATAGGAAGTGGTCTAGTAAATGCTTCAGACGATCAGATAAGGCACATTGTGCAGTGGAGAATACAGACTCCAAAGATGATGTAGCATTCTCCTCTACTGAAAGTGTAGATACAAAGTCCCCCAAATCAGAGACCTATTCTGCATACATGTGGTTGGCTGATAGTGCTACAACATTGCATATCTGCACTCATTGTGAAGCATTCACTACCTATGAGGTACTACCAGACAAAACAGTCTCTAGAATAGGTACCAAGCTGGCTGCCATACCTGGACATGGCACAGTCACAGTGAATAGTCAAATAGGTGACTGGACAGTCACTGTCAATCTACACAATGTGTTACATGTGCTGTCATTGCCTAATAACTTATTTTCAATTGGCTGCTTAGATGCACAAGGTGGCCACTCCATTAGTGGAGGAGGCCAGATCGAGTTGTGCAATTCCTCAGGGGATGTTATTGCACTGGGGAAGTGGAAAAACCATTTGTATGAACTACAATTTACAATACCTATGAGGAGTGAGCAAACCAGTCTCACAGATGAAACAACCTCATGGAAGACATGGCATACATGCCTTGGCCATATTGGGATAAGCAGACTGCACTGCCTGTTCCATAAGAAGTTAGTAAAAGGGTTTGAAGTCAATCCAAACTTGCCCAATTTCAATTGCAAAGCGTGCACTGCCACTAAACAGACATGTGAGCCTCACCCATCTGAGGCAACACAATGAACCTCAGTGTCAGGAGAGTTAACTCATACAGATGTATGGGGACTGTCACATATGACATCCATCCAAGGTTATTGATACTACATATCATTTATAGATGATGTGACAAGATATGCTACAGTCTACTACATGAAACACAAAGGGGAAGCCACAGAACATGTCAAAGAATATGTGTTGATGATGGAAAGACAGAGAGAGATATCCCCTAAGAGAATCAGATGTGACAATGGAACTGAATACATCAACAATGTGCTGACAACATGGTGCAAAGAGAAAGGAATATTGCTAGAACCTATGGCACCATACTCACCATCCCAAAACAGTGTGGCTGAGTGATTCAATCGCACTGTCGTAGAGCTAGGATGGGCAATGCTACTAGCAAGAGACATGCTGAAATTCCTGTGGTGTGAAGCCATAAATCATGCAGTTTATGTGTGCAATCACGCATGGACATGCACCTGTGATAGGACACCATACAAGGCATGGCATGGGCAAGAGCCCAATGTATCACACTTGCAAGAATTTGGGATGCATGTATGGATCCTCGATGAACACAAAATGATCTCAAGTTGGATGTGAGATCACACATGTACCCATTCATGGGCTTCCTAGATGGCCTGCACACTGTTCAGTATTTCGATGCACATACAAGACAAGTCTACACCTTGAGGAATTATTGATTCCATCCAGAAATCAACTTGCCTCCTTGAGACCTGCCACTTGCAGGGGGAGACACTGGAGGTGAGGAAGAAAGAACCATCAGCAATAAGGCAGAATCAAAATGGAAACAAATAGAGTCACATGATGAGCCCATGAGGCAAAGCAAAAGGGCCTGGACGTTACATGATTACAATGTGTTGAATGATCCATTACCCGATTTGGATGAATTACTAAATGATGATCAAACATTGGAGAATCACAAGCTCTCGTCAGCAGAGCGAGTGTATTTGGCATTTAATGAAAGTACATTAGGGGAAGGTGACCCCAAGACACTACAAGAGGCTAAAGCCTCACTTGAGTGGCTGGAATGGCAAAAAGCCATAGAAGCTGAATTACAACAATTGCACAAAAAAGGGACATGGATATTAGTAGATCCACCCAAAGGGCGCAAGCCTGTATCAAATAAATGGGTATTTACCTGAAAATACAACAGGGATGGGGTACTCCAAAAATACAAGGTGAGATTAGTTTCCAGGGGGTATTCCCAGGTCCCAGGAATGGATTACAATGATACCTATTCCCCAGTCATTAGATTAGAAACAATACACCTTATCTTATCATTGGCCAACACCCAAAACTGGGAGATCCAACAAATGGATGTAAAGGGCGCATATTTAAATGGAAAATTAAAAGAAGAAATATATATGGAGCAGCCCAAGGGTTTTGACAATGAAACTGGATGCCTATGCAAATTAATTAAAACATTATACAGACTGAAACAATCTGGATGAGAGTGGAATGAAGAGCTAAATGGCCAATTACAGACCATTGGCTTCACCTGACTTCACTCTGATCCCTGTGTATACATAAGGAAGACCTCGACTATGATTGAGATCATTATGGTATGGGTAAACGACCTAGTACTCATCACCAATACTGCCAAACTCATGACCAAACTAAAAATACAACTACAAAATATGTTTGAGGTAACAGACCTCAGAGACCCAAGTAAGCTAGTTGGGATTGAGATCACATGAAATCACACAAGTGGAACAATCACCTTCAGCCAGACATGCTATATAGAGGGATTACTACAAAAATATGGAATGAACAATGCAAATCCAGTCAAAACTCCACTTGATCTGGATATGCAGCTAAGTCCATGTGACACCAAGACTGAAGATGTACCTAGCAGCAATTATGTGACACTCATAGGACACCTAATGTATGCATCAGTGGCCACAAGGCCCAACATAACATATGTGGTCAATAGACTTGCATCCTTCATGGAAAATCCTGACCTGTCCCATTAGACAGCAGCAAAAAGAATATTGAGATATCTAGCAGGAACTAAGAGCCATGGGATCACCTACAAAGCTGACCCAGCTCATCCCGAACATAATAAACTAATTATGTATTCAGATGCCGACTTCACTAATGATGATGATCAGATGTCAATCTCAGGTTATGTATCCATCTTCAACCAAGGCATGGTCATGTGGTACTCAAAGAAACAGAGCCACATGGCCCTCTCTATGGCAGAAGCTGAATACATATCAATGGCAAATGCAATGTGCGAAATCATATGGCTATGAAGCCTACTGAATGAGCTAAATTGCCCACAACTAGAAGCTACAATGCTTTACAGTGACAATCAGTCAGTGCTAGCAATCGCAAGAAATGTGCAGTACCACCAGCAATCAAAACACTTTGATACCAAAAATCATTTCATTTGCAACTGTGCAAAAAGGGAAATAATTAACTTAAAATACTGCCCCA